GGAAAACCATAGGTGACACAGGATCAAGAAACAGATCAAAAGGGGGATGCAATCAAAACAAAGGTGCAAACGACGACAGGTTTAAGGTCAGCAGCAACCAATCAAGATCGAGGTTAGCAGAACAAGCTACAGGTCAAACGTGGAGAAATTCGAATGCTTCATTTCTATCTTGAAATTGTGCTGATGATGTTGTTCAGAAGGACAATGAAAGCTACACATCCAAAACACCCAGCTCAGAGAACCAAACACCACCACCACAATCATCCACCTGAGCTACAAATCTTCTCCACCATCTCAGTTTTGAATGTGTATAAAAAGTACAGGTTAAAGTTTGATCGACTTTTGTTTATTTACTAGTATTAACTCTTACTTACTTACTTACGCCTGTTACCCCAATGGAGCATAGGCCGCCCACCAGTTTTATCCAACCTACTCTCTCCTGGGCTTCCCTTTCCAGTTCTTTCCAACTTCTGTTCATTTTTCTCATGTCTGTCTCCATTTCTCAGAATAATGTGTTCCTTGGCCTTCCTCTTTTCCTTCAACCCTGAGGGTTCCATGTGAGGGCTTGTCTTGTTACGCAGTCGAGTGCTTTACGCAATGTATGTTCGATCCACTTCGAGCGCTTCTTCCTGATTTCTTCGTCCACTGAAATCTGGTTTGTTCTAACCCACAGTAGGTTGTCGATGATGGTGTCTGGCCAACGAATCCGAACTATTTTGTGTTAATAAATATTTGTATTTTAGAATGTTGGACTTTGTGGTTCTCCATACATTAGAACCGTATTGACATTTATATTGAAAATTCTGACTTTAGTATTTGTCGACAGTTGTTCTGAGTTGCAGATGTTGTTCAGTTGTAGAAAGGCAACCCTTGTTTTGCCGATCTGCACCTTCACATCAGCAGCAGATCCAGCTTGATTGTCAATAATGCTGCCCAGTTTTGTAAAGGTTTTTACGTCCTCGAAGGCTCCTTCATCTGGAGTGGTTTGGTTAGCGCATGTTGTGTTATACCGGAGAATCTTGCTTTTCCCTTTATATATGTTGAGACCTGATGCTACTACACTGTTGCGTGTGCGATAGAAGAGCCAGATCATCTGCGAAGTCCAGATCGTCCAGCTGCGTCCGAGCTGTCTACTGTATACCGTGCTTCGCTCCAGATGTTGACGTCTTGATAATGCAGTCGATCACCAGGAGAAATAAAAAGGGTGAAAGTAAGCAACCATGTCTGACACGGGTGTTCACCTTGAACGATTCTGCTAGCTGTGTTGCATGCACGATTTTGCAGTTCTAATTAGCGTTTTTTAGCGAGTTACTTTTTTTTCTTGGATGGGATCGCCAACCCCACGCCCAACCCTTTTCCTTCATCCGGGCTTGGGACCGGCAGTAGCCCCAAAGGGGTTCAAGGCGGAGTTAATATAAACTCATTCAGTGCATATTCAATGATTAGTAGTTATTATAATGATATTAATATTAATAGTCTGTTATTTTATAATTTCGTTTCGGTGATAGTTTTTGAATTCTTCTTAAAAATCCCAACAAATAATTTAGCTATTTTTTAGTTGGAAAAAAAACATTACTAACTGTTGAACACCGTTTTTCTTTAACTCTTGTTTGCTTTTCAATTCACGCATTTATTTCAATAAATTGCATAGCTTTGGCAATTAGAATCTTAATAGTTTAGTTGAGTCGAATGAGTTACATGGATTCTACATGTTTAACAGTAAAATAATGTGTGTGTGTACGTGTGTACATATTGTTTAAAGATACATGACCTCCAGACTAAAGAATGTCTTCTCGAAACTTGTGTAGTAAATTTTTGTTTTCTAAGACCATGTTTGCCTCCTCCATTCTAAAATTTTATTTCTTCTTCAACTTATTATTATTATTATGATAATCGATAATCAATGTTAATTGAACAGAGATGGAAGCTACATATAAAGCTGTGCTTTAAGCAGCTAGAATTTGAGTGATTTATTTAATTTTTTGACTAAAGGATTTCAGTTTAATCATTCTTAAGATGTAAAAACCTAAATCGAAGAGTAATCTTAGCTAGAATACTATTGAAAACATGAAAGTACTGAACATCCGTTTCTTCGTAGTATAAAAATTCTCGGCGATCCCCTTATCCAGAAATAGAACTGAAAGCCATCAGTGTCTCATGCAAGCGCTCAACCTCTGAACATGCTTTAGTCCAATCAACTCACCACACAGCGCTACCATCTCTCAGTGTGGTGGATAACTGTCTCATACTTCATGTAGTTCAACTTCACTTACGCCTGTTACCCCCGATGGAGCATAGGCCGCCCACCAGTTTTATCCAACCAACTCTTTCCTGGGCTTCGCTGTCCAGTTCTGTCCAATTTTTGTTCATTCTTCTCATATCTTTCTCTATTTCTCGGAGTAATGTGTGCCTTGGCCTTCCTCTTTTCCTTTTGCCTTTAGGGTTCCAAGTGAGGGCTTGTGAGAGTAGGCAACCTTGATGAACGATTTGTTATAGCACTGACATTACTCAAAAGTAGGTTCAAAGAGTTTGCAATAAAAAAAGCATCCTTGAGGCGTGCTACTGTATTAAAGTATAATTACCATAATTGAAAACCCACTGTATTTCTAGATTTTTATTATTTATTAACAGAACAGTTTTGTTAGCAAGCATTTCAAATTTTACGTTTCGAGAGAGTGAAATTAAATAATCAAGTCTATTTTAAATGTATGAAAGCTCATTTTCAATCTAAAGTATGCTTTCTTGATTTTTAGTTGATAATTCTTTTTCAGAGATTCAGTTGACGAAATTACTATTAATGTTTTTTTGACACATGTTCATTTGATGAATGTTGCTTCCAGTCCCGTTGATATATCTTTTAACTCAAATTCGATTGAGAAATTTCTTTTTGATGAGACCAACTGTTAAACAGAAAAAATACACTTTTTTCAATTCAAAAGATAAATTCATCGAACTATTTCAGTATAAATGGAATGATAGCTTAATGCCTATGAAATATATCTCCATAGTCGATGATACTTCTTTAAGCTTAACAATGTCCTATAAAGTATTGTGTTGAATATTTCAGTTTGTCTTTCTACAGTGAATTTTAACCCAGACAAATACTTAATTCATGTCCGGCTTTGAAACACTTAAAATATCTGTTCAAGGCAATAAGTTGTGCTAATTTAGTTTATTTATTAATAATTTCAAGTAATGTAAACATTGTAAAAGAATAATGATTTTGTCATACTTGACACTTATCATTTATTCTGAATTGTGATTAGGTTTTTTCTCATTGTAACCATTTATATACACGTGAATATTTCCAAAAGTCTTGAACGATTTAACTATGGAATTACTTGTTGAAATGAAATAATAAAAATTCAACTTTACTTTGAAACTAAAATTAAAAGATATTTTAAACGACAGTAAATACATAAAATGAACAATAAAACATCAACAACTAGTATTCAACAGTTCAATTCTATTTTAATCTTTTTTACTCTATACATTTTGGTTCCATTTGAAAATATTATATATGTATGATAATATTGTCTTTAGGGTTAAGTTTTTATGTCTACTTGTTGTTCAAATGTATATTGAACATTTTTGTATAATTTAAATAAATTTAATCTTAATTCAACCCAACTGTTATTATTGTTGCGGTTGCTGTCTTGTTTTTTGCATAAAAAAATTTAATAGAAATGAAAAAAAAACCTCGTCTGTATTTTTTTCTTCATAAACTATCAGAATTGTCTACACAAACTCTAATGGTGCATAATAATATTGTGTGTCTGGATGAAATTGTATCAATTAAGATAAATTATTTATTATTCATCGAGTCTACTGATTACTATTATTAAAATAGATTTTGTTTGTGTGTGTGTGTGTGCGCGCGTATGTTGTTTGTGTATTTGTTTGAAGATGAACAATGACTGTTAGCATTTTACATTGATCATTTGCAGATCTATGTATGCACGCGTGATGTTGGCGTGTCAGCAATTTGCACTACCACCACTATTGCGCAATATATGTATATAAGTGATATTTATGAGTGTGTGCTATTCAGTTTAGGTGCTCTGTTCTCGCACTCAGCCTACATCTTGATATTTCTCTTCGTTGAATACATATAAGCACAATAATATATATATAGACTAGTTGTGTATGTTTCTCTGCTCGTATACCACAAGATATGATTGTCTTCCTGTTATTTTACCGTTCTGTTATTTTATCATTTTTGAAATTGTTATCCTGTTATATGTTTTCATCATCTTCTTCATCATCGTTCTGTTTACGAACAACAGTATCAGCAACAACAACAACATTAACAAGAACGTTACACTAAAGACTTGATTTGAATAAGTGTCGAATTGATTAACAAATGACTGTCCAAGTTAATAATTCATTGACTTATAATAAAGTGGCAATCATTAATCATAACATTTAGTGTTGCAATTACACCTTTTATCATATTTAGAATTATTTCATAAAGAAAAATACAAAGAACTAATCGTTGTGTTGTAATATTAAGTTTTATATTAACTATTAATATTTTGTTTGTTTGTTTGTATGTGTAATGCATAATATGAATGCACACAACGTCTACGTGTATGATTAAGTGTATGTGTGTGCTTTTGATTATAATTAGACCTTGAAAAATATTCATTATCTAACCAATGTATGTTATTCCTTATACACACACATATAAACAGAGATCTACAACACTACAACAAGTCGATGATCTCATATGAACTAATTTATTTTTTTTCTCTGTAAGAATATTTAATTTAAGCATTTATGTACATTCTTCTTCTTATTATTATTATGATTATGATTATTTCACATTCGTTGTGTGTTGTTTAAACATTGAAATTGAACTAATTCCATCTAAATAAACAATGATCATCAGTTCATTGTTCTTATTATCTCTTATCGAAATAATGATTATTTCAATGTATTTACTTTTATTGCTACATTATTCATAATATGGTTGTATTGTTTGTTGTATTGCATTCATAATGCTTGTGAAATCAAATTTCTATAAACATTTACAACAAAATAAAGATGAAGAATCAAGACAACAGCATACATCACCATTACTACTATTACCAGTGCCACTACCACCAGCACCACCACCACCACAACAACAACAACAACAATACTTCGATACATCTCAATTAGATTATGACTGTTACACTACTCATTTATTAAGTACACATTCGGATGAAATGCCTAAACTATCAAATGATATCAATCTATCCATTGATAAATATTCTTTTTCTCCAATGTTGATTAGTCAATTTCGTAAAATGGCTAAAAATAAATTATCCCATTTAAATCGTTGTTGTATCTTGAATACAAGTCGACCGCCTTCAATACCTGAAGAAGTAGAAGAAGACGAAGAAGAAGAAGAAGAGGTGGAAGAAGAAATGATCGAGGAGGAAGAGAATAACACAGAAGAAAATTATTTCGACAATGAAACAAGGAAGCCATCACAAATGCCAATGGAAGAAAAAATTTATCCATTGAGTTTTTTAGATGAAACAAGTCAACAATCAGTCAATAATAATTATGCCGAGAATGATCATATCGATGTAATGAAATCAAATAAAGGATTATATGAGAATTATCAAAGTAGAAAATCATCCATTCATCATAAAATTATTTCATGTATTAAAGATACACCAATGCATTGTAATAATCACTGGAATATCACCACTAGTCATGACAGTGATGTTGATTTGGATATTTGTGATCGTGGAATTTATTGGCCGGAAGAATATAATCGAACGTCATCTCATGATAATACACATTCTTATTCTAATGGTTATTGTAACAATAATAATAATATTGGGAGTAATGCCAGTATTCTCATCAAATCTGAACCATTATTCTGTACTACAGGAGCACAGACAAAATCAATCTATATTAATAAATACAAGAAAAAGAAAAGAAATAAACGAAGAAATTCGGTCAGTTTCGATTTGTCGTCAACATCATTATCATCTGATGATTGCCATTTCGCAGTATCGAGTCAATCTGATTATTCCGATCAAAATTGGTTTGGTTCTGGACGTAATCTGTGGCTGGCAAATATTAATGAAGATAATTATTGTAAACATAATAGTGATGATAAGAACAATATATTTTGTACAGATTCAAATTGTACCACTAAATCTCATACAATCTTTGATTCACTTACTTTATGCTCAAGTTGTGACAGGTAATCGAAAAAAATTAGTAATAATGATCATGATAACAGTCTCACGTCCTATTTATTTCCAAAAGAAAGAATGTGTAATTTTTATCTGTAGTATTCATTACAACTTGACTGAATCCTATTGTCTAAGGATAGTAACGTTTAAAAAATATCAGCTTCTCAAGTATATCCTCATTTAAAAATCATTCAATGATGAATTACATTGTTCAGAAGTGCTTCACATTTCACTTCTTTGCATTATATTCCATAAACTTATAATTTTCCGTATTTTTCTTAATTGAATTATGTTTTTGGTCTAAATGACAAATGACATGATATGATGTCATTCTAATACTATAATTTTTATTCACTTGAAAATGTAGACCTCATCGTAGATTGACATTCAAAACAAAGGTTAACCCAGTCCTGTCTGTTTTACTTACTTACTATTAGACTTAAATGCTGAAGAGTTCGATATCATATGACCTACACGTGAAGAATCCTGAGTTGGGTCCAAATGACCTCTCCAATGTTTCCTGATTTCCTGTAGTTTATCTATCAAAACCTCTCGTCAGATAAAAACAACCTATCTGAATAATACAAGTGATTAGTTTTGTTATTTATACCATTGAAGACTGAATTGTTGTACTGAGATTGAAATTATGTTTTTCATTTCAAAACTTTTAAATGTCTACTAAAACTAAACAACTTGTTTATTTAAATCTCTATAATCTTTCATGTTTTTGTTTTTGAAGAGAAATTAGTGTGTGGTAAAAATCGATTAAAATAAGATTTTTGTTAATAATGATTCAGTAATGTATTCGTTAGTCTATAGACTCACTCACACACAAGCGCATGCCTACCTTAAGTGTGCTTCAGATATACAAGAATAATGGTTCTTTTTATAAACTTCTATAAAGTACCAACAATTTTAATGTTATTTAATCAATTGCTGCCTAGTGAATTACTTGAATAAATTTTTGTGGTACTATTCATTAGTCATAGAGCTTTGCTTGTTCTAATCATTATTGATTTATGGTGAAAATAATCTTTAAGCATTTACTAGAAGAAATCATATCAATCTTAAAGTATAGGCTATCACTAACCAATATTCTGTAACTAACTTTGTCTTCGTTTCTACTTTCCAGTTGTTGTTTAGTGTATGTCGATGGGGATTTGATGTATAACACTTACTCCACTTGCTCCATAATTATCATTTAATCTAATAAAGTATCCTAATTGACAAACAATTGCTTTCTAGAGATAAAACGTTATTTTTTTTGCAACGTAAAATGAACTATAGGAAATCATGTTTTGTTTACTCGTAATAGACTGTTTCACTTTTCGGGAAATTTGAATATCTACAGTTTTACAATCATAATGACGCGTTTTTCCGTTGAAACATAACTGAACGTCTTTACTTTTTATGCGCGAAATATTTCTTGACCCGTATTTGGTCGAAGATGAACCTTTTAATTAACTTTTGAATCTTATCAGTGAAATGTAATTGTACCCCTTTCCCCCCCCCTTAATTAATGTTACTACCTTTACTGAAGCTGAGATCCAAGATCCGTTGGTCACTAGTCTATAGAATGTATGATATTTCTTTTTTTTTTTACTTGGAAGTATGATCGCTCTATGTAAAGGTTGATCTCAGGGTTTCTCATCTCATTTAGCCATCAAATAAAAATAAGCGCAGTTGGAAAACACCACTCTGAACATTTAAACTACACTCAATCATAATTAAAGCGTACAATATAATGAAGATTATCGTATTGTTAGTGTTTATTGTTGTATGTGCAGTAAATATCTATATGTTGCTGATATTCACCATCATGTGTGTGCGTGTACGTGTGCGTGTGTTTGTGCGTGTATTTGTAAAAATTTCTATTAGTATCCAAGTTGTCGAAATAACATATGTTTAAGTTTTCTTATTTTTGTCTCATGTAAATAGTAGAAATGGGGATGTACACATAATTCATCAAGAATACTAGATAGAATAAATAATAGCATGTGTTAAAAAGGCAGACATTTAATATTGAATGTAATTTTTCCTACTGTGTTTGTTACTACTCTTATTCAGTTGTTGATATGGGAAAAAGAATTACACTATTATTAACCAACAAATGTTTTCTAGTTTGAATTTTTTTTCTCTGTCTCTCTCTTAAAAACATTGCATATATTTGTTTTTTAGACAATTTTCATTTTTTCTTTTTGTTGGTTGTCAAAATTACATAGGATTGTAAAGCTTACTCATTAACGATACGTATTATATGTTTAGCCAGAATTTTCATTGAATAATTAACTATCACACTTGTAATTGCTAATGAATTATTATGCTGAGGTTATACTATGATTATTTTATTTTGTTTGTTATGTCTTGAAACAATTCAAGCATAAAGTGAAATTGTATTCGGCTGCTGTGGTTGTTTTTCTGGCTGACTGTTGGTTTGGTCGCCCCAATCATACACACACACACACACTCACGTACAAATAAACATTTAGTTACTGTAAGTAAACTGTGTTGAGTTAATTCTAGTTTTTTTTGAAAAAAGACAAACATCCTAAAATTGTTTTAATTCAGCCAAAAAATATCGGACACAACAAGCATTTTCGATGGGAATTATAGTCTTATGTTATTAATCATAGAAATACAATTGTTATTTGAATGATAATTGTGTTTTAGTTTGGAAACTATGATGTTTCATAGCTTGTTTTCTTTAAGTTTTATGTCTAGTCATATTTGTGTGTACGTGTGTGCTGGCATTTATACAGTTTTTGGTTAAATTTATGTACATTTGATCGAATGACTAATAAGTGTTATTGTTTTCAAAATTGATTCGTATGTTGCCTCCATCTGTTTTTTTATGGTCATCCAACTTTATATATACATGAACATTTACGGGTAAATTTTAAACCAATTAAGGCACTCAATGAGTCAATAATCACAATGAAATAGATTGCATAATTGAAAATAATAGATAAAAGTACGAAACGATGTTCAAAAACATCACATAGCTTAGTTTGGGAAGTGTCAGGAAAAGACTATCCACAGCTTTATCTTAGTAGATCTTGGTGTCAGTAGTCGCATAGTTGATAAAACTTAGTCAGTACGGATAATTCATCGTGTATCTTCGTCATATCCCAATATGGTTCGACTATGTCTGCTACATATGACCAAGGCTACAGATATCTAGTTTACACGTCCAGAATAAATTCGTGACAGCCCTGTCCCTTCTTTGATCAGATTCAACTTAATAAACGATTTGATTGAGAATTTCCCACATCGTATTGCCTTCCATTTAAATCCTTCACTGTCTACTTATTTACACATTTCTTATTACATAATTGTAATAATATTTCGTGATTGTTGTTTTAAAGTATATTCAAGTTTAACTTTTTATGTTGAACTATCTGATAGAACTCTGATTATTTTATTACTTGATCGAAATCACTAACCGAAAAAGGTTCAACAACCATTGAAAACCTGAAAGCGCTGGACAGCTGTTGAAACTCTTCAACAATGCCCATCTATGACAGCGCAAACGGGAATCAAGCCCCAGGACTTTCGGTCTTGCACGTAAACATTGAACAGCGAGCCTATAGTGTACAAGTCTAACTTTAATTAGTCTGCCAATTATTTTTTATAATCATTATTATAATCACTACCAGCACACCTGATTTGTGACCATCATTTTGTATTTTTTACTTATTTTCAGTTATGCTTGATGGCAATCTAACGGAAAACAATATTACTCACTTCATTTTCACATTGCTTTTGAAATATGTATTTCTATAAAACAGCATCATTTTCATACACTAAGACAAAAGGGACTACTGGTCTTGGTTTTCAGAAAAGAATAATAATAATAATAATTCAACTGTTTAAACTTTATAATTAATATTCATTAGATTATGTTATGCACACAAAACCACTTGGAAAAAATTGTTTTTCCTCTTACCTTTTAAGTTTTAAATTATTTGCTTCTCTCATTGAGCCAAATAATTTAGAAAAAGTATTTATTTTCATAAACATTGTTACACTAACCAGGAGCTAGATAAATTGATTCACCGATACTACTCATTTCTTATTTTCTCAATAGATTTCGTTTTGTTTTCTATATATAGTACAGTAGTAGATATCTATTTGCTTATCAGTTTATAGATTAATTTTCTTATGTTATCAACTAATCAAGTAGTTTTACTTTATTTAATTACTTGAATTGATATCACAGGTGGCAGTAAAATTATGTCTGGTAATATTTTAAGGTTCACGAATCAGTCAATCAGTTAGCTACAACGTGGTGAATGTAATAGAAGTATTAGCGGTAATGGAGAGAATTAGGGTTCGAAGATATTATTCAAAAATTATATAATCCAGTGAAATAAATTTAAAAAGAGAAAGACAAAGCTGATGAAGGTGTCAGAAGACTAGAATTTGTGGGAAGACAAAGAATGAATGGATCTGCGCCATATCATTTAAGGTCTCAAGGTTTACAAATACATTCATGTAATTTTACTAATTAAAACTTGTAAGCTGAAGTCCAATCAATGGGTTTTGTGAATTTTTGTTATCTCATCCTACCATAGTTTAACTTTTACTCCTTGCATTTTATACAACTACCAGTCTAATATTTCTTTCATATCGATTTATATTATTCGATAACCATTTACTTGAAATTCGATTACGATAGTCATTCTTTATAACTAACTATATATTGTAAAGATAGAAATCAACATTCTGTGTACTTAATATTACCATTGAAACTTTATTGCTTATGATTTTACATTGATTAAATGTGATATGTATGTATACGGTTTCGTAATGTTGAATAACACATATTTTTTATTTAGTTTGGATTAAAATTTTATCGATTATTTATTGAATATTAACTTACAAATAAAATTATCAATAATAATAATAATAATCTAATCTATCGAAAAATTATCTATTCCCTCATGCAGATAATGTGTGACATTAGTTATTATTATTATTATTATTATTATTATCATGTTAATGATGATGGACTGGTTATGTGTAAACAATCTACTATTACGATCCTACCAAGAATTGAACTTAGAATCTCAAAATCCTGTAATGACATCATTGATTTGCATTATTTCGTTAGAATCCAGTACACTGCAGGTTTTGTTAGTTTAACACTGTCCCACATAGGTTTTCTGTATTGAGATGAAACAGTTGATCAATTTTCAGAGTGACTTTTTCTCTTAATCAGAAAAATGATGGAAACCTTTCACCTATATTTGAATAACATTTGTTTTTGATGTGTATCGTTCTCATCATCAACTCTTAATGTATATTGCATTTATCAAAATGTAAAACACTGTTTAAATTATCATTTTTTTGCAGTATTATCGCGATAACTCCTACGATACGATAGCTTTCATCACTTTCAGCTTAGACTAATTCGAAATGTTTATCTTGTTGTATAAAAGATTTATTTGTTCGGGAAATCAAATAACATTTGAGTTTATGCAGTTATTATACATTAAATAAATTCAATAATTATTAATTACAGAAATTATCCATCCAAACAATTATCATATGAATACATAATCACATAGAATATAATACAATTGAATTTTAAACTGAACAAAAGTTAAGTGAATAAAAACCAATCAGTGGATTAATTAATGTAAATTAATATTTTATAGTAAGTTAAAATTACAGTGTATGAATCCAAAAGTCAAATGAACAGAAACTACACTAAATTAATGCATCAATAAACTGAATGAAAACTACATGTAAACATTAATAAATAAATATTTTTTTACCGTCCTAATATCAATTTACTTTCATCGTTAATTGATCTTCTTTAGTATCTTGTTTGTAGGCGGTACATGCACATAATGAGTATTTACATTTCACTTGTAGGTAATAAGAAAAAGTAACATCAAGAATACAACTGATCTATGTGTTGCATTAATGAATATTTTTTATTCTCACCGAGAATTCTTTCATATAATTGCGATTTAGGATTAACTCTAGCTAGTACTAGTACTTTAGCTACTTTATGATTTGTCTTGTTAATTCTACATGGTCACGCTATTGATTACGACGTGTCACTTGAAATCGATGTATAGGTATGTTAAGTTGTACGTCGTAGATGACATTATTATTATTATCCAGACTCCATTGAGGCATTATCTTCCTAATATTTATACCACTTTATTGAATGGTGTCATCCATTTATAAAAGTATCATGTTTGTATACTGTTCTTAGTGAGTTCATGATAGATAGTTTTACTATAATGAAAAGGTTAACAGTTTATAGAAATAATAACTTTCCTTTAAAGTGTCATCTAATTGTTAACTAGAATAAACTCTAATAATATATTCATACAGTTTTATCAATCAATGTCGTTGACATTACTCACCTTTCTTAACATTATTTCATATAGAAATCAGTTATTTTTTTTGCTTAATAAAACGTTCATACAAATTATAAATTAGCGCTTAATATTAGATTTATATTTAAAGTGTAATACATACATAGATGATTTTCAACTGCTTAAGACCTAAATTATGATTAACACTTTCTTTTTTGGCTTTCTTGATAAAATTACAATCATCTTAAGGAAAATAACATTCAAGTAGTAGTAGTAATAGTAGTCATGATAGTACAATTTTGTTAGACTTTCGGCTGGAACATCATCGACTTTGTCATGAATTAGTATTTTGATTACTTTTTTTTGTGTATCCAACTTTAAACTATTACGAAATGCTATATATTTTAAATAATTATTTCTATATCATTGTTTATTGAATAGTTAAATATTAATTTTACAATGAACTAGTCTCAATAAATTATTTCATAGTCTCATGAAAATAATAATTAATAAACAATTGGTTAATGAGTGAGAACTTTTTCCTTTTTCTAAATAAAATGCATCAATGTTTTATTCATCTATTCTTTTTATCATTCAGTACACTCTTTCTATTGAATTTCTTTTCAAAGACAGACTGTATAAAAAAAGGACTTTCTTATTTATATTCTTTTAGTTTATACAATAATGATAGCGGTAACAACAACAACAACAACAACCATTCAGATCATCACCATCATTCTCATTACCAATGTACAAATAATAGTAATACTAATGATAATGTTGATTCTTGGAAGGCATCAATTACACCTGTAACTGCTAGTCCACTTCCTTCTCATCATCAGCATCATCATCATCCTCATTCTGTAACTGCCGCATCTGAATCAATTCAATGCAGAGATAGCAGCAGTCATTCTGTTTCACCGCTGCCTTTGATTGTGAATAGTAATAATAATAATAATACTAGTGAAACTAATACAATCAGCAATGCAATTAGTATTCAGTTAAAAAATAACAACACTTCTCAGTCGAATGGTAAGCTTTATTCATCATAATGTGAACTATTCTTAATTTAAATTATATTTTAAAAAAATTTCATTATGTATCAGTAAAATGGTATATATATATAGCAAATATTTGAACATTTGTTACGTACTCATGTTTTCTAATTCTCAAAATCACATGATATTTTGTGTTACTTAAACAACTAAGTTTTGGAGAATTATTAATAATGATACTAATAAAAATATAATTGATTTATTCATTATTATTAGATGTATCGAATTCTTATCATACAAGAAAAATATTTTAATAAAAAGAAAAAAGATTAATCAACTTCAATTAATATTCAGCTGTATATTTTCATAGCTTAAATTATGAATTAAACTTAATGAGACCGGAAGTAAAAGCCAAAAAAAACAACGAACGTTATTATTGTCCATGATGAGTTTTGCTCCACTAAGAAATCTCTTCCTCTCATCGAATGTATTCAATGCATCAATTCTCCTTTCTTAAAAAGGAACAGAGTAGGAAAAGAGTATCAGTAAACCACTTTCAACTGGAAATATTTCCTAAAACACACAATTAGTTCATGAAAATAAATCTTAAACACGAAAATGTACAGCTATAAAATCTATGTTTAGAAAACTGGTCATCTAAAAATTTTCAGCCGACCTCAGTGTGACAAAGTGATATGAGGCAGTCTTTTCAGAAATTTAAAACAATTAGTCCCTTTTTATAAATGTTAATAGAGCATTGAACAGGCGTAGTTGATCTGAAAAATATGATATATTTGCGCTATAGATTTTGAACTTGTATCTAAATGGTTTCAAAACCAGTTTACGTCAGATGACCTGATAAACTTGGAGTATAAGATTAACATCGAAACAATCTTTAAAGCACTGTGTAGAGAAATGTTCAAGGACAAATTCTGCGGTTGATGAAAACAATATGTTACAGCCTTAAATTTACCTTGGTAATTTTTAAATCATTTTATGGCTTAGAGTAATGTGACAATTTCCTGTTAATTTTCTCTCTCCTTTTGTTAATTTAAACTATTCTTTTTAACTGACCTTTTATTCATTTTCATCTAAAATGCCTTGACTAGTATATGCATGACCAGATTTTTCGAAATGTGTAGTGCAAGTACATCACATTTTTCAGATCAACTACGTTTTTTCATTGTTCTATCAAAGCTACATAAATCGAATTCGTACTCATAATTGACTTAATTACTTGGTTAATAGAAAAGTAGTTGCTGAAATAGACATCATCATTTTAGACTGTCGGCTAACCTTGTAGAAGTTTTTCCATTTTACTTTTATTATACAACGTTTTATGAAAAATGTAACAATGGTTTAAATTACACTTTTTATATTGTCTAGTCTGTTATTATGAGATTGATCATTTGAAAATAAAAACCGACTCAGTTTAATCAATAACTCTGTTTAAAAAGAAATACTCGTTTATTTGTATCTACATATATACTTTGATCAAATATTTCTCAATATATGATCATTACAAAATGAAAATGCGTAAATATTGACGAATTATTCTTTACTATTTGCTTTCAGTTTGTTTTGCTAGTTCTCCACGTGGTAATACTGTTATTACACATCATCCAGCCAGTCCTTTTGCACGTGTTCCTCGTTGTGTAGTAGGAAAAAGTGAAGTTAATGTTAAAACTCCTATCCAGTCAACAAAATCTTCAGTATCCATGTCTAATGTCTGCATAACTTCTACCTTGACCAACACTACTACAATTACATGTATTGACAATTTTTCTACTAATCAAATTATTCCTGTTACTAATATTTCTACAAAAAATGATTCATCTTATGTTTCAACTGAAATTCAATCAGATTCTTCTGATTGTTCTCTACAACGCCAATCTATTCATGTCATTGGTAATCAACAGACAAGTATGTTTTATTTATTTTAACAAATAAATAACTAATACTGATTTATTTAGTTTTATATTGGTTTAATCCAAATACGCATCATGCTGATATACCATTCATAGGAAATCTATCCGACGAGCTGTTGAGGAAGTGAAGCTGATGGGTGGGCTATTGTTCATCCTACTCTAAGCGTTATGTAGTGAAACTCATTTCTATTATCGGCTATTTTTGATTTTGATATTTTATTACTGAAAGTCAAACCGTTTATGCAAAGATGGACGATAGCTAGCAGCGGGATCTAGGAAGCGCGTCTCGTCCTTTTTGAGGCTAACCAACTGAGTGTACCTTCATCCCAGAGTTGATATTCACTTCGGCACTCGAATTCATTGTTATTAGCCTTTAATACCATGGTGGTATTCAATAAGCTAATCAGTTCAAACAGCCGCTGGCTTGTGCACTGGAGTGAAGTTTAATTAATTTCATCTTCCCACTGATGTTCCAGACTGTGATTGATCAGTCACTTTTGATTTATATGCATCCGACGTATTAGACCCTAGTTTACGGAAGTGAAGACTAATTTCAGTGTAAACACTATTCATGATTCCAGTTGAAGAGATTGATTAACTATCAAATCATGTATATGAAAGGACATTTATATTTAGACGATAAGTGATTAATTTATCCTTAAGCATTCAACAATGCCAAATACAGTTTGATATGAAAGTTGTTAATTTATTTTTCAACATTGTATACATACGTTTCTGTTGTTGCTTGTTTTATCTATAAACAAACTCGTTTTGTAGTATGCCAAATGATATAAAACATATTGAATACCTTGAAATTGTTTAAAGTAAAGGAAAAAGATTTGTTAATTGTAATGGCATTTTCGAAATGATAGTATTAGAACAGGCGAGTGCTTAGTATACATATACATATATATTGGTATTTGTGACAAGGTTATATTCTTTTCAAATTACAATGTGATACATACATTCAGTTAAATTCTATATTATTAATTTAGTTGAAAGAAAAAAATGTAAATGCACACTAATGCATATCGAGTGTATAGAAAAATTTGTTTAAAGTGTACTATAGAAACGAGCTGAAAACAGTCGTGACAATTTTTCAGCTAATTCTTAGTCATTCAACAAACAATTTTTGCGCATTGATTGGCTATTAAAATAGGAGTGTAAATAGATTTTTACATAATTAATCAATATGTTAATATCTTTTTAGTAGTTACTTTACCCTATAATGCAAAACAAATAATTTTGTTTTATTTAATAACTGTAGAACATGTTCTTTAAAACATTGGTTGGTTAATAGTATCTGATTATAGATGTGTTCAAGGCATTACCACTCACTTATGCTAAGAACAATGGGTGATCAATACCATAGTTAGATGCAGAGTACTAGCCATAGGTGACATATTGGTTGATGTGGTAGTGAATCTTCATCGATTTAGGTTATTAGATATAATACATATGAATGCATATTGTTCATCCTTGTAGTTGAATTTATGTATCACATTTGCACAACTATCCCTATTTCAACTCTCACTGTATTGGCTAGTTTAGAAGTAGATTGGGAGAAGGCTAGTGGTGGCTAAACCACAATGTCATATCACTCCATGAAGTCATTAATTTCTGGACTGAGCTGCGTAGTTAGATACAGCCTACCTGGTTGGGGTTTACGCTATTATTGCAACGAATAGTTGAAAGTGTTGAATTACATGGTTCAGAATTGGTCCCAGTTGAGCATACACGTTCACTCTTTGTTTTAAGATACTCATACTTTCCATGACTGTTTACAAAACTTAGCTTTCATATTTAAACATTGTGAAAAATAAATTGACGCTTTTCACTGTTAATCTATTATTACTGTTTTGTATGTGTGGATATTTTTCTATTCAATCAATTTTGATGATAATAATAACAATGTCGACAAACAGTTGACATACTATCCAATCTGTATCAGGTACGAGACAGTTAGTTATCCACCGCAAGGAATGTACGAGTGTTGCACAATATTGTAATTTGGTTGAAGTTAAGCATTGACACCCTTAGATACCAACTTATTGGTCTACACGTTCAGTGGTCACGCTCGAGCCTGAATGTTCTGGACCCGATTCTATGTTTGCACTACTAAGGTTGTTCCATAAGAGGAAAAGACAACTGTCCAGTGCTTCCGAGTTTCCAATGGTAGTCTAGTTAAAATCAGCTTGTGGTTTTAATGGTGAAGACTTCAACACCTTCATAAATCCTCTATACTAATATAATTTTTGGTTACAAATTAGTTTTTAACTTGATTTGATGTATTATTAGTACTAATCAATCAGACTTTTGTTTTTGTAATAACAACGTACACGTATTTAAATAATAAACTATCGATAGGATTCCATTTTCATCGTGTTCATTTATTTACAATCTCAATAGGATACTACTGTTATCCTCAAAATACTGATTGATTACTACTATTCGATATAATTAAACTAGGAAATTCACTAATCTAGTGATATTTTGATGAACAATAAATTTGTTGATTAAGATTTTAATGTAATCACATGATTCGTCTAAGTGTTTATTGATATTCCTTGTGAAATATAACAAACAGTAAGACAAAACAATTTAATCCTATATTATTTTTCATAATCGTATTACATTTAGTTCAGTAAAATAAAAAAACTGTTTCGTGTAAAATAGTCTCATAAAAATGTTTTCAGGAATTACATAACATTATCCACAATGTATGTTAAAAGTTTTCGATATTCAATAAAACTGTTCTTCGTTTTCAGTGATTGAGTCAGCAACAACGTAGAACCTCATACGTACGTACGTACTTACGTACATCAATTCGAGTTGCTATTATCACATTTGCATAGAGAGATGAAATTTTCATCTGTTCGTTGTATAACTCTACACTATTTTTACTAGTTAGGAGTTGTTTATATAACAGAAGTTTTTCTTTTTGAATTAACTTTAGCTTATTGTTGAATAAATCTCACCTTTCCTTTGTTCTTCTTCTTCTTCGTCTTCTGAACAATTTTCAGTGATTTATTTTTGACTTTATAATGAGCTGAGATTTATTATTTTTCCTTCACAGTCTCATTGTCGGACGATCATAGCAGACACGTATTTTTGTAATAATAACAGAAGTTTCGTTTTATTAAAATATGGTCTGAACGAGTTTCTATAATGGTGAATTTGCCTTATCACCCTAGTCAATGTGTTACTTATTTTATTCTAGACGAAAGTTTAATCACTTTCTATATGAAGTAAAAATTAATCATCATTCTTCATTGAAATGTGTATTTTTTTTTGCTTTTATTTCTCTACAGATCCTATTTCCAGTGAATCGAATCAGCTGATCAATCTGTCTAAGACAGATTTTATGGATTCACTAAATTCAATGAATAATCAAATTAATAATTCACATGGACTCGGTCGTAGACGTTCTAATATATCCAATCCTTATCCAACTTATGAAGAAGCTTGGGATTTAAAATTAGCTCGTCAACTTGGTATCGGTGTATCACGTTTACCATCGATTATTCCGTTATCAGCAAATGTTCAAAATCACATTCCACCTTCCATGCCTTTCAACACTTCTACAAATACTGACAATTCTATTCCTATCAATAGTAATGATAAAACTAGAAATAATAATGTAAATTTCTCACCTTCTCAGTCTATGTCATTGAATAACAATAATAATAGACAATGTTTAAACAGTGATGATTCGCATTCGATTGAATCAAATATGAAATTGTTAACTATTTCAACATTGGCATCTTCTTCTATTCCTTCATGTACAAATGATGATAAACTCATAAATTCAACTACTAATTCTGAATTAATCTCAATTATAACTCCAAATCCTGTGACTGATCTAAATCATAATGATCATGTGACTATGGATACGAAACTAGCACAGAAATCAACTAATGATACAAATGGTTCATTTCGTCATGATGAACTAATTAAAAATCATTCTAGTCATATGGTATGTATCATGTATATATGTGTATATATTGGTAATTTTCAGTTATTGTGTGTGTATCATTAGAAATCTCAAGGGATATTGTCGATAAACTTCACGGGACTAATCATAAATCATAAATTTTATGTACTGAGTTTTTTTTTCTTGTTGCTGCACTCTAGTTACGCACGGGCAAACAATAATAGTAGATTCGATCCTACTACCCATAAGTTTTAATCAATGTGCTTTAAGTGCACGAAGTTTACGACAGTATTTATGAAGTTCCAATTAATATTTGTTTCTTCCACCAGGTTTAAAAACATTTGTCTTTCTTATACAGCAATATTACAGATGACTGTTTAAAATAAATATGATGTAGATATCAGAGGCATATATTTGTTATTGGAATCCTAAAAGTGGATCCTTAACATGTAGTGTAGTAGAATAATGAAAAAGGGCGGTAATGTAATGGTTGACTGTAAACATTTACTGATTAAACTAGTTAGTAATGATGAAATTTTAAAACTTACTGACTAATCCATTTCCAGTGACTATGGGGATGGATATGTTGTTTTACAAAAGCTAGTCCACTTGATAAATGTAGCGAAATACAAAAGAAAATATTGTTTATTAGAATTATATGACATTCAATGCATTTCAAACAAATTAATAGCATAGTAATTCATAAAAATATTTATGTATAAAACAAAGATCAAATATCGGCAAAAATGAAAATAATTATGAAAGAATTTCATGAATTACATTATTTTGGACATTGAAAATGTAATCACTATTATCAGAGTAGGTTTAGTGCAAATATGCGGTACTTTTCGAACATATATACATAATGAAGGCATTGGTCTTTTTTCATGTTTAAAGTTTCAAAAAAATCCAAGTTATTCACCAAGAACAACGTTAGGGATGTTAGATCCCCAGAACTCGCTTGATAAATGCCTTATCTTGTATTTCACGTTTGCGAGCATGGGCTGATCAGTTGATCTTGAGATTTCATTTCCCACCAAGAAAATCCTTGGCTGTGATTGGCTGCTGTGTATTTTAGTGTGCTATCCTTGTGACTGTCCCAAGGACGTTTCTATGATGTATAAATAAACGAGAGTTGTGTGCTGTATTGTATTGTGCTTGCTCGGGATCAAGGTAGCCTACCTGGACGCTGGTAATTGTCTCGTTTGCGTTTATCGACTAAGGTGAACTCGTAATAGCTTCAAGCGTACCTAGTGATGAACTTAACACACCAAAACCACAAAGTCTGATTTAAGATTCATCTTTTAACTTGTTCCTCAACTTTCTTTTTAACATTGGAAGATGATGCTCTTATCAAATCATTGAACCTAAATTGTTTTCTTTCTCAATCATTCCGATACATAAAAGTCATCTACTCAATTTTTGTTAGCTCTATTTATGTATTTTCACATGTATATATGTAAATTAATATATTGAACGAGATGTGACACAGTCGTTTACAAGCAAGAACATTATTATTTTTTCAATAATGATAATAATAACGTTGATTCATAAGTTCATTCTACTAGTAAACAACTAAAACTTCTATTTTGATACATAGCTATTTAACTTGACTAAGTCTAATAAGTCTACTAAATATAGGTAAAGCATGGGATACACAGACCAGCAATCAGATGCCTAATGGGAACATCATAAAAAGTATCTAATTAAGTAGTTGTGAATCTATTCTTATTATTTCAACTTTCATATTCTATTTTATTTCTGTCATGTAGTTTTGTTCTATTTTATAATGTAACCTTTTACGATAATTATCATTACTACTATTGTAGCATATAAATATTCATTGATTTGATTATCTCTTGTAACATTTCATGTTCACTAATGATCAATTGAGAATAATTACTTTCATAGAAAATTATAATTGCTACAGGTTTTGCTTCTTTTTGTTAAATAAAAAATTTCAGCATTATAGATTAATGAAGTGAATGAACAGATATTTTATACTGTAAACAATCATTTTAGAATATTTTATTAATTATTCGAAAAAAAAATTCAATAGACAATGTACGATACTTTAATTTTAATAGAAAGATGAAATATAACAATTGTTTTAGCGTATAAAATGAACTAATGAGATTTTGCATATAAAAAAAATCACAAGTTCCAATTGAGAATTATGAGACAATTTTGTGTTTGCTATTGAAGTTTCTAAAGGTTGTTGAATTTTTTATACTTTACGTTGTGGAATGGTATCAGTTGGAAAACAAGACAGTATTGCTCACCCACAACTCCACCAACAGTCAAACCTAGAACATTAAGGTCCGAAGACCGAACCCTTAACTGATGAACCTCACAATCTCTATCCAATAGTGTACCTGTTTGATTTGAAGAAGTTTACGATGTCGTTTGACTTAAAGTGACTGAACTTTACTAGTCATGGCTTCTCATTTATGTTTATCGTTTCGTAGAAAATTGTTGAAGTACAATTAAAGAAAATGAATCACTTATGACTAATTGATTGGTCGATTAACATCAACAATGGTAACAAGCATCCATGCACAATATTGAGACTGACTGACTAATAAGTTAGTAAGTAATTAACTGTGTAGGATACATATTTTCTCATTGTTGATCAGATATACAGAACTGAACTGTTCTGTTAGTTTTTTCGGTATATGACTCTGTGTAAGCTGTATTAGCAGCTATTTTGATTTTTGGTGTAATTATTATCATTGAATTATTGAATTTATGTTTCGTGACATTTTTATACTCGTCAGATGAACTCAATCCGTATATCTGGAGTTGATATTTTTCTACGTTTGTTTGAAAACAGTATCTTCTTCTCATTCGTTTTTGGAGGGCATTTATTGATAGAAAGTTCACTTGTCTTGTCTAATTCATGAGAATAGTCATTATTTTGTTCGCTTATATATATATATATATATATATATATATATATATATATATATATATATAAACTATAAACTATAATTCAACAGGAGCTTATTGATTCCAATAAAATATATTACTGTATTGTTTTTGTGAAATTCTAGTCTTCATTCCTAAATGTTTATGAAACAATTTTTGTAATTGGTTATATTCACTCGAATAGTTTTGCATGATTTTCGCTTCTTCTGTTTTTGGTAATGTTCACTATTAGTGTTTATAGTGTACAAATATACATGCACATGTAACGGATGTGCTAAACTACTTTTATGTATATGAATTGACTAGTAATATTTCACTACTACTGTTCTTTTTTTAATCATAGTTATTACTATTATCATCATCAATGTCTACTAGAATCATAGAATTGATTAATTACTAAACACTTTTTGAATAATGAAGCATAGATGTGAAATCATTCGTGGTATTATTTCAGTAAATTCTCGTTAGGTTTTTTTAACTACAAGTTATTGATTGACTGACCAATTAAGACGATTAGATTGGAGGGATATACAAAAATTATGAATTAAACAAAAGTCTGTAGATAATTATTACATCAAGCAGATATTGTTAATGATTAGACAAGAATAATTCATTTTTATTGATAAAAATAATAGAATAAATTTAATTAGTAAAATATTCCGTCAGAGAATATGTACCATGAGAGCAAATTGATATTTGTATCAAACTAGATTTTTTTTTTAAAGATTTGTATGGATACTAAGATGGTTTTGTTATATACGTCAAACTAGGTAGACAAATTTAAATAATGATAATGCAGAGTCAGGGAAGGGGGAATGGTCTGTACTTACTGACTTACTCATACCTATTACCCCTAATGAAGCATAGGCCACCGATTGACATTCTTCAACTTACTCTGTCCCTTAACCTTCCTTCCCACTTTTAATCAATTGCCGTGCATTCTCTTCATGTCTGTTTCTAATTTTCGGTTCAGTGTGTTTTATTTAGTCTACCTCTTTTGCGTTGGTCTTGAGGATTCCAAGTCAGTGGTTTGTACATATAGTATATTTTATTATTATGAACTTATAAAGTCTAATGGTCTATTACCTAATATAAAGAAAGAAGTTGAACCTTTTGTTTTCTTCTCAAATTCGAAATTCTGTCGTTCGTATCGTCAAAAATAATTAATGAATTAATTTTAATATGACAGATTATTGATAATATGTGACTAATGGTTGGGTCATTATAATTTTTACAGAATCCACATTATAAAACTTCTTTTTTTTACTGTAAGATGTCCATCAATCAATACAACTTTTATCACATAGTTAATTGAATCAGTAAATACAAGAAATATAAAAGAAACCACTGATACAAATAATAATTAGTCTTTCTGTCATCATCAAACTCATACAAATCATTCATTATAGTTGCATTGTATTGTTTGCATATCTAAGTGTTCTATTCTCAAAATATTGCTATGTTAGTTGTTATTGATTATAAACTGCACAGCACACTGTCAGTCAAGTCAGTCAGCTACAAAATAGATTTTCATACGTACGTACGTATGTACATTAGTTTAAGTCGTCACATAACACATAAACACAGATAGATGGAATTATCAACTCAAACTCCATAGGTAGTGTAGAGATAGCAGCAGTATTAACGGTAATCGGGAAGATTAGCGATCGAATATATGAGTCGAGCAGTACATTTGAATGAAATAAGTGTAAGAAGAGAGAAAAAAAGGTCATGAGAAATTCAGAAGATATACATTGATTAACTGAAATCTACCATTTAATAGTGTGAATAATAAATAGCTGAAACATTTTCATATCTTAAAATAAGTGATGTAGATAATTTTTATCGATTAAATAACTGAATCACAATACGGTTGTAATTTGTTTTTGTTCCTTTTTTTTTAACTTTTTTGTAATTTTCCAATTGGATTGTATTGAAACTTTGAACGTAAAAATGAGTTTTTTTGTTGTTGGTATAATTCAATTTGATAAAATGCAAAGACATTTCAAGAACAAATTTCAATTGATTCTGTCGTTATCTTTACTCTCAACATATATATATATATATATATATATATATATATATATATATATATATATATATATATATCTGACTTTGTTTTACAACTCTTTTGATTTTTTGTAAAGAAACTGACTAATTGTTCGTTAAGCTTATTGTTTTTCAAATTGTTATTGATCAATGCCAATATTAAACTATAGATTTTATCTTGTATATTCGTTCCTTGATTTTTGAAAATTAACTATAACGATGTATACATATCATATTGATTGATGTTTATGTTTGTTTAAATGTTATAAAAGTTCAGTAGTGAAATGATTTATCTGTGTGTTGTGTTTTTTTCACGCTTAATCGATCAAATGCATCACAACTTTCCAATTAGGACTTTAAAATGTTGTTTGATGATGTGAATAAGTCTTTTTCACAATTTTTATCTTATTGTTATAATTCAAGTCAGAAAACTGTTATGATGCTTTGTGTTAATTATTGCTTAACATTTTTTTTCTTTCATTGGTTTAAATTAATTTAGTCAAATGGAAAAACTGAAAATAACGGTGAATATGATTACGCCTATAATGGTTCATGGAGTATGGGTGTCAAAGTAAGTTTTCTTAGATAATATCTCGTTTTTATGTACATGTATATTCTGTGAAATGTCTGTATCATCTAGGATGGAATTGATCTATTCTAGATTAAAGTTTTTTTTGTTTCGCAACGATTATGGTTCATATATGCAACAGCAAAGAAAAAGTTGATTTCCAATTTGACTATCAACAAACAGATAAATGACATTGTAATCGTTCGGTAAGTGTTTAAGGCATATGCTCAAATTCAGTCTTTCTCGATCTGTATTTACTAATGAACAGAGGAATAAATTTTTTTTAAAAACTGTTTAAATGCGAATAAATGAAGATGTGAAAACTGTTTATGCAATTATCGACTTATAGTTTAATCCATATTAAGAGGTGCCAGTTGCCTAATTGGTTTGTACACGATAATTGTAGTTTATGATTGGCAATATGAAGTGATATGGCTCAAAATTGACGGGCTTTAATTTCAGTATTCTTCCAAATCTTAAATTTTAATATCTCTGGCTTTCCACATTTTCTCATCATTAATCGCCTAGAAAAAAACTGTTTATTCTGTCGTATTTTTACTACTGTTGATGTTATTCTCAGTATTTTCACTCGTTTGTTATTTTTCTTGCTGTACTGTTGTTGTAAAATATCCCAACTTGAGATGCTGAGTATTAACGCTAAATTTCATGTCCTTCACGAATGAATGACTTAACAGTCCTAAGGGAAGCCATTGGAAATGAATAACTTGGAGTTTTTTTCTGTCTATCGTTATTATTATTATTATTAATTTGTTGGTTTTGAAGAATGATTATCTAATGAATTATAATCCTATTGAGAAGGATTCGATTTCGATTTCGACCAATTTGGTCTCGTGTGCTGTTACGGGTATGAGGGCGGTTATCACTTCCCGGCTGCCCACACCATGGAAGTTTGTTTCTTGAGGGACCTGAAAAGGAAGATAGATTAGTGTTGGTCTTAGAGACCTGGATGCGTGACCGCAGAGCGCAAAGGACAACTGCTTGAGGCCGGTCACGCACGGCCTTTTTATAAGAAGTTTTGTGAGTGTTAGCTCCGCTCTTGAAAGCCCTTAGTGGGCACCCTTACCGACGGAGACGGAAATCTGTGAGGTAGGGTGAGGTGTGATATTTTTAGGGTCGACCTTTTCTAACCCTTCCTTCCTTGTGAGAAGGAAGCATCGCTGCAGATACTGGTTGTCCGAGGGAAACACCTTACTGCTGTCACACCTCTCTACAGTCAGCAGTACGACTTCGCCCTCAGACCTTGGGTAGCTGCTTTTACTCTCATCATTCTCCAATCGACCTGTCTGGCATTGTAGAACCTTCAGGAACATGAGTTCCAGCCAATATAGCTCGGTTGGGTCATCACGATAGGCAAGCCCGACCACCACGTCAAGGTAGCAGCTACGGTCGGGTCTACTGAGAAGTGTCGATTATTTTCAATGTTCAGTAGTAAATTCTCATCTCTGATTAAGACCGAACTAAAATACCTAATCATTATCATGCATAGTTAAGCATTAGGCGTGTAATAAATTTCAAATCCTTATATTAATAGGTATTATCCATTAAACTACAAATTTTCATATATTGGTATTTTTATTCTTGAGAATAAATAATAAAATATAAAATCCATGGAGCCAACATAGATTCATATTGCATCATAGAGATTAGAAGAAACGAAATCTTATTCATTCATTGTTTTTACGTGTAATTGTAAGATTTTAAAATAAATCTTGTAAACATTGGATTATTCATTGAATGTCACCTACGTGATTTATTCAAACCTCCCTTGGGATATATATATATATATATATCGCAATGCATAAAAAACAATTGCCTCGCTTTATACCACTGATTAAATGTTAATAAAGTATCTTAAACCCTTTCAAACTGATTTATCATAGATCATACTAATATGTTATTAAACATATAAATCTGAAGATATTTTATATCACGGTTTATCTTTTCATTACATAAATTATTAGAAATCATAGCATATTAGACTAATCGTTGGTTTTAACATTGAACATAGAGTTGCATTGTACACACACACACACACAACCTCTTCTAGTCTAAAAACGTTCAAATTTCATCACGGCAAATGTATCACCTTTAAATTACTAATCTGATAAATTTTGTCATTCACATTTCTAATTGTTGAATTTCTTGTTTTCATCTTCTAACATTCATTCATAGGAATGATTATGAAGTTGTGTTTAAAAGTACTTTTATTCTATAATTATTTCTTGTTTACTTACTTGAATAAGACAATTATTTTATTTCAAAATGTGCATTCATGGTTGTAGTTTTGTCAACGTAGAAAAAAAAATATGAAAGAAAAAAACAATTGAATTCCACTTGAGATGTAGATTGAAATAATTGACATCGATAGTAATGTGTAGTATGTAGTATGCAAACATTCCAATAATCATAAATTTATCAAGTGTACACTTTGTATGAAGTTGTTTGTTTTGTTGTTCTATGGTTGTGTCATTCTTTGCTGAAGAGGAATGAATTTTCTCAACTGTGCATGCATTTTTTTTCGTGTACATCAAATAAGCATTTTCAAATATCAATATGATTTGTTAATCGATTGATTCATAAAAGTATCCAGTATATAAATCAATCAGTTAATAGTAATGTTTTTTTTTAAGCAAATAACATTATATACACAAAGATAAAGATTGATTAGAATTGGAAACCTTGAAAAAAATTCGATATTCTAACTGAAAGTTTTTAAGTATTCTATTTTATAGTTTATTAACCTAAAAGTCAATAATAGCATCAGCTAACAATTAAATTTCATTTCAATGATCAAATGTTGTGATGGATTATTGTTGTTTGAAAAAGCAACAGAAACTTCCTTAAATCGATTTGTTTATGAATTTGAAAAATGTTCAATAAATGATTTTGTATATTTTTTTTTCATTTCGATATTGACCTTTAAAGCGTTTCAAAAGCATTTCAATGTTATATATATATTTTTTGAATACATTAAACTGTTGTTGTTTCAAGCAAGGAGTAAAATTATATGATTGATATTGTTGCAAAAAGTTTTTATTGCTGTAATTTGTGAGCACGCTTGACCGCAATTCCTGGGTTCTATTTCCTGTAGCGGAGTCGTTAGTGCGCAACGCCGAACTTATCCTATACTAGAATAAAACAGCAGTTTGGTGCTTCCCGGTTTTCATTGTTGGTCTAACGCAATATATATTCGGTAGAAGTACACCATATCGATGAGTCACGTGAAATCCAGCTAACTATCTTAGCGTTTTCACACTAAATTTAGTAATGATTGACTTTTATCTTATACTACTTTAAACATGAGTCAGAAATACTTTTGTATAACACTCCAAACATTTAAAATGATTATGAGAAATTACTCATTGCCATTATAGAGTAAAAATAATAGTGTTTAAAGTATCAAATACTCAATTTTCCCCCACTAGATTGTATATAACGCTTATCTTCTTTCTATTCCTAACCGTAAACTCGTAATTCTTTCTCGGAAAATCTCAATGCATATACTCCTGAAAATCTATTTGCTTGTATTTGGGGAGCTCGGAAAGATGGATGACCTATATTATTCATATGTGACATACCTGTTGTAAGCTTCAGCAAGTCCATTTTATAAAATCTATTAAACCCTTTTTTTAATATCCTTGTTTACTTACCATTTGCCAAAGGTATTTTTTGGTTGGCTATCTTGTGTCTGAAATTCATTTAGCTTGTTCTAAGCTTATCCTTGTAAAATGATTCTGTCGATTCTGGTCAGTTCTAAGTGAGTTGAAATGAACAATATTGTCATTGAAATCAATAACTAATATTTAGAGTAAACAAGGAGTGAAGGATAGTAAATGATATTCTGTAGCAAAGTATTCTTTTTGCTATTATTTTGCCAAATGTTATTCTAATATTATCTATAACTTCTTTAATTGACATACAAGATAATTTAATCTAAACTGATCCATATTTCGAGATCATTTGATTCAAGTCATCTTTCAACTTACGTTTTTCATGTTCTTCTCTTGGAATTTTTGAACTACTTTTTGTAATGTTAAATTTAATTGTTGCTTCTAAACTATTCGTTATGTTTTTCTCCTCTCCGACTTTAATATATTAACATATTTTTTGGTCGTTGGAACTAGTAAATCTTTGATAATATAAAAGGAGTGTGTTCGTACACACACAAGATGCAATCAGCTGTTGTTTTTATGTCATTTGATCATAATCTATGTCTATTTCTTGTCATCATTGTTAGCATGTAATCTGTTGTATAGCTTGTCTGTTATGTCACTAGTATGTTACGTTACATTTTAGCTGCTATTTTTTCTCTTGTTGGTTTATTAGAAGAAAAAAAAATTCCCACTTTATTTTCCATTAATTTCCTCTTGATTTTTTGTTTACTTGACCTTGAACATTGTTATCTAATCAATACAACATGTATGTTGAAAGATATTTTTTGATGAATAATTGTCTTCTTTTGGCCTCCACAAATTTCCATCTGAAATGTCAATGGCAACAACATTGACATCGTTTAAATTTGTAATAATCAATAACGTTTATTCACTACAAATTAACTGAAAGAATATTGTGGTATTAACTTTTTCAAAGATTGTTTGTTTCTGCATAGTTCGTAATAATGCCAATTTAACAGGATGTATTGATTCATTAATAGTTTATTTTTTGAAGTTTATTATATTTAAATCTTCTCAAAATCATCCCGTCGAATAGTCTCATCGTGTACTCATTACTGGTCAACTGTGAAGTCAAGTTTTTAAAATCAAAATTTTATTGAGCAACTGTTATCTACGGGGTCAATCATGTCCATCAAGATAACTAACTAACTAATCCTTTAAATAACTTGCTCTGCAGAGGTATCGTAGTTATCATCTAGTTTCAGATGAGTTCTGTCACATGTGTGCAGTTGTGATTAGCGCGTCATTAGGTAGCACTAGACCAGGATGAAACAAACTCTTCAGTATTTTACGATTTATTGATCTGGAAGTTATGCATAAATAGAGGGATTTTAGAGCTCTCACGTTCGATCCTCAGTAAAGTTAAAGATACTTTTAAATTGTTATATATTTAGGTTTATTTATTGCCTAATTGAGGACTGATAATGTTTCATTGTCTTCGAATTTAGCTAATAATCTTTAAATTCTATTAAAATAGTCGTCATTTGTATGTGTAGTTTTTCTTTTAAAGTTTTTCCCACATTCTCCCTTCCATTTGTTCTTATTATTAGTAAATATATGTTGCTCAGTATATTTTTCTATGCTAAATTCTAATCTGGAATTACTCATATAGCATAAATTTTAGTGATAGGAATATTATTATATGGCATAAATTTTATCGTGATTTTTAGACATACGTGTGTATATGTTTGTACATGCTGTTGCATTTATAGTAGATTTACAGTTGAATATATAAAAACTATAGGATTTACGGGTTACCTGTTTTGTCTAAGAATAGTGTAAAATATTTTTGAAACTACATCAGTCTAATCCATATTGTTCCCTTTCACATTATTTGTTGAAAGCATTTGGCACAATATGCGTAAAATATTTCGCTGTGGTTATTTATCATCATTACGTTTTGTTGGGCCTTTTGTTTTCCTTAAATTTAGCTCAGTTTAGATCTAACCATCAATAATTCTTCAAACGATACATCTTTACTACCAAATACACCAAAATATAGTAATGCAACAACAACAACAACTGTCAAGTCAAATTTAAATCATTCTTCACCTTCATCACATCATCAACAACATCATATAAATTATCCTCCTCCTCCTCCCCATCATCATCATCATCCTAATCAACTTATGCAACATGGTTTATCTTCTTCTGGTCAATTACAAGAGTCTAGTAAATTTATTTTCATTAAAAATACTACTGATAATGATTTGAAATTGAATTCAACTACTCGTCCTGTACAATCAATTTTATCTAACGATTTCGATAGTATTTCTACAAGTAGTTGTGATGAATCATGGGATGCTCGACATGGTCGATTAGTATCGGAACTAATGAGTAAGTTGAACATTTGTTTTTCAATGTACATATAATTTTCTAGTGTAGTTATTCAAATATCATTAATAGAGGAGATAGCTTACACTACAGATTGATTGTGGCAATGCAGCCATTCAAAGCTAAGCAGCAATAAACAACCGTCTCCTTCTAATACAAAAGTCCTAAGTGTTACTCCGTCATCATTTCTGCAAGAAGGATTTAACCTAGGATTTTCAAATCTCATAAATAAGTACTTTATAATTTAACCGTTGATTTGATACATAATGGTTGACTACCTATAATTGAATATCGTTTTAATTGATTGTTATTGCTATTTTCAAGAATTCAAATTTTTAACTGGTACACTTTTCAATGTTATTGTTATTATTATGTTGTTTTGACTGAATGCACACTGCTTTAAATTATAATTACTTACAAACATTTAAATGTTGTTTCTCTATCGTTTTCTCGATTGTACTTATTTCATTGTTATTGTCTACACCACAAATAAACAACATACACTACTAACAATTTGTTAAATTTCCAACTTTATTATGAATAATTAATGTAAACTAATGGGATAATTTCAATTGACAACAAATATATTTATATACCAAATTAATGAAAAGGGTTATAATTGACAATTTTCCTATGATTTATAGAAATAAAATGTACTAACCGATTGATAATGGATATATTCAAAAATTAAACATTCAGTCTAGTTGCAATATGACTTGTTTTATTCATTAACGCATGAATAATAAGAACAATGATTATTGAGCAGTTGATCATCATTATACATGTATTTGCTCATTATATTGAATTAATAGTTGTTACTATCCACCATAATAATAAAAATAGTAATAATAATAATAATCTTTTAGTAATTTATTATTGGTTTATAAATTTTGATTACGATTCTTTATGAATTAGGTAAACAATTCATTGAATAGGGAGACGCTCTGATATAAAATGATTAAGCTTCAGTGGAAACTGTTCGTTTCAATATTGAATAGTACAATTTAATCAATGTAATTTGTGCTTCATTTTATTTAAGTTTTATTAGTCAGTTATCATTGTATGCGAAATTCAGCCTTTTATTCATGAAAATATTTTTGATAGTCTAACTGATATATAATATTTAGCTATGTTCATATAGACTAGGTGACTTTAACAAGTTCTATGTAATGAACTCTGTTGTTTTTCCAATCCATCGGTGATATGTTTATCAAAGGTTCACTTTTTTTAAATCTTATCAGATGAACGGTCAAAGTAAGTTTTATACAGCCCATGGTTGGTTTGATATGATGGTTTTTATCATGACTTAACGTTAACTAGAGAACTGTTATTAATCAAGGAGCACCAAACAGCTGCACCTATGACGTATTCAGGAAGTGAAATCGGGAAATTCAAGCCTCTTGGGAGGGTCACGTTACCTTCGAACTATTACTAAGACAATAAAGCGTGACTTACATTTCCAAATTTAGTTAATTAATGATTGTAGCATGATCATCATCCATTTACATCGACTAAGTGATTTACTTTGGTTTTGAAGTAATAAATCATCTTTATGCTATTTTTTATGTTTTAAAATATCAATTCCAGACGGTCGTTTTATCGATCCAACAGTTATTATTTCAACCACTGGTAAATCTACAAATGCAACGCCAACTACTGCGGTAATGTCAGTGAATAGTGATTTCATGACTTCCGAAATTTGTAATTCTTCCGGAACAAATATGCTTACAGTTCCTGCTTCATCTTCTAACACTTCATCATGTTCGTCTTCCTCCTCTTCGTCGTCATCATCATCATCATCATCGGTATCTACGACGTCACATGTAATTATAACATCCGCTGCTGCTCCTCCTCCTCCTCCTCATTTAATGAATTCAGTTAGTAAGAATAAAATGTTATCTAGTCAAAATAATCTACCTAAAGGTCTACCTCCTCATTTGGAAACATTACCACTTGAAGAGCAACCGTAAGTATTTCCTTACATAATTATCACTAAGTTTTAATATCAATTAATATGTTTCTACTGTTTATTTCTTCATAATTAGAGAAAAATGTGATTTTGAATACTTAACAATATTTTTAAGCATCTCTTATCATGTATTTAATAAGTGAATGCAAGCTGTTGACATCTTCACATGCGGTTTGTTAGTTTAGTACTGTTACTGTTACGATTGATTTAATTTTAAAAACACTGAACTAGTTTTGGTTGAATAATTAAAATTTGGTTATAAAGTTGAATTTTATCGTTAAATTCGACGTCAATAATACTACTATACTATGTAGGCTCGGTACAATGTAGAGATTTGGTTGAAATAAAACCTTCAATTCTTGTTTCAAAAATATGCATACATATATCGATTTTAGAAAGTTTTTCTCATGGATTCCATAGACACTGGATGGTAAATGTCATATGAAGGTATATAGAGATGAGTAATTTATTTTAGGCAATACAAGCTTCTCTAACACAGTTAGTTTATTATTTCTTTTCACAAACCATGTAGATTTCGATTATTTAATAAGATAATTTGTATTTGTGTAAATACTTCAATTTATTTTGAAAATGAACCAATTTATTCTAGACATTCATATTTCATTTTGTTTATTCTAATTGTGTTTTTTTTTCTTGCTCATTCAATGTTGATATAAGTTTTTTTTCATCAATGTTTTAAATATGTATTTCTTGTTGATCCTATCACTTTAAAGTGAATGGAAATTATGAGCTAATTTAAATTGATACATTAAGTTAGTTCGGTGTTGTTTTGTTTTTTGTTCTCAAATTTTTGTTTGATAGTTTGTGAATTATTTAACATAAACTATGATAAATGTGTAATAAATCTAGAGACTATTTTTTATCAGTAAGACATTATTAATCTAACGAATAAATTTTATTAGTTTATTAAAAAGAAAAAAATTATATGAACTAGTGAGATTTACTGATTATCGATTGATGATCATTGTATGATTTCATCTTGTGTATCGCATTTGAATGAGTTTGTTTAAGTCTAGAGAATTTATTTTAGTCAAGATGTGGAAAATGTAGAAATTTTCTTTTACAATGGTCGAAACTGTACAACATATCAAACAGGGTTAGTGATGCCATCGTTTTGTCCTCTGATGTCATAAATACTTGAATTTTCAAGTAATTTATATAAGACATTCAACTACGGACCAACTTACTACGGTTCAAAATATTCCTCTTACTCTTTTCACCCGTCACAATAAATTTATATTAACGTAAATAAGCAAATAAATGAAGAAAATTTAATGAAATCTCTGAGTAAATAAATCGTTACCACAATTGAATAAGCAACAGATTGAAAAGTATAAGTTTTTTGTTCAGTCAGCTTGTACAGTCTTTTTGTCGCATAGTCTATGTGCTGGATACGGTATTATGGAGCTTTTGTGCTTTTGTATACTTACATAAATTCTAATCTCATTCTAAATCTCATTCTACTGAAAGAGGTAAATGGATAGGATGGTGAGTGAATGTCTGATAAAATAACACTCCCACAGTGATTTACAAGATTTCAATTATTTGTCTCTAATCACATAAACAACAAAATCAAGGATTTACTACATACCTTAGTGATTGCCTTCGGCAGTCTCCGGAATATAGTGTAACAAGAAAGAATAGTGAGGAGCTTTAAAAAAAATAAACAGATGGTATACAACAATTTACAAATCGTGAAAGTGTCCAGCAGTATCAGAAAAACATTTAGCCTCCCTGTATGATGAACTAGATGGAGATGTTTCTTCCAGTAATAAATAAAATACGAGAAAACCAACAGAGATTTTAAAACAAAAACTTGTATCAAGATAAATGAGATTTGACATTGTTTATATATCATAATATCTTCTATATTGTAAACTTCATCTGGTACTAAATGTGTCAAAATCATGTCCATGTTCTAAAGTAAAATTAATAATTTGAAATTTACAAGAATTAGGTATGTAACTACTTAAAAATAGAGCGTTGTTCAATGAACACTAGAAGCGCATTCATCATTTCAAGGGAGTTCGAGATAGAAGAAACTAATACACATCCAGTTAGATAATTCACATAATTAACAAAAGTGTTTTCTTTAGACGTACGCACGACAAGTCGTACAAGAAAGAAGGGAAAAGATCAACTCCTTGATGGTATACCAGCTTTGGTTAATAAGTCAGTACATGAATTTCCTGTTAATTGTTCTTTTTCAGACCAGGAAAAAAAAATATCATAGTCCATGGTCAATTATCCAACTTAATCTGTGTTAACTCTATCCCGCCTGTCTTTTTTTTTCCAGTTTAACTATTCATCTGAACTAACATTTTATTTTTCTAGTAAAGAAATAAACAGACAAGAATAATTATTTGTGAAAATTCTAGTGATATTTTACTTCATTTTATCGGATTTTAGATTGGCAATAAGAAAAAAATATTCTAAAAAATATTCATTTGATAAATACTATTAGAAATTTATTCCAAATATAATTTATTTATAATCAACTTTATTTGTATACTGAAATTTATTGAGTAGCATAATTCTTTTGTTTTTTTTTCTTTTGCATGGATAAGTTCATTCACAGTTTCCACATACATACAGTTCGATACTTTAAGTAATAAGGAGTTTCCAATTTTTTAAAAATATATATATATATACAAATGACTAGGTTTGAATATTATAAATTTTATGCTTATGTAATCATAAAATTTGTTATAATAGCTACTTAACTTACAATTTCTCTTTAAGAATATTAAAGATTCTCATTGTGAAAATTAGAACAACACATTTAAGCGAACAATATTGTTTTCGATTAGATCGTCATCAAGCTTCACTCTAATATACATATTTATATGAAAATGTTAAACCAATCAAGGCAATTTGAGTTAATAATCACTACACATAATAGGCAAAAGTACAAGTGGATAGTAGGAAGACAGGTGTACTGATAGTAGTAAGAAAATCATAAAATATGACAACTAAAGTTTTACACATTTTCGAAACCATGGATCGATCAGCGTTAGACCACCATTAGAAACCTGGAAGCACTGGACGGCCGTTTCATCTTGGTATGGGACTCCTCGGCAGTGCGCACCCACGACCCCTACACCCCGCAGGATTCGAACCCAGGACCTTCTGTATTGTAAGCGAACGCCTAATAATCATCAAAAAACATCAAAACCATTACGTAATAAGCAAATGTGTAAAAATAAAAACAAAATAAAAAATATGTCAATCGTTAGTTACGTCATATCCGGCCACGGGAGAGATAGTGGTGTCACAAATTTCTTCTGAACACATAAATTGGGGTTGAATGTGATTATGACTCAAATTGCCTTGATTGGTTTAACATTTTCATATAAATATTCATGTATATTAGAGTAAAGCCTGATGACGATCTAATCGAAAATAATATTGTTCGCTTATATGTGTTGTTCTAATTTCTCTTTATTCCATTATTTATGCATTGATTGATCGACTTAACGACTGACATTCATTTTGTCAATCAACTTTTCATGTGATGAATATCATAAAGCAGATCATTTTGTTGTCAGTGTTCGTGTAGACTTGTATGATGTATAGTTTCAGAATATTGGATTAAGTTTATTTATTGACTTATTTAGTTTTTTTTCCTACAAACCTAGAAATTAATGTAAAATCTATCTTACAATCTTGCAGAATTAAAATAATCTCAGTAATCACTGTTTAATCATTTGACTAAGGAATTTTCGTGTGATAAACAGACGTACATGGATTGATTATGACCCAGAGGATGATTGAAATTCAAGAAGCACTGAACAGCCGTTTTGTTCTCTTCTTCAGCAGTGCACATACACAACTTGACCAAACAAGGAGTTTAGGCCTTTCGAAGCTTATGATTAGCTCTGAATCTTCATTTAGACTATAGCCGAATGAAAATTATTCCCCTTTGAATGAACAAATATCAGAAAAAATTATCAGCAAAACATACTTTCTTCAAGTAAATCACTGAGATGCTGAATTTTAGACAAAAAAAGTCATAAACCCATCTACTACTACTACTACTACTAATGACGAAAATAATTAAAACTTGACTATCAAAATCACACTGTGATTAGAAACTTTATTATTATCACCTAATCAATATTGTATGTAAGCTAACAAAATCAATCAATAATTCACTTAACGTAAGGCAAGTCAAGTTGACCATATGTTTATAACATTTAACGAAGTAAAATTCTAAAGAATCATGAATCTAATCAGTTGTAACCTTTTCAAAACTTGTATGAATTACTTTCTTAGTCTAATTGTCTTTTTTTGAATCTTCCGTTTTTCACTGACACGTAGAACATAGGACAGAATGCCTAATGTGTTGTATGTGTTAACATCATTCTATTATTTTACGTTGTGTGATAGTTTTAAACTTGAAAATAAGTTGATTTTAATTATCAATGACATATTCAATATGTTATTTTGAATACTAGCTTGCTTCAACTTAATAATACCAGTGAATGTTGTTTACCTTCTTCATTGATTCGATTGATAGTCTTTTATTTTTGTATTTATTATTTATTGCTGTTTATTAACTCCTTTTTGTTAATAATAATTTGATTTTTTCTAACATTAGTTATATTCTCGTTGTGTATATTTTACCAAATTATATATATGTAGATGGTTTCATCCAACGCTAACAAGATTGGAAGCTGAAGAGCTAATACGCAATGAACCAGAAGGTAGTTTTCTTGTTCGTCCCAGTGAAACATGCCCTAATGACTTTTCGTTAACTATTAAGTAAGTTATTATTATTATTATTATTATTATTATTATTGTTATTATTATTACTATGTTAAACTATTCGAAACCCCTTATTATGATTTTTAATTCACACTCTGAGTATGAAGGCCAGTGATACCATCCGCCTTCCAAAACATAGAGTGGGGCATTCAAACGTAGGGCCTAATGACTGAGTGTTATATGAGTTAACCGCCGTGTCATCACTCCATATATCATATCAAATGTCGTGTTGATTTGTTCTTTTATACTATTTTTCATCATAAATATATATCACTCATAAATTGATAGGAACAGAAATTCAAAAATAACTGTTTTGTTCTTCTGTATAGAATTCATCAGTAGTGCCCACTTACACTCTCTTTCGAGATCGAACTCAGAACCCCTAGAGGTTTTTCAGTTAACATAGAGCTTTTTAAATTATGACAAATCGAAATCAAATCTCGCCCATGCTCCTAATTTCAGCTCTTGAATAAAGGGTAGTTTCCACTTCATTTACAAGGAACTTTATGCTACAGTGACAACGGGCATATTGTAACCGTACTGTGAAGCTCCTGATCACTTGGACATATAAATTTAAAATCCAGTTACTCGAATTTGGAAATCCTGTACACTTTACATTTTATATGACTTGAATATGATCTAATGTTGTCGGTGATCAGCTATCATGACTTGCTACGTCACTGATCTAACTGAATCCTATTCATTTCTTATTATGATTTCAATAACAACTGCAACAGTTAAGCAATAGAATGAGTTTTAATGCGTATTATTTAACTCCAGTTTGATTGAACAATGTCTATTTAATTTCCTGTATCTTCTATCGACTAATCATGTGAATACATTGCAAAGATAAAAATGTGAGCCGATAAACTGAACGAGTGACTATGAGAATTGCATAGATTCAAACAGGAGCAGCTGTTTTAAAAATTATCCAGTGAATAATGAATGATATAGTCTTTATTCAAAGCAAATAATTTGTGAATAAGGTATCACTAACGGGCGTGCAAATATCAGACACACATAAGGTGAACACAACTAAAAATTTGTTCAAATTTAACAGTCAATAGTCCACACATGCATATTTATAATAATAGATAAGGAATATTCTATGCAAAAGAGGTTAGACAAAGATATGTACTATATCATCAAAAATGGAACATGCAAAAACCTGTTAAAGGTCACACAAAAGTTTGTATCGGTCTGTCATAATAATCTTCCATACAATTGTTAAAAGTATTAAGTATTAATACTTTTTATGATGTTTCATTTCAGGCACAAATCCTTCCTACATATGAAAATAACACGAAATAGTACTGGTCAATTTATTCTAGGTGAATATAGTCAACCGTATGCAAGTGTTTCACAAATGATTTATCATTATGCACGAACACTTGTTCCAGTACTCGGTGCCTATTCTGTTACACTGACGCATCCTGTTTGTAAACGTATCTAACCATCTATTATATTATTTTGATGTTGTTTATGCTACTGCTTCATTTCACTTCTGCCAAATGCTGGTTCACCTTAGCTATACTGTATCAGATTTTTTGTTCTTGTGATGTTTTTTGTCGGTTGCTCGCTCGTCGTCTTCATCGTTCTTCTGCTCCTATTACTTCTGCCGCTTTAATTGTTTGATATTTTAGTGATATAAATCATTTTTCAGCTGTATACTTTGTTCTTTTTGTCTACTGCATTCTTCTCTCTCTTCACTGATCTTCAGCTGATTATCATGTTTTCTTTTGATTTTCTTACAGTTTCATATCACATCAGCTTTCATACTTATTAGCGCCTGCTGAATTGCGTTTATTACATTTTCATCCTTTCCATTCCATTGTATTGATTGTTTGTATAATTTTTGTGTGCGTAAGGTAATATATATTTATATTGATTGATTCATTGTATATGGTTTTTTTTACTTTATCTGTGTACACTAATCATCATCACCTGCTTCGTCTACGCATATTCTACTTAGCAATTTTTCTTCCAACCCTGTTTGCATTGTAAATCTTGTAAATCGTGCGTAACATTGTCTTTCTGTATTATTTCAAGAAATTTTTTTCGATTGTTATGTTTTTTTTTATTATTTTGCTTATTCTCGAGTTGAACAGTCATAATAAAGTTAACAAATATCCTCTCACAAAATTCCACTGCCTACATCTTATTATTATTATTATTATCGTAAATCGCTGTTATATAATAAAATTTTCAATTTTTATTTGTTTTCTATTGACTAACTCTCATCTTCTCTCTTTTTTTAAATATGCTTACAACGTCAATTTTATTCTTATTTTTTCTTCAACGATTATATCGACATCATTGACAATTACTACTACTACTGTGAATGCTTAGTAGCATGTTTAGTTATTTGAAAAAAAGTGTTCACATTCGTCGTGACACGTCTTTATTCCTCGAAAACATATTCATAGAAATATTTTCTTACATTTCTTGAAAGATAATTATGCTTTTTCTGTAAATTTATGTTCTATAAAGAAAAATAATATTAATAATAGCGAACTCTATCGTTATCCTTCAATTTATACACCATTTTTGGGCTGAGTGGTGAACAGGACCTTTTTTTCTTTGTTTTTTCTTAACCGTTGAACATATTCTGCTGCTGCGCAATACTTAACAGTATTTATTGTTATTATGATTATGATTATACAAGGATGAAATTCATCACTGTTGCCATTTATTTACAGTTTATCTTTTCATTCTATTATTCAATATCTATGATAATAATAATGACTGTTATTATTATTATTATTATTGTTATTATTATTATTATTGATTATATCAGATTTTCTTATTTATTTTAAATCGATAAATTGTGTTGAATAGTCTTTGCATCATTTGATTGTTCTTTCTGTTGTATAGACTAGTTGTTAGTGATGAACAACTAACTAACAACTACACAGGATCCAACACAAAGATGAATTAATGCAAGTTGTCAGATTTCAAAGCGTAACAACACAGTCAAATAGGTGATGAGAAATATATTGTTCGTAATAACAATAATAATCATAATAATAATAATAATCAGTTAGCTAGTTAATTAGTAAATTATTGACAACTTATTTGTCACAGGTTTTGCTCAAGAAATATATGTTCCAATCAGATTGATTCTTAATTATTTTGAATATGGAATTGATAATTAGAGTTCATGTTTAGGATTTCGTTTAACCTGCAGACAATATAATCAAACATTTGGGTTACCTGTTTCTCATATATTAGAATTGACCTTCCTGTTTATAATTGTGTTCAAACTAAATACTTATGAATATTATTTGTATGTGCACCATTGAATGAAGCTAATAAATTATTCAGTTTCCTAATAGTGAAAAACTGAAATGGGTACACTATTGTTATTAGGATATTTTCCTTGTACTCTACCCTACGAGTAAACATGGGGACAATGTACTAGAATTCATTCACCTAATATTGGAAAGGATGGAAAATAAAGTTCAAGAAACTGAATGATTGGAAAACTCTCATATTTGTAGATGGTTGTCAAATTATCACTTGCATTATTAAAATTTAAATGCTTGTTAAACACCAATTTCTTGGGATATTACACAACTGGTGCTGAGGACTCCTTACTCTAACGACATTTATAGTATTAAGTAGATATTTTCTGGCTACTATTATCATTTTTAGTTGTTTAATCGACAGGCATTATTTAAATAGTTGAACGCTTAAAAAACATTTTCAGAATGTACTACAATGAATGTTTTGTTTCTTAAGATTCCTTTTTAAAAACTGCGATATTCATGATGTATCAGTGACTTTTTTCCGTAAAGAGAAATCAATGATTTGTTGTATAGTTGACTCGATTCAGAATAACGTATTCAATCTTACTTTGCTTTAGGGTTATCGATAATTTCGCTCTTAAGTTTAATTACGTTAAAGCATTGAATTAAATACAATATTGTATTACGGTTTCTAATGCTGGTCTAACATTGATCGATTCATGATTTCAAATGTGTAACTTAACGATCTTCACAACCCTATAAAGCAATTATCTGTGCTCACTAGTGGCTGGCTCCGTGAGAAATCTTCGAGTTCTAGTGGAAAGTCGTGACGAGTGAAGTTCAACCTGTTCGGGTGTATACAGTAACTACCGAAGACAGTATATGAGGTTGCGCAAGACCGTGAATTAACTGAATTTTGACAATAACATTGTTAGATACCGGCTCAGTGGTCCAGAGGTTAGGCATTCGCGCGCAAGGCCGACGGTCTTGGACTCGAGTTCTTTGAGGCTCAGGAATCGTGGATACGCATTGTTGATGAGTCCCATTACAGGACAAAACGGCCATCCAGTGCTTCCAGGTTTCTATTGGTGGTCTAACATTGATCGATTCATGATTTTAAATACAAAATTGTCTCATATTTTTTCCCGGATTTTATCGTTAAACAGTTAAATAACTAGTCGAGTTGTAATTAACCATTTACAGAATGCAACTGATTATCTAGTTTGGAGATTAAATCAAACGAAATTGTTATCACAGTTAACGCTTATTTGTTTAATAAGAAGTGACTAACTACAAAGAGTTTTCTAGTTTGCTTCATAATACTTTAGCATTTTGTAAGGTTGTTGTTCAGTTGTTTAAAACAATAGGAACATGAAATCCTCGTGTTCTAAGTTTACTTATACGAAGTTTATAATCAGGTATTGTACATGTATATTGTGTTAGTTAATATTACTCCTAATGATTCTTCGAACCGGATTCCAGGACATACTTTTTATCAAATTTGAGACTTGTCGCCTACCATCTCAGTATTGTTGTTTATACGGGTACTTAAACCTGGCTGGAGCTTATTTGTTCAAATATAAGTATGTTATCCTCTGAAACAATCTAGTTAAGTGATCTAACTTGTTTAACGTGTTTAATATTTATTGTTAGTAATAATTTAAACTTTCCCGGTTATTGAAGTTTGTATTTCAATCACATAAAGATAAAGTAAATACCTTGTAATTTTGATGATCTAAAGAATAAATCCAATGCATAACTAATCAAATTTATTATTTAAAAAAAACACAAAAAATCCATTATGTTATGGTAGTATTTTAAATAAATAGATTGTTCTAATCATATTATTAAGCATATTTCGTAAATTCACAAAAGTTATTTTTTTTTTAATTAAACCTATCTTTAATGCTAACTATCAGTTAGCACTGAATTTTATATGTTATACCAAATCGTTATCTAAGTTATATTTGAGTAATAATTAGTTTTTACGAAGATATTGTTTTCAATGTTCACTGTAATATGAAAAACAATTAAACTTTTTCCTAGTACTGATTCATTGTGTTGTTAGTTATTGTACGAAAAAGAAATGAAGTACAATCACGTTGTTTGACCTATCGTACATAACATCGAACACCTTCATTATATGAATTATTAGTCGAGTAGACTAAACATAAAAATCATTTTCCGTTCCATATTCAAAATGGAAATAAGTAGTCAGTCGTTAATAAAGCTATATAGGGAGCTAGTAAGTCTAAATGACGAATCATACATTTTTTTTGTTGCCTGGATTAGTAAACTACTTATTCATCGCAGTTCATTTAAACTTGTTTATATACTACACTATAAAACCTTCAGACAATGTACCATTCATCTCGGTACATAATTGTTAGCCTAATGTAAATTAAGGATAAAATAGATATAAGGTTTATCCAATCCTCTCTTAAGTGTTATGACCAGTAAAAGTGAAAAAAAGAATCATAAATCTCTTCAAATAGTTCACCCTACTTTTTATTTATAAGAATGCACATGAAAAACTGCTTGTTACATTGAACAATGAGCACGAGTTAATCAATGAAAGGAAACCAAAAATGAAAAGAAACACAAAGATTGTTTTTTTTCTTTTTACACTTTCTAATCATCCGTAAAGATCAAACCATTCACTGACTTACTCTATGTATAAATTGAATTTTATATAATCTACTCAAAGCTAAAAGATAATAATTAACGGGTTGGTTTTTTTAACGATGGTGTATGTATTAAATATTTATCTTGATATTCTGTCAGTTTATTCACATTATGCAAACATTCTTTATAATTATCATAATACTTTTTATAGTCATCTAGATTACGTGGAGATGGATCAAATTTTAATATAGGTACATGATGGTGCAATACATCGGAATCGAACCATGTTTTTTTATCTAAAGTAAATGCAAGAATATAAAAAGATACGGAGTATATTATAGAAGTCAGTAAATTTATTTTTTGTCTTAATGCATTTGTCTATGTATACTGTCCGATTTGCTACTAATTAAAAAACTCATTTTACACTAAAATATTTGAGTTGTTCCCATTAACACTGAAACATAAAATGTTTAGTTGTTTTGTAGATAACCATAATTACTACTGATTAGAATTAATCATTCATTTCTTCAACGTAATAGCTACAAACCAAAATTAGCAGGAGAAAGTTTTTTAGCTTACTGTGTTGTGCTTGTATAAATGTTCTTTACAAGAACCAACCAGCTTGACTCGAGTAGGCACCTCACCGGCCAATAACTTGAAATATGAATCTCTATATTAGTTGCTTCAAATGGTGGCTTTATAATGCATGATTTGAAGGCTCTTTTCATAAGAGACTAATCAAAAGTAAGAAACCATTGAAGAATTAATGGCACTGATATAACAGTTCATTCTATTTGTTAAGATTTATTAATGATGAATACAGTTGATCATACAGGATAGAATTCAGCATATTTTATTCCCGTAGATGAGTCTGATATCATTCAGACACTCGGTCGAAGTTCGATAAGTTAACATATTTAAGCCTTAGTGATATTTATTGAATGGTTTAGTATTATCACTACTATGCTTAGACAAATTACACTTTCTTCATTTCTTTCGGCAGTTGTTGTAGTGAAAAAGAGCTGTTACATCATACTGTTTACCAGTTGTTGACCATCTGATATATAAAATATACTTATCATGTCTAAATAATCCTCAGTTTACTCATAAGTGCCTATTTTCAATTGATCCGAAAAATGTTTCATTGATAAACATTTTTTGATAAAAAAAATATATATATATTTACTTGAAGATTTGTGTGCGTAATAGCCAGGTGCAGCTCTACCAAACGCCATTTTAATCGATCCTGGAATATTTGTTGGCGGACGGTGTTCTATCTCGATTCCAAGCAAAGCACTAGGAGCCGAATTTCGACCACTACGCTTTCCTATTATTTTACCTGAACAAATATTTAGAAAAAAAATCTTTATTCACAAGAATCTGATGTAAAAGGATGTTTCAAGTAAAATGGAAACAAAGCGTTTCATCAAACGTCAGTTGGTAAAAAACACAGATAAAAATCAATTCTAATACACTAACTTTTATTGACTGATGCCATTCATCGAATTAGTAAATTAGGTTTAGTCATAATTACAAAACATTTAGATTATAATGTATATTGAAACACTTATTTCTCAAATTTATTTTCATGGGAATGTATTCTGAGCAACAGAACATGTTTTCGAGTGAAATTAATAACAAAATAGGTATCAGTAATCAAGTTGAACCTGATATTTTGAAATAGATTGAGCGTTAGGTGGACAGTTAAAATAATAAAATAATTATAATTTTTGGTGATATTCCATTGAGTAGAAATTTGTATTCCTAACATCTGGTGACTTAATGTGAGTCACTTCTTCAGAGTAAATCAACCAATAACCGAGACAAATTAACACAAGTTTAAACAGTAAAATGGCAACAGAGCACAATATTTTTTTCAGTACAATCAAAATTATAATAGGTCTGAATCTGTTAATGTCGTGTTATTTTTGGTCAAGGTGATTCTGTATGAAACTTCGAAGTGATATTCCTGTGTATAAGATGACCAACACTCTATAAAATGCTTAAGTTAGGATTACAGACAAGATCCCGTTTAAATCCACGCAAATTTGTGTCTACAAATCAGGCAATGTCGATGGTGATGTATTTCATATTGGAGAGTTGTCTGAAGAGATTTCGAATCGGTACATTTGAGCTAAACAATAAGATCTAAATCTAAAAATTAAATCAGCAATAGCAGTATACGCTACTTTCAAAAACCACTGAACTGACGTTAAAGTTACCAAAATAATTCAGAAAGTTTTTTGTAATTGTAAGGAAAGGTAAGTAGCCGAGGTATTTCAAATATTGTTAAATCCGTCTGCCTTCAAGAGAAAAGAAGGCCAGATTATTCATCTACAGAAGTGACTCGCATTAAGTCACGAATACGATTTCTACTCATTGGAATATTAACAAAATTTATTATTATTACTATTATTATTATTATTATTATTATTATTATTATTATTATTATTATTATGGACGAAATAGTTTTAATTTTAAAAACAATAAAGTTGATAATAAAACTTTGTTTTGCCTTTAATTATGCATATTGAACTGATGTAGGTCATTAACATTTTGCTATTTTAAATCTCTGATATTCTGACATTTTTATAAACTTATTTGGCTTAAGTAATATCGACAGTTGATCTTCCTTTTAAACATTTAAATATCATTCGTAATGATAGTTTCTAGGTGGAATTAACATCAATTATCTTCTCAAAAAACTATAGACATATAATTAAAGTTAGGAATTTTTAAAATTTGATTAGAAGACTGCAAGTAGAATGGAAGATTCATTAGCAAACTTACTTTTAAGAAATCATTGGAAGTTCGTTAAAATTATTAGGATTTTTGTCTAGTATTTTTATATTTCAACGATTCATTTATCGGAATGTTGGCAAGATCCTGTATCACAAATTATGACTTGATATCATCGATTACTAGTTCCATTTTAATATAAGTAGCCTGCCAGTTTTTGTCTCTGTATGCGTTAAAATTATACTTCATGATACTAAAAATAGTTTTTATTCTTGCTTCAATAAGGCGGAGTTTCAAATAAAATCAACAATAAAATTTTCAATTGAAATCCATAAATTTTTATAAATTCAGTGTTACAACAATTCCACTCATAGCCTCATCATTTAATGTGTTGAAAAAATAAAAATTTACGCTTAGATATGTAGTTATGTTGTGATATATAAACAACAATGCAGTGTAATTAAAGGTGAATTTTTTGTATTACTGTCTTCTTAAAGTAACTTTTAATACTCACCTGCTACATTCTGGGGCCAGGGAAAGAATGCACCTGGACGTGAACTGTAATAGTTTGTATCACAATATCTGGGCAAAATTTGATTGACAGATTGTAAGTCACTTGAATTCTCATCCAAGTTGCATTTGTTTATACTGTTTGTAGAAACATCTCCTACATAATATGTATCATCATCATGTGAAACATTTTCACAAGAAGACAGTGTAACACACTCCTGAAAGGAAATTCCATAGAGTGAAATTTTATTCGCATCGATCACAAACAGTAAATACTGTAAACGATAATTTCGTATAAAATAATTTTAAAATCATAAGTCCTTTGAAAGAATCCTTTTCGAAAAATTTCATCTTTATATCCATAAAACAACATACATACCTAATAAATCATAAATTCATGAATTAGATATATGTGAATATGGATAGATCTGTTTGTCCAACTGTTTATCAATCAGTTATTTGGTCAAAAATTACATAATAGCTTGCAGAGATATATACATTAATAAATTTCTTGTCACTAGTGATTGTCTCATCACATTCTGTATATTTGGCCTTCTTTTTCCGGCAGATTTTGATTTTAAGCGGGGGCTTATTAGTATCGTTTTTCATATCGATATGGGTTTTTATAACTTATCTTTACTACCAACACTCTCACGCACATTTATACCGGTTATTTATTCTTACCATTGGTAAAGTCACCTTACACTAAAGTTGACATCTTTCAATGTTTAATCGTTTATATGTCCGATGATCAAATAAAAACTGTGCAGATTCATATTTCATATCATATTGAGAATCATTCCTAATAACTAGCACTAAAGCTTCTGATTTTAAAAACATTCGAGGTCTTTGAGTCTGCTACTTTCAAGGCTATTCAGAAGTAGTAAATGGATTCATTAGCTTTAAAATGTCTAGTTGAAAAAATATAACGATACGTTTTTAGAAGATAGGTTGGTGATATTTTTATTCAGTGTGCTTACCAGCAGGTCAATTAAAATCAACTTTTAATGTTTAATAATTCAAATCAACAGATGCACTTCAGTGTAGAGGGCTTTTGCAGCCCTTCCGACAGTTACTCATTCGTTGATAATCCATACAGCTCTCAAAAGCAACCATATGACTCATCTGAATTTTTTAGTACCTAAAACTTAGTTTGGGCGAACAGTTTGTGTAAGGTGTATTAATACAGGGAACCAATCAACGTTTTGATTGAAATTCCAGCCCTAATATGCAATTAATCATCAACGGTCGATACCCAAAGAATGTTCGAACAAAATTGAATGCTTACTGATGATAAATGTTCTGTGGTCGGCTGGTCTGTGGGTTGTAAATTGAATTTTGAAGTAGAATATAAACCATTATATATAATACTGGATTTTCGTTCATAAACATGTTAATTAATATTGTGAACCGTATCCCGTTTGTTCTCACAAACTGAATACTTCCAGGAATCCTTAGGCAGTTGTCCACGCTATGGAAAGATGTGTTGTATCAAGGAAAACGATTTTGAGGAAGCTCATTTTGAGTGTTAGAAAGGATACGCGTGAGAATTCCGGTTAAAGTGCTGTTTATTGTCCCAAAATAACACTAGTGAATCCCAGAAAGTTCTCAGTCCTAATTTCCAATGAATCTTGACATATACTTTCTTTAAGACTGTTATTAAATTTTCATCTCTTCTCTGCGTGTATATCAGTTATTATTAGTAATATCATAGTAGTGTTACCATTAAAAAAAATCTGCATTTGGATAACACTATAATTATTCCAACTTATTTTGTAAATTAGAGAGAAAAAATTGAACCATTTATTAGTGATGTCCCATATACTTTGTATTTTCAATCTCCAAGGCAAGTAAATTCCTAATGAATTTTGGGGAATATTCAGAGTAATGTGAAATATTGCAAGACTGATACTTTTCATTCTGCGATTGCTTGAGCAAAAAGTTAATAATGTTTATATGTACGTAACATTCTTTAAAATACTAACTGTATAAAAAACATTTCCTGATGTGAGTCTAGATATTGAAGTTGAAGACACTAAATTTTAATGTTCATCATCAACTCATCCAAATATAGATTTCCCCAATATTCCCTAATCCCTAACATATAGGATTTCAGTTTGAATTCTTCATCGAGTTTGCATCAGTTCTATCAACTATCAGCATCCGCCTAAATACGAAGTCACCTGTCCATTGTAAACAAGAGTCAAAGTCGATAGAACTGAGAAAACTTTGATATCTCCCACTTTTACCTCCCTCAAAAAATTAAGGAAACATTTTTGTGTTATATTTCTGATGTTATCATTGTATTAGTAGATCTGATAACAGTTGCCAGTGAGCAGCATGAAGATTACTTCTTATAACTTTTCCGAAATATTATTAATTGATTCTGCGGAACACTTATGTCAGTTGGTTGCATGCTTTTATGTTGTAAGGCGTAGTGAGCTGGTTAAGATCGAAAACAGTTGCAGTTGACAAAATGAAAACGATTTTTTTTGGACAGAATTGAAAAGTTAGGGCGCAGCTAAATATGTAGAGAATTAAAGCTCCTAGCTAAAGAGAAGGAACGAGAATTTATTCTTCAATATACATTATGATTTCGCTAAATTTAGTCGTTTTCATATTATATTCCCTCGAAAGAAAACTTGATCTCTTTACTAGAAGAGTGGTCATAGATCTTTTACTACTTATGCTGTCGCTTCTTTTACTACTGTAGGATTTGAATTTACAATTCCATCTCCATATTCTAATCGATGAAGGCAAATTTAACCGATGAACATACTTACTCGTATCAATGCCATGAGTGTCTGAATGAAATTAACAAACTGCTTTGTGAAAAAACAAACAAATTTTAAATATGATTGTTGTCATAATACGCCTATTATGTCAGTAATAGTGGCAAGCTCTTGGATTCAACATATGTACTTAAATAAAGCGGTTATTATTTACCCTACCAAAAACTGGTTTCTTTAATTCAACGTTACTGCACATCTTTTGAAATTATGCAGACTCTGTAACTATAACTACAGGAGTATGACGTTATGTGAGCTGTTAAAACGGAACAGATGTCCAATAACTTTTAAGCGAGCTGGTAAGAACCAAATGTTTTCCTCGTGCTCTATTCTTGTTATTTCGGTATGGTAGAGTCTAGTGGATGGTAGTTAGTTGGCAGTTATTTTTTATGAATTTGTGTCCTGTGATTTCAGTGTTTGCTCAGGTCAGTATGATTTCTTAACGCTAGCAGCTATTCTATTACCAGATCGGAGGTCAGTTATTTGCAATGAAGATAATAAAAAAGAGAAAATTTTCATGCTAGTGAGATTACAGAACCAGGTAAAAAGCAATTTAATCCATCTGTCGTGAAGATAGTTAGAAAATACGGGAGTGTGGAGATTTAAACTTGGATAATAGGCGAAAAAGAATAAGTTAGTGATTGTAGGAGATGAAACTAATAATGACAAGTAAGTTTGGAGAAAACGTGCATTAGGCACAGCTGATCGAAGAAGGAATGATAATCTATTTGTGCGAACGTGTTTGTCAAGCCTCTTCTTGAAGCTACTCATTGAAGGGGTTGTGTGTCACTTCGGCTGGTGCTCTGAGGAGACACAGGGGTGTAAGCTGCTTGTGTCACGTTGGACAAAACTTTCTTGACATGGCATTTCGACTAGTTACGTTTTAACCTATTCCTCGGTAACTGTAACGTAATTTTTGAGTTAAGTTGAATCGTCTCCGCTTCCTACGGATCTTCACATCTTTGCATAGTCTGCGTAGATTTTTGCCGCTGGGCTTATTTTAACTAACAAATCATTACTGAATGCCAGGAAGAGAATTGGACCTAGAATAATCCTATGTCAAACTCCTAACTTTGAGACTTGCCTGATCGCATGGACTCTATTAACGTTTGTACGAAGCTTTCTGTTATCAAGGAGGTTTCATATCAAAGAGAGAAGTGGATCATCAATGCTCGTCTTGGAAATTAAGATTACGTGAGGTACTGTGTTGAAAGCTTTTGCAAATAAAAAGAATATTATATGAGCAGGTAAGGTTGTTTTATGCTCGCTTTGCAGCAACAAGACATTTAAGTTTTCCTCATAGTAAGTGAGGTGCTTGTGGGATATTCCTCAGGACATCATCTGCCACTAGGTTAGAACAGTATTCTGAACATTTGGGTACCTGAATTTTCTGATCGGTGGAGTCGACATCAAATTGTTCAGTAAGTTGGTAATATCTTCACCATTTGGACCTTCGAAAGTTCAATATCCTGGTATGTCTGTTCACTTTCAGTCCTGAAGCGAAAGCGATATTTCGGATGTGTCCGTATTTTTTGTAGCTAGCTTCGTCTTTAAGTGCCTCGTTTCGCTCCAAACGTTAGCACTGCATTTGATTCTTAATGCCACAAAAAAATTCCTGTCAGAATCCTTCACAGAGACTTTCCACTTTTGCTAGACTCTTCTGTGTGATGTCACGGCTTTGAGATCGCTGTTAATATACACCGTCACTCCACCTCCTGTTTTGCGTACCCTATAGTATTGGAAGAATGAATGCAAACCTAACTTGTCATCTGCGATGTTGATTGATAGCCATGTTAGAGTTAAGATTATGATATTCAGATTCATCTGTGAGAACATATATTTTCTGTCGTTCACCTTGCTCCTCAGTCCTCCCAAGTTTCTGTTAAGGCTCTTGATAGTATGTCTTATCACCCGGTGAGCCTTCGCAATAACGATCACCCTCGAATTTTCAAACAAGCTGATCAAAGCCGGTATACCAGTTCTATGGAAACTGGCTGCTGCAGATTTTTTCCCTATATGATGTTTACGATTGGCTAAACCATAATCGGCACTTGTATCGTAGGTTGACGATCGAGGTCAAACGACTCATAGTGAGGTAATCGGGCCTCTAACTGTTTCCTTACTGATCTGGAGCGGCTCCTAATGTGATTACAGAGATCATTTTTCGTGCTGTACAAAGCCACAAGCGCTTCAGATGCTCTTAGATTTTGAAGTTCCTGTTTATTAAACTTGGAGACTTAATGGGTGGGATAAGTAACGGACGAGGTGGCCGGGATGTCTTTATGGACACGGCATAATTTGACTGGTGCGCTGCTGATTCCAAGCATTGTGTAGTATCTATCGTACTGATCTCTATCAAAGACAGCTACACTTCTCAATAAACTACCCTCCGATACTGTAGCAGTAAATATATTTATTCAGTTTTCTCTAATGTAACTGTCCCTAATTTGCAGCTCTTTAGGGGCTATGATGTTATAGTTTCCCTTTCTGAAGCCCACTCACTGCTTTTTGCCATCACAGATGGCGGCGTATTTACAAAAACCGGCGATTTATTTAGTTTATGAGCTTGGGCTACGGTTTCCTCTTCACCTGTTCGGATGATATTTTGTTTGGTGAGTTGGGTTCGCTAAAGAGGATCGATAGTTTTGTTTTTGGTGAGGACTTTTGTTCGCTGAATTTCCCTACACTTTGGACAAATATGTCAGAAGTAAGGACGGTGATGACTCGGCACAGTACTGTTTCGGTACTGCAGTGTCACTGCTACAGTAAGCCCATGGACTTCAGTAGTGGCATTTCAATGCAGCTACATGTTTTAAATGGCAAACGGAAAGCGATACAATTATGCCTGTTATGTTCATTCTGAACAACAGGCTGCGTCATTGGAGTTTTAGGACCTATCTTTTCTCTACCTACTAGCCTTACGAGGGTTAGGAATCTGGGTGTCATCGTGATATCCTTACTCGCTAAAATGATCTAATTGCAGATGCAGGCACTGCTTCTTCCAGCAGAAGGTTCTCAGTGTTGATTCCTCTGTGGGAAAACATTTACGATATGATGAACACGTTCACTGTTGGTTACTCAATTCACCTACTATTCCTGAAACATCTCAAAGTAATGACGGACATTTGGACGTAATCGTTTTTGGTATCTGACGTTTCAATCAAAATACCTATTTATCTGCTATATGATAAAGAGAAAAAATGCGTAACTTCTCATGACTCACAGTGAATAGTAAGCTGAAGAAATTCAGAACATATGCAGATGAATTTTCTGTATCTTCTCTAAAATATACAAGTTAGACTTCATATATTACCTTGCTTCTTGAATGCCATGTTCAGGTCAGCTATGTATATCGTAATGAACTTAGGTGCGATACACAGAGTATCTCACGGTGATCTTATCAGAATCCGTGACCGAGCGACTGACGTAACTAACGAGATCGGCATCAGCATCGAAGACTATTTATTTTGGGAATTTATTCGCCATACATTATAAAACTGAACGGATATACTCGGATTAGAGATGAAGAGAGCATCTATTTTGGTTACCTCACATCAGAAATCCTTTCAAACACATTACAATTTGGCTGAATAAAATGAAACCAATAAAAGTCCTAGAATGTCATTCATCGTCAGTAAAGACTCGAAAAAAAAATTCTCAGAAGGTCTTCAGAAACTACGTGACAAATCATCTATCTGTATCATTTGTTTGTGGAGTATTGAAACATTTAGACGAAACTTGTTTTAGTGTTCACTTGAAGCGACTCTGATTGCTTGTTATTGCGTGTATTGTATCTTTATTCCGATATGTCGTATAATCACAATGAGAATACTGTTGTAAATGAAGTAAGTGAACATTTTTGACTACGATTTCGTTTGAGGCTGACCATGATGTGCGCACAGTGTTAACCTAGATTGATAGTAAAAAATAAAGCCTTATTTTCAGTTGAAAAATCAACTTCAGGATTATAATGACTCACGACATTCATTGCAAGTTAACATGTACATGTTTGGGAGGTAGTCTTGTTCCTTTATCTAAACCAACTTATGGTGAGCCTGTCGTCTAACACACACAGTTATAAGATGAGTATGAGATGTGTGAATAAATGACCTATTCACGGTTAAAGCGGTCTCTTCATTATGAATACTTTCTACTACATTAGAACTTGCAGATACCGTATCTCCGGTACTGCTCTTACTTGATGTAGTACTAGGTTTTTTCATTTATTTCCGTCCCATGCACGTAATTTCTAACCAACAGTAAGTTGACCATGTACAATCATCTAATGATATTCATTCTTCACTGGATGTAATTGAAAGCAAGGTAACTGTCGGATTAGTCAGACTATAAATCTAATTAGTTCACAACTGTTGTGACCAGCTTGTTTGTCCTGGTTAGCTTTCAGACAACCAAAGTGAGTAACTACATACACGGTAGCACTTATTAGATGGGATTTTCCATTCTCATCCATTTATTCTTTCTCCCGAACTCTACATTCATTTTAACTGGACACCCCATGGTTGAATCTGTTTTCTGTCTATTTATTTATCACTATTGATGCCCATGATGTTCAGTCTTTTTCTCGTTAAAATAAACTCAAATCAGTTTGTGCCTTGCTTCTCTCCTACGTAAATTTCTCTCTGATTTACTGCTTAAACTCATTTAGCTTTACCAATTAATATCATTTCAGTATTGAAGTGAAAATTTATGATCCCTAGTTGTAATGAAATCAATCTTCTCAGATGCTTCACATTTATTATCGGCTCTTCGTTTTTGGGAACTTGATAAACTGTAGATACACAAAGCTTTGGTACAAGTGCAAATTCATTGATCTTGCAACTACAATGAATATAAAGCATATATTATCTAAACTAGTGGTAACTGGTTTGAAACGAAAAAACACGTAGTTGATTACCGATATGTTTCAACTGTACTCATGTTCAAATATTACTCTGCATGTCTTAAGTGTCGCTCTTAGCCGGCATTTGTTACTGACTTGGGATATTATATTAATATACGATAACTTTAATTGATTACATAGTTCAAAAACCCTTTCGTTGTAGCTTTCGCAGTAAATTTGAGTAAAATAATTATTTAGATCATCGCTTACATAATTATTCTGTGGAACAAAAGCTGTTTGTGTTGTCGGTTCAAAACCAAAATAGACATATGCAGATGATAAATTTTGACTTAATGGCGATAGTCTACTCCAACGACGAAGGTAAACTATTAGCTTAAACGTGTTTCTTGATTTCCTGCCACACCAAGTTTTTAGAGTGGGTACTTATAACACTTAAAACAGAAAATCTCATCCCCATAAGTTAACGGCTTCACCGGAGTAAAGTCGCATAAGTTGCTCGCTACGGATAGTCAGCATCTAGCGATGCTGTCCCCTCATACTTTAGGGCCTCAGTTGAAATTCGACTGCTCTAACCTGTGAAGTGCCACTCTCAACTGTGTCCTCTTCATTTTATAATCATACTGGTTTTCAGTTTTTTTTCACATCACCGATTTATCTGGTGAAACTATTCAGGTACTAGAATTCCTGGTGCATCGCTCAGTTCGACCATAAAATTATTAACATTAATCAGGGCTTACAGATTGTTTCGTTTAAGATGATTCCGTAGTCGAGAAACATTGGATTTCCATCTAAAATGTTAACTAATATCCAGTTTATTTGACAGTTTTGCCACCACCATTAAATATCTAAACCGTTTGGTATCGATCAATTCTTGGGTATAATTTTGAGACTGACTAAAAATTAATGATCAGAATAAAATCTTAATATCTCCCAGTTAGTATGGAGTTCATTTTAGATTGAGTTGGCAAACTAATGTTTTTGTTGATTTGTTAATGTGTGCTGTTCTAAATAAATTGATTTGCTATGATGATGTGACAGCACGCGAGACCAAATTGGTCAAAATCAAATCCTTCCTACATCCCTTATTGTCTCTCTTGTCTCTACGACTAACTCTACTCACACTCCCTTTTCTCACTGCACCGCTAATGCAGACGAAGCGAGATCACGAAACGCCGTTCCTGGTCTCTTGAAACCCCGTTCTAGACTACATGTTAGAGCTTTTAATGTACGGACATTGTGTCAAATGGGGCAACAGGCATCACTAGCTAGGACTTTAGAAGTTCGTGCCATCGATGTATGCTGCGTCTCGGAAATGAGCATACAGGATCCTAGTAAAGCCATTAACCTGATTCCACCTTGTCAAAACGAAGAAGCAGCCCGATTCACTCTTCGTGTATCCGGTAGCCCTGATGCTGCTTCCAGGGGTCTTGCCGGCGTAGGCATAGCGTTGAATCCTAGGGCAGAATTATCTCTCCTAGACTGGATCCCAGTAGATAGTCGTTTGTGCGCTGTCCGACCAAACGGGACAGTAAGGACTCGGAAGGATAGGGACACTCGCCGTTGCCTCTTCGTCATATCTGCCTATGCCCCCACTGACTGCGGTGCAGACGAGGTTAAAGATGAGTTTTACAGAAAGCTTTCGGACCTCCTCCAAAAAGCTAGGCGCTGTGGTGTAGTAATAGTGGCTGGTGACTTTAATGCTCAAGTAGGTAGACTGAGTGAAAATGAAAGACACCTGGGTGGATGTTATGGTGTAGCGACTAAGAGAACAGACAATGGCGACCGTCTGTTGCAACTATGCTCAGATAACCGCCTATTCTTAGCGAACACCAACTTTAAGCATAAGGAAAAGCATCTGTTGACCTGGCGACCCCCGAAGTCGTCTCAACGTTGGACTCAACTAGATCACATGGCCATCAGCCACCGATGGAGGGGTTCGATAGAAGACTGTCGCTCGTTCTGGGGCACATGTTTGGATTCAGATCATGCTCTAGTGCGAGCTCGTATCTGTTTGAGGCTTACTGGACGTGGGAAAGACACCGTAAGGAAGCCTCTTAGGGTTTTACTTAATGATAATCAAACTAAGAAAATATTTCAGGAGCAACTAGAAAGAGAGTTAAGCAACGATGTGAGCGATTCCCATCCAGAAACAGCTTGGTATGATATCAAAAAAGCTGTGGAAACAGCAGTGATATCTGCTAGGAAGGTAAACCATGAGGCTAGGATGAAGCCGTGGATCTCAGTCGCATCCACCGATCTGATGGATGCTCGAAAACGCATCCCACCTGACTCTGAGCATGATGAAGAGCGTAGTCAGCTTAGGCGCAGACTTATAAAAAGTCTGCGTAACGACCGCGAACAGTGGTGGGTAGCGAAAGCAAAAGCGATGGAAAAGGCAGCGGCGATCGGCAACAGTAGACAACTTTTCCGACTTATCAAGGAAACTGGTATTAGGAATCATAGTGTAAGTGAGACTATCTCGGAAAAGGATGGGATTATTATCCATTCTCAATCCAGGAGACTGAATCGATGGGCAGAACACTTTAGGGATCAGTTCAACTGGTCTCGAGCCACTCTTCGGTTACCCACGATCTCCAGTCATCTCTCTTCTCTCTCTCTTACGCCTGTTACCTCCAATGGAGCATAGGCCGCCCACTAGTTTTCTCCAACCAACTCTGTCCTGGGCTTCCCTCTCCAGTTCTGTCCAATGTTTGTTCATTCCTCTCATATCTTTCTCTATTTCTCGGCGTAGTGTGTTCCTTGGCCTTCCTCTTTCCCTTTTGCCTTGAGTGTTCCATGCGAGGGCTTGTCTAGTGACGCAGTTGGGTGCTTTTCGTAGTGTATGTCCTATCCACTTCCACCGCTTCTTCCTGATTTCCTCCTCCACTGGAATCTGGTTTGTTCTCTCCCACAGTTCGTTGTTGCGGATGGTGTCTGGCCAACGAATACGAAGTATTTTGCGTAGACAGCTGTTAATAAACACTTGTATCTTCTGAATGATGGCTTTGGTAGTTCTCCATGTTTCCGCTCCATACAGTAGAACTATCTTGACATTTGTATTGAAAATCCTGATTTTGGTTTTGTTTGAAAGTTGTTTGGAGTTCCAGATATTTTTCAACTGTAGAAATGCAGCCCTTGCTTTGCCAATCCGCGCCCTCACATCTGCATCCGATCCACCTTTCTCGTCGATGATGCTGCCAAGATATGTGAAGGTGTTAACGTCCTCCAAGGTATCTCCATCAAGCGTGATTCGGTTGGTGCATGTTGTGTTGCATCGGAGAATTTTGCTTTTTCCTTTATGTATGTTGAGACCTACTGCTGCAGAGGCTGCTGCTACACTGGTCGTCTTCTCTTGCATTTGTTGTTGAGTGTGCGATAGAAGAGCCAGGTCATCTGCGAAGTCCAGATCGTCCAGCTGCGTCCTAACTGTCCAGTTGATACCGTGCTTCCCTCCAGATGTTGACGTCTTCATAATCCAGTCGATCACCAGGAGAAAGAGAAAGGGTGAGAGTAAGCAACCTTGCCTGACACCGGTCTTCACCTCAAAAGAGTCTGTCAGCTGACCTCCGTGCACGATTTTGCAGTTGAATCCATCATAAGAGTTCCGTATGATGTTGACTATTTTCTCAGGCACACCGTAGTGTCGAAGAAGCCTCCACAGTGTTTTTCTATCGAATGCTTTCTCGTAGTCGATGAAGTTGATGTAGAGTGGTGAGTTCCATTCAATTGATTGTTCCACAATGATCCGTAATGTAGCAATTTGGTCAGTACACGATCGATCCTTCCGATATCCGGCCTGTTGATCTCGAAGTTGGGCGTCAACGAAGTCCTTCATTCTGTTTAACAATACCCTGTTGAAGACTTTGCCTGGTATTGAAAGAAGAGTGATGCCTCTGTAGTTCTCACACTTGCTGAGGTCGCCTTTCTTTGGTATTTTGATCAGGTATCCTTCCTTCCAGTCTGATGGTACTTGTTCCTCATCCCAAATCTTCTTGAAGAGGATGTAACATATTTTGGCAGTCGCTTCTAAATCTGCTTTCATTGCCTCTCCTGGAATGTTGTCTGGTCCTGCTGCTTTGCCGCTCTTGATTTGTCTGATGGCTATACTGATCTCCTCAATCGTAGGTGCGCCAATATTAATTGGGAGGTCCTTGGATGCTGCTTCGATGTTGGATGGGTTCAGTGGAGCTGGTCGATTCAATAGTTCCGTAAAGTGCTCTACCCACCTATTTCGCTGTTGTTCAGTGTTGCTGATTACTTTGCCTTCCTTGTTTTTCACTGGTCGTTCTGGTTTACGATAGTTCCCGGCGAGCTTCTTTGTTGTTTCGTACAATTGTCTCATGTTTCCTTCTCTTGCAGCCTTTTCCGCCGTCATTGCTAGATCTTCCACATATTTTCGTTTGTCAGCTCTGATGCTCTTCTTCACTTCCCTGTTTGCTTCTGTATACTCGGCTTGTGCGGTAACTTTCTCCGCTCTTGTTCGGCTGACATTCACTGCTGCCTTCTTGTTCCTCCTTTCTTCGATTTTTGCAAGAGTACCAACAGAGATCCATTCCTTGTGATGGTGCTTCTTGCGACCAAGGACCTCCTGACATGTTGAAGTGATTGCCTCCTTAATCCCTTTCCAATTGTTCTCCAATGTTGCTTCCTCTCCATTGAGTAGATCCTGAAAGGCCTGGAACCTATTGGTGAGGGCTATCTTGAATTCGTTGAGTTTTACGGTATCCCGAAGAAAGGCTGTATTAAACTTCTGTGATGTTGTCTGCCCCGTTGTCCAGTGCTTCTTTAGCTTCAATCTCATTTTGGCGATCAGCAAATGGTGATCTGAAGCTATATCAGCTCCTCTCTTGGTTCTCACATCCTCCATGGTCCTTCTGAACTTTTTGTTGATACAGATATGGTCAATTTGGTTTTGAGTAGTGTGATCCGGTGAAATCCATGTGGCTTTGTGAATGCGTTTGTGCGGGAATATTGTGCCACCGATGACCAGTTTGTTGAAGGCACATAGGTTTGCAAATCTCTCACCGTTTTCGTTCCTTTCTCCCAGTCCATGTCGTCCCATGATGTCCTCATATCCAGTGTTGTCCATTCCAACCTTGGCATTCAGGTCTCCCATAAGAATCGTCAAATCCTTTGGTGAACATTTATCGACGATTGACTTCAGCCTTTCGTAGAATTGATCTTTAACGTCGTCATTGTAGTCGTTGGTAGGTGCATAACATTGGATGACGTTCATTGTAATGTCCTGTTTCTTTGTTTTGAAGGATGCTTTAATGATCCTGGGTCCATGAGATTCCCATCCTATCAGTGCCTTTTGTGCATGTTTGGACAGCATCAGTGCAACTCCTTGTGTATGTGAAGCGTTTTCTTCTTCATGACCAGAGTATAACGGCAGTTCCCCTGAAGCTAGTCTCAGTTGTCCTACTTGTGTCCAATGCGTTTCACTTATTCCAAGCACCTCGAAGTTGTATCGTTTCATTTCTGCCGCAACTTGAAATAGTCTTCAAGTCTCCCACAATGTACGAACGTTCCATGTACCTAAAAAAATGGTTGCTCTGGTTGTCAGAAGAGGCATCGGCCACGTGACTTCCGAGGGAACTCGGCTTTCATCACTCGACGTCATAATTCTTCCTCCAACTCCCAGGGCAGAGTTAAAATGGTTTGAATTATTTTTTCTGGTTAGCCTTTTTTTGGCAAGTGAGATTTCAACGGAATGGGGTCGCCAACCCCATGTCCAACCCTCCTCCTTTATCCGGGCTTGGGACCGGCAGTAGCCCCTAAGGTTCTACTGGCGGAGTTATCTCCAGTCATCCTGAATGGCAAATCGACCTAAGTCCCCCTAGTCTTAATGACGTTGAGAAGGCGTTAGGAAATCTGAAACGAGGATGAGCTGCAGGTCCTGATAGACTGACCCCTGAGATATTTAAGGATGGTGGTCTAGTTTTAGCAACTAGGTTGACTGAGATCTTATGCAGAATCTGGGAACTGGACGTAATCCCATCCGACTGGTCTCAATCACTGATTGTCCCAATCTACAAGAAAGGACAAAAGTCTTCTCGTGACAATCACAGAGGAATAAGTCTAACTAATATAGTATCTAAAATATTGGCTTCAATAATACGTCGACGCTTAACGAAAGCTCGTGAAGAGCAGACTCGAGAAAACCAGGCTGGTTTTCGACCTGGACGTGGTTGTATAGACCACGTCTTCACACTCAGACAGGTCCTGGAACATAGACACACATTTAGGCGTGCTATAATAGTTGTCTTCCTGGACCTTAAGGCGGCATTCGACTCTGTGGATCGTGAGGTTCTGTGGCAGTGTCTGTCATTGAAAGGTGTACCAAAGAAGTACATTAACCTTATACAAGCTCTTTACTCGAACACCACTGGTCGAGTGAGGGCTTATGGCGAACTGTCACCGGAATTCTCTACTTCAAGTGGTGTCCGTCAGGGATGTCCACTTTCTCCATTCTTGTTTAATTTTATCATAGACATGCTCCTAGAGTTAACATTATCCTCGTCTGAATTTTCAGGAGTAGACCTTCTACCAGGTGGCTCGCTTATTGACCTAGAATATGCCGATGACATTGTCCTACTTGGTGAAGACGCTGAAAAAATGCAGTCTTCTGACTACCCTAAGCAACAATGCAAGCATGTTCGGGATGCGGTTTTCCCCCTCGAAATGCAAAATGTTGCTTCAAGATTGGGTTGCATCGGCACCTGAACTAGTGATAGGGAGTGAAGTAGTTGAGCGTGTAGACCGCTTCACTTATCTTGGGAGTCTCATCAGTGCCGATGGCCTGGTGACTGACGAAATCTCGGCACGGATACAGAAGGCTCGATTGGCTTTTGCCAACCTGCGTCACTTATGGCGTAGGCGAGATACCCGTCTGCTGACTAAAGGACGAGTGTACGGCGCAGTGGTTCGCTCCGTCTTACTTTATGGCTGTGAAACATGGCCAGTGAGAGTAGAAGATATTCGTCGGTTACTGGTTTTCGATCATAGGTGTCTTCGAAGCATTGCTCGTATATCGTGGGACACCCGAGTGAGCAGCGCTGTTATCAGGAATCGGGTGCTAGGTAAGAATGGCAGATCAATAGATGAAGTAGTGAAACTTCACCAGTTGAGGTGGTTGGGACATGTGTTGCGTATGCCCAACCACCGACTGCCTCGTCGAGCCTTGTTTTGTAGTGTAGGAATAGGTTGGAAGAAAGCTAGGGGCGGCCAGACCAAAACATGGCATAAATCCATGAAGTCATTGACTAGTGGACTGAGCCATGTCGGTAATTGTCGACTACCTGGTTGGGGTCCGCGAGATGATAATAATCGATGGTTAGAGACCTTGAATGACATGGCTCAAAATCGTTCGCAATGGCGCCGGTGCATTTATTCTTTGTGTTCTCTCAAATGCTAATCTTCTGGGTTCTTCAACACCTCTAGCTTTTACTTTCTAAACTTATCTCATTGAATCATACTTCTTGAATAGTATCTTCTAATCCTAACCTCTCCGATTACTTCTAATTCCCTTACTACCTCTTCTACTATTGGATTTGAATTGACGATTACTTCTCTGTGCTGATGTGGTATGGCAACATGAACTGATGTACTTATGTACAAAGTTCTACGTTGCATCTGACTGACTGACTGACTATGATGATGTGTCTAAATAGGGGTTTTTATGTACCGATTTTCAGTTTTCGTCTATGGCTATCCACTCAAACGATCCAAATGGTGGCGGTGCCAAAATTTATGTGCCTCCACATTTACGAAATCGTGAAGCATCAAATGGTTTACCTGATTCTGCGAACGATGTTGGTCAATATAATCGCCCTTTCCGTGGCACTGGTGATAGGTTTCGTGGACGTCCCTTTCGTGGTTCTTATAGTAACAGGGGGTCGAAAGTTGGAAACGAATGGCAACAATCCGAACCTCGCTGGTCAAGCTTCAATGAGTACGTCAATATTTTTATACAATGATTGTTTGTAGCAATCAGTCACGGGGTGGTCATTCTGCTTTGGGATCAAATGTTCCTAGACGCAGTTGGAATTCATCCACCGAGGACTGGACTCAACAGTTACCACGAAACGAACGTACAGAACAGGAGCTTTTCAAGAAAGTGAGCGCGGGGATAAACTTCAATCAATACGACAACATTCCTGTAACTGCAACAGGGCCAAATTTCAACGATAGTGCATCAACCATATCTTCGTTTACTGAGCTTTCGCTTCATAAAATTGTACGTGATAACGTTGAACTAGCCAGCTACGAACGTCCTACACCAGTACAAAAACATGCTATACCGATCATTGCATCAGGTCGCGACCTAATGGCCTGTGCACAAACTGGTTCCGGAAAGACTGCTGCATTCCTTATTCCAATTCTAAATAACATGATTAAGCAAGGTCCTGGTGACTCAATATGCGCCACAGTAAGTTTGTTTCTCTTAACAATTTATTTAGATAGATTAGTAGCAACCGAAGAAAGCAATTCCCTGTAGCGCTTATATTGGCTCCAACGCGCGAATTGGCATCGCAAATTTTTGATGATGCCCGAAAGTTTTCCTACAGATCTCTTATCAAACCTTGTGTTCTTTACGGTGGTGCTGATATGAGAACGCAGTTAATGGAGTTGTCTAAGGGTTGTAACCTGTTAGTTGCAACTCCAGGTCGACTAAGTGACGTTTTAGAACGAGGTCGGATCGGTTTAGACTACTGTCGGTGAGTTTCAAATTAATAGTTAATTTCGCAGATTCCTCGTTCTTGACGAAGCTGATCGTATGTTAGACATGGGGTTCGAGCCTCAGATTCGTCGTATTGTAGAGCAAGATGCTCTCCCACCTTCTGGTGAGCGACAAACACTTATGTTTTCGGCAACTTTTCCCAATGAAATTCAGGTACTTACAACTTTTTATTATGTTCCCCTAGATTTTGGCCAAAGATTTCTTAAACAGTTACATATTCTTGACCGTTGGACGCGTTGGAAGTACCAGTGAAAATATAAAGCAAACAATACTTTGGGTCGATGAGAATTTTAAACGAGATACTCTGGTCGATTTGCTTGCTAATTCAGGTTTTCCATATAACACTTTTCTTACATGTTTAATTATCCAGAAGCAGGTACATTAACATTAGTTTTTGTTGAAACTAAACGGGGTGCAGATGCTCTCGAAAACTATTTGGATTCCCAGAAGTTTAAAGTTGCCAGTATACACGGAGATCGTACCCAGGAGGATCGGGAATTAGCGTTGTCTTGTTTCCGTACAGGCAGAACCCCGGTGCTTGTTGCGACGGCGGTCGCAGCTCGTGGTTTGGATATCTCAAATGTGAAGGCAGGTTTCTATCTTTAATTCATTGAAAATTAGTTTCCAAACTTATTGATATATGTTCGCTTGAAGTCAGTCAGATATAACTTAGAACATGGTACGTATATACATCAATCCAAGTGTCAATACCAAATTAATACAGAGAGATCAAATGGTCAATTGAAACCCCATAATACTAGAGGTATTAGGCGTATTAGCAGTAATGTAGAAGATAAGGATTCAAAGATATAATTTGAGAAGTATAACCCAATAAAAGAAATTTAAGGAGAAAAACAAAACGGTCGTGCGGAATCCATCAAATTAGAATTTGAAAGAAGACAAAGAATGGATGCACCTGCGCTATTGCAAACGATTTTGAGTTTTATCACTAGAAGTCTAACCATCGGTTACAATCGTCTCGCGGACCCCAACCTGGTAGTCTAAAATAACCACCATGGCTCAGTCCGCTTGTCAGTGACTTCATGGATTTGTGCTGTTTTGGTTTGGCCGCCCCTATCATTCTTCCAGGCTGCCCCTATATCACTCAACATTGCCCATCGAGGTAATTGGTTGGTGGTCGAGCTTATGTTATACATGTCCCGACCACCTTACCTGGTGAAGATCCACTGCTTCAATTAATCTTCCATCCTTGTCTACTACCCTTTTCCGAACCTCAGCATTGCTAACTCGATTGTCCCAGTATATACGAGCAATGCTTCAAAGACACCTATGATCGAATACTGATGGCCTACGATTATCTCCTAGTCGTACTGGCAGTCTCACACCCGTACAGTAGAACGTAGGAAACTGCTGCACGGGGGAATTGTCCTAAGCTTAGCAGACGTATATCTTCACTAAACACAACTGTATCACCTGCATATTCTAAATTAACAAATGAGTCTCCTGGTGAAGGCATACAACTATGGTGGGACGCCGGAACTTATGTCTGTGCTCCAGGACCTGACAAAAAGTGGATATTTGGTCTATATAGCCACGTCCGGGTCGAAAACTAGCCTGGTTTTCTCGAGTCTGATCTTTACGAGTTCTAGTTAGGCGTTGGAGTATTATCGAGGCTAACAATTTAGACACTGTATTAGTTAAAATGATTCCTTTGTGATTGTCACAAAAGGACTTATGTCCTTTCTAATAAATTGGGACAATCAGCGATTGAGACCAGTCAGATGGGAATACGCTCAGTTCCCAGATTTTAGCTAAGATATCAGTCAATTTAACTGTTGAAACTGGATCACCATCCTTAAAAAATCTCAGGGGTAAGCCTATCAGGCCTTGCTTCTCTACCTCGCTTTCGATTCCCTATAGCTTTTTCGACTTCACAAAGACTCAGAGGACCTATATTGATCTGCTGTTCAGGTTGACTGGAGATCGTGAGTAACCGGGGTGTGGCTGAAGGCCCGTTGAACTTCTCCCTGAGGTCTTCTGCCCATTGATTCAATCTCCTGAATTGACAGTGCACTCACTGTCAATTCACTGCTCATTCTTTCACGAGATAATCTCACCGACAATCTGATTTTTGTGATGTCTGAATTGTTGTATACTGCTACCTATCGTCGCTGCCTTTATCATCATCGCTCCAAGCTTCCTTCGGACGGGGATCACTTGCGTGACCAACCAACTGTTTTTCTAGCTGCTACTGAAATATATTTTAAACTGTGCTATCATTAAGTAGAACCCTGAGAGGTTTCCTTGCTGTCTTTCTTACGTTAGTAGGAGGGAGACTAATACGCGCTCGTACTAGAGCATGACCTGTATCAAAACATGTGCTGACAGTGACAGTCTTCTATCGAGGTTTTCCATCGATGGCTGGTCGTGATATGAACTAGTTGAGACTGGTTGTATCTAGCGTTAACTTCTGGGTCGCCATGTTAAAAGATGTTTTTTCTTGTGCTTAAAGTTAGTATTTGCCAGGAACAGACGGTTATCTAAGCATGGCTGCAACAAACGATCGCTATTATCTGTTCTTTGAGTTGCGACACCGTAAGATACACCCAGATGTCTTTCTTTTTCGCTTGGTCTACCTATTTGAACACTAAAGTCACTCGTCGCTATCACTACATCAAAACGCTTACCTTTTTGAAAAAGGTTATAAAGCCTTCTGTAAAGTTCATCTTTTACTTCATCTGAGCTGCAGTCAGTTGGAGCGTAGGTAGGTATGACGAAGAGGCAGCAACGAGTTTCCCTATTTTTCCGAAGAGAGTTAACAGCGAGTGTCCTTATAGTTCCGAGCCCGTACTATTCCGTTTAAGTCGGACAGCACACAAGCGATTGTCTACTGGGATCCAGTCTAAGGGAGCTACTTCTGCTTTAGAACTTAATGTTATATCTGTACTAGCAAAGTCACAGGAAGCAGAAGTGCCTCTATGTAAACGAAAAGAAAATAGAAATGATTCTTTATTTAGACGTGATAAGGTCAAATTAATCGCTGTACTCGGATCCTGTATGAGTGTTTCGGCGTCACAACATACATCGATGTCACGGGATTCCAGAGTCCTAGCAAAGGAAGCATGATGCCCTGTTTGAAACAAGGTTCGAACATTAAAAGCTCCAACATGTAATTTAGAACAAGGTTTCAGGAGACCAGGAATAACGTTTCGTGAACTCGAATCGTTAGCATTGGCGTTGTGAGGTGATGAAGGAATGCAAGGGTTGTTCGTGGAGATAGGTGAGTTATTAGGTGTAGGATGAATCGGATTGTGGCTAATTTGGTTTAGTGTGCTGTTACGGGTATGAGGGCTGTGTCACTTCCCGGGATATTCCTTGAATAACCTAAAAAAGGGGATTAGACTAGCGTTCGTCGTGGCGACCTGGGAGTGCCACCGCAGAGTTCAAGGCACCGTTGTTTGAGGCCGGCCACATGCGGCCTTTTTATGGGCAAGATCAACCACCACATCAAGGTAGCAGCTACAGTCGGTTTCTTTTCACTGAAGTTTAAATTTATTCATATTATGTTACTTTAACTCATTTCGGCGATTCTATTGATTCATTTTTTTAATTCATACATTGCTTAAATGCATTCCGCTTATTCGTTGAAAGCTACATTTATTGTTACATACTACATACTTAAGTCGTCTTCAGTTCATTTCTAAGATATCTATGTATTAATGTATGTTATTTACCCGTTTTACTCATAGAACATTCGTGATCATTTTTATTAGTTTGATATCCTACAACTTTAGTGAGTATTTTGTTTACAAAAAGTACATTCCCATTTAATTGCTACAATTACATTCAAGATAGAAATCTCTCAAGTTCATACAATTCACTCATTCTTTTACTTTAACTGTGCGGATCATATATCTGCAGGTTTCAAGTACAAGATATTCTCAAAAATTATGACTTACCATTAATTTGAGTCATGATCAGTCAGTTTATCTAGGCAAATGCACATAACGACTTATTATGCAAAGCAAAATAACTTGGTACATCTATGCCCATTCCCACAAGGGACTGGGGATGCATAAACCTCACTAGAGTACCACGACTCGGGGAGATCTAAGAGAACGGCGAAGAAAATATCATATGCACTTTCGACAGCACAAAATACTTTGTTAACTTAGGATTCAATATTTTCAAGCCAAAGCTGAAAAATCAAGTACTTGTAGCTTTCACATGCCCTCTGCTCACATAGACGATATTCGTAAAGCAGTATAACCCAGTTATCCGGACGGTCAGACCTCCGTTCACACGCGCACTGTATTGCATACGATTCAACTTTGCAGAAGTTGAACAAGCCGTTTCATGCAAAAGTTTGGTGGTAACTGGTCTACCGACACCGATAGTTTATTATGAGTCCAATTATATGTGCAGATTCATACACCTGGCTTCAAACCACACTCCAAGTGTGGGGGCTAATGACAATATCTAGCAGATCAAGTTGAAGTGGACTAGGGTTGGAACCTGTCGCTCCTCAGCTGGAAGTCAAATACCTTACCTACTGACGATACTTCTAATTTCTGTTGTAAACTTAAGTTTGCTACTTCTTATAAAATCAGCTCAACTGCGACTTGCCATATATCCCTAAAAAGAAAGCTGTGTAGTGGATTTCAGTTCGTGTCAACCTAAGGGAATTAGTCTCAAATTTAAGAAACCCGATCATGTAAAGATGGAACATACCTGTATGTCGATGGTTTACAATTTGACGTATCACTAACGTTTGATTTGAAGTAGTTTCCTTTCAACGTAACTAGTTTAGATTAAAACTGCATACCTTGTTTAAGAATAAACTAATAAAGGGTCAAATTAGTGATCGTGCTTTTAAAGTTCAGTTGTCGCAAATTCTTAGTTACTAGTTATTTTGGTGTAAAACGATGTAACCCGTTTTGACCTTATCATTTGCTATCTCTAGACACCGGTTTACACTATGTTCGAGCCTACATTTTCCCACCTTATTTGAACCAAAAACCTGTATCTCGGGAGCACGTTGTTACACTTAGATTTAACCATATGTGTAATTTTGCAACCCTGTCGATCGATTTATTGTTTTGAAATAGAACCATAAGATCGATAGTCCATTGTTCATTTGCGTATAAGCCACATGATGTTAATTTATATTTCAGAATATAGCTTGTAAAATGTTTGATTCCCAATAGCGCGGCTCTTTACTCACTGAGAATAGACGTTATCTATGTGCAGTACCTTGTCTTTTTATAGCTTTCAGAGTTTCGCAAGCCAAACAATTTAGGCGTAAAAATCTACATTTCTTTAGAACATGAATTTAAACCCACACTGTTTATTACATTTGCAATACAGCACGTTATCAATTACGACCTCCCGTCAGATATTGAGGAGTATGTACATCGCATCGGCCGAACTGGTCGTGTTGGTAATCTTGGACTGGCAACTTCTTTTTTTAATGAAAAAAATCGTAACTTGGCTTATGGTCTAGTTGAGTTACTTGAAGAAGCTAACCAGGATGTCCCTCCATGGCTGAAAGCATTTACGGGAGATGGGAGGCCAGCAAGTTCCCAACGTCCAAGAAATAACCGTCGGTAATTTTACAACTCATTTCTTCTGAGTTTTTTTCATAGCTCCAGTTATGCACATAATGTCGCCTAGATCATCTTAGGAAGTTAGAGTAAAGAATCCCGAAAACTAGTAATTTCATTTCCAGGTGATATAAAATTTGGGTATGATTAAGTCCTACTTATTGTAGGGTTTCAGAATGCTACCTAGGCATCATCTTTCGAAAATGTATAAGAGTCGGTACTTGGCTTTATAGTCCTATATTTTAGTGTTGAAGAAGATAGCTTCACGGAAAGTGGTAAGGCGCCTGATGGGCTTTGTTTGACTCGACAAAATGTAAATACACTGAGAGTTTCTCAGTGTTGTTATGCTCAGATCTGTCAAACAATTCCGAAGAGGTTCGAACTTCACAGTAATAAAGTCACAGGTAAGCTATTTTAATATCAATAATAATTTTCAGATGACTGTTAAAAAGTAAACCATAACTGACAGAGTTAGTATTCTGTGCATCATTTATTTCAAAACGTTATTACTGGATTCAAAACTAAGAACCACAAACGCATGCAGGTTCTCATATTATTTGGCGAACAACGATTCATAGTCGAGCAATTTGATCTAAGACTAAGATTGCATATACAACTGCACACCGCCAACTTCATTCTGAGCAACGATGTTTTATCACTGCCCATCACAAGCGAAGTTGTGCATTTAAGTAGTTCAATCCAGTTTGTTCAGTAGCATTTAATGGTAGTGGAAAGTAGGATAAGCGTGACTCCCTTCGAACCACTTTACTGCAATTTTCGACGTAGACACTAAGTCATTTTCATCTTATGAGTTGAGTAATTAATTTGCTATCAATCGAAATACTCTTACGTTCTTATAATAATTGAGCTTTTATTTTAGTGGCGGCTTTGGTTCTCGTGATTATCGACAAACTCCCTCACGTGGCGCTAATAGTTCTAATCGTCCCAATGGCCCAACATCCAGAGAATACGGATTGCTTCGCGACGGCAGTTACTACGACTCCAAACCATGTTCAGTAGCTCAAAGTTCTCCAGATTGGTGGGGCAATTAGCGAGCACAATTATGAATATAACTACCATGGGTGATACCCGTTTTGATCCTGTCGTTTTTTTATAACTAAACTCATTTTTTGACAATTTTCACTTCAGCGGAAACTTGCTTTCATAATTTACTTTGGAATTCACGCCACCAAATAGTTGCAGTTGTCGACCCTCCTCTGAATCTAGTTTTAATTACCAATCGAGTTGTGCATCCACGTGAGCATAATAGTGGCATTTCTTCTCGGATACCATTTCCGAATCGCCGCTGCTCTTTCCTAAACCTGCATTTATTTTTGATGAGGTGTGATTTTCCCAGAGAATTTAAACAAGTTTAACCGCTTTTTGGTATTTGGAAAAAGCTTGTAATAATTAAAAAACTAGATCTAAGAGTAAAGCTTTTTATTTGGTTACAACTACTTGGGGTATCGTGCAACAAACGTGGGTACAGAAAACTTGCCTAAACATCCTTTGTACGTCATGCATCTGATTTTCCCAAAAACGGGTCTTTCTGCCCAACCTTGATCATGAACACCACAAATTGACCACATAACACCTTAAACAATATGACAGTAAACTATTCAAGTCTTACCAACAAATCCATTGGGGTCAGAACCGTCCAGTGCGTAATGGTCGTTGAGGTAAAGTGCTAGCCTGAGAGCGGCAGCTGGGCCAGACTCATGCCACTCCAATATTTTCTTAGCCCAATACATACGCAGGAATCCATGAAGTTTGCCTGATCGTACTAGTTGACGCTGCGCAGCATTCCACAGATCGTCTTTAGTTTCAGCTTTAATCATAATTTCCTCGCTGTATGAGGGGTTACGTTTGTCGTGAGCATGTTGCATGAGAGTGTCTTGAGCCCATTTCCACGCCCCTAGTAACAAGGAAGTATTTGTTAAATAAAACATATCCACTCTACACTAGATAAAGAGCGTTACAAAAAACAAGCATGCTGTGCCGAATGTCAGTCAGTCAGTCAGATGCAACGTAGAACTTTGTACATAAGTACATCAGTTCATGTTGCCATACCACATCAGCACAGAGAGGTAATCGTCAATTCAAGTCCAATAGTAGAAGAGGTAGTAAGGGAATTAGAAATAATCGGAGGTTAGGATTAGAAGATACTATTCAAGAAGTATGATTCAGTGAGAAAAGTTTAGAGAGTCGAAACTAGAGGGGTTGAAGAATCCAGAAGATTAGCATTTGAGAGAACACAAAGAATAAATGCACCGGCGCCATTGCGAACGATTTTGAGCCATGTCATTCAAGGTCTCTAACCATCGATTATTATCATCTCGCGGACCCCAACCAGGTAGTCGACAATTACCGACATGGCTCAGTCCACTAGTCAATGACTTCATGGATTTATGCCATGTTTTGGTCTGGCCGCCCCTAGCTTTCTTCCAACCTATTCCTACACTACAAAACAAGGCTCGACGAGGCAGTCGGTGGTTGGGCATACGCAACACATGTCCCAACCACCTCAACTGGTGAAGTTTCACTACTTCATCTATTGATCTGCCATTCTTACCTAGCACCCGATTCCTGATAACAGCGTTGCTCACTCGGGTGTCCCACGATATACGAGCAATGCTTCGAAGACACCTATGATCGAAAACCAGTAACCGACGAATATCTTCTACTCTCACTGGCCATGTTTCACAGCCATAAAGTAAGACGGAGCGAACCACTGCGCCGTACACTCGTCCTTTAGTCAGCAGACGGGTATCTCGCCTACGCCATAAGTGACGCAGGTTGGCAAAAGCCAATCGAGCCTTCTGTATCCGTGCCGAGATTTCGTCAGTCACCGGGCCATCGGCACTGATGAGACTCCCAAGATAAGTGAAGCGGTCTACACGCTCAACTACTTCACTCCCTATCACTAGTTCAGGTGCCGATGCAACCCAATCTTGAAGCAACATTTTGCATTTCGAGGGGGAAAACCGCATCCCGAACATGCTTGCATTGTTGCTTAGGGTAGTCAGAAGACTGCATTTTTTCAGCATCTTCACCAAGTAGGACAATGTCATCGGCATATTCTAGGTCAATAAGCGAGCCACCTGGTAGAAGGTCTACTCCTGAAAATTCAGACGAGGATAATGTTAACTCTAGGAGCATGTCTATGATAAAATTAAACAAGAATGGAGAAAGTGGACATCCCTGACGGACACCACTTGAAGTAGAGAATTCCGGTGACAGTTCGCCATAAGCCCTCACTCGACCAGTGGTGTTCGAGTAAAGAGCTTGTATAAGGTTAATGTACTTCTTTGGTACACCTTTCAATGACAGACACTGCCACAGAACCTCACGATCCACAGAGTCAAATGCCGCCTTAAGGTCTAGGAAAACAACTATTGTAGGACGCCTAAATGTGTGTCTATGTTCCAGGACCTGTCGAATGTGCGAACTTTGTCCTTGTTGTAATCAAAATATGAAATCTAACCCACCTTACGTGATCGCTGATTATTTGTCACATCAGAAGTATGATGTGAACATTGACAGTTATAGGGCTTCCGCTTAGAAAGCCATGCGATCTTCATGAGTATCCTCTTAAAATGAGATAGGTTGTATTTGTCGCGACAGTTCCTCCCAAATTAACAGATTACAAAACGTATCTAATTTACTACATGGGATTAGCTTGTTTCTACAAAAGCATGAGGATTACGGTTTTGGGTTATCATTGTGGCTGGAAATTAACTTGAAAACCATATAAGTTGCACTGACCTTCCATTGAGTCATATTTCGGGTTGTAATAACAGAAGTTATCCGAGAGCTCCCTTCGAATAAAGGCTTCCTCCACAAAAGCATCCACAGAGTCTTTGTACTTATGGCGCCAAAGTTTTACTTCCATGATCGCCCGCTGTGGTGCGATTTGGCCTGAGTTGGAAAAGTATAAAATAACAGATTGCAGCGAATCCTTCATATACGCTTGCAATAAATTGAAAAAACGAATTTATAGTTTCCGAAAACTTATTACGAGCATCGACAGCTGAGTTAGAAAATACTGCTTCAATAAGAGGAAATATCATGAAGAGAATTAAAAGGATCATTGAGTATTAAAATCTTAGATCACGTACGAATGGGAAACACTTATAAGGAAAGATATTATCTCGAATACTTTAAGTCAAATCTGCAGCGCATTTTCATAAGGAGAATGTGATTCGCTGTTACATTTCTAACGGGAGACTTCGATTTAACTACCTATCTTTTAGCGCTTATCGCTTCCGGAATATATCAGGTAAATATCAGTAGTGTGAACACATCGGATCTCCAAATTATCAGTCTTCTGATTGGCAACAGTAAAGCTTTGTTATAGAGATCCAGTTTCGTAAATAGTATTGAATGAGTGAATTAATGTACCGATTCAACAGCTAGTAATTTCAATCAATAAGTTGTCTAACATTAATAAGGTGGCTTTATTGAAGTTTACGAAATCACTTCATGGACCATATCGGCGCAGATAAAGTAAAAATTAGCTTTTTATCATTATGCGAGCCTAGGAAGAGATAAAAATGAAATGATTTGCAAATGTGTCTGCGCGAGTACGTCATGTTCCCGCTTCCAATAGTATGCAACGTCTGCGATGGTCAAGTGTATCCAGCGTGGGCTTTCTACCAACATCATCTGGGTGAGTCAGGTTTACACTGAAATATGATGGTGCACGTTTATAATGATCTGTTTCGAAAATACGAATCGTGACAATTACCGTAATGGAACCAAGGCGACAAGTCGCTCAAGCAATTTTTCGTAGGGTCATTACGACAATCAGCGTATTTAGACAGTCTTTCATAAATGAATGTGTGCAATGTTTTGAGACCCCCATTGGTTCCTGGAACTGCCCAATCAATTGGCTTGACTGACAGATCTCCCGAAAATGTCGATGTCCAGTGATCCCAATTTATTGGCTACATTAAAAATAAAAAAAGATCTCCATGAAGTTTTGTTAAAAAGCTTTAAGCGTCACAAGAATAGTTATAAATACTATTTTAAAATCCTGAATGGAATATGCACGTATTTGGACAGTCAACCAGCTACCAGCTTCAAAATACGTAAGAACTAACTTTACCACTCGTAATCTGTATGTATTGCTTCTTACCTTTATGTTCTTCATTGGTTCAAGGAATGAGAACCACCTCTGATGACAAATGTTACGCTAAACGGCATGAAAGTGAAGTTGCTAAAAAGTATTACTCAGTACTCATTGAGAGATAATATGTATATTATTTGACCAATGTTTATTATTACCCGATTGCAGCTAAAGAAGTAGTGTATATATAAAAATAGACTTTTTACTTCATGGGTGTTCATGAACTTATCATTTGAACTCGTATCTACAGGTTGCAGTTTGATTGTTCGTAAAATTTGATTAATTGAAGTTAAATTTATTTGATATGAAGAAAATAAAAAGCCCTAGATGTATCTTAAATTTACAGATCAGATGTCAATGAACAATATCATATTTCCAGTCATTAAACATAACAGTAAGTTATGAAACTGGTTAAACAAACTGAATATCTGAAATTTTTGTAAAATCCACTAAAGCAATTTCAGAATAAATGTAGGTGCACAACAATAGTTCTAAACAGATATGGGGAAAATGAGTGTCAATTTTACTTCAAAAGATAACTTCCTGTTACCATTATCGGGAAAACTCGAAAGTTGTGGTGAAGTTTTGTTCTCTGAACTGGATTTTCCGGTTGAGGAGATTTCATTGTTCTTCTGAACAACAGTGTCAGCAAAAACTTCAGATAGAAGTGAAGTATTCGAATTTTTCTATGTCTGACCCGTAGCTTGTTCCGTTAACCTCGATCTTGATTGGTTGTTATTGAACTGGATACTCAAGTATTTCGGAAGCCAGCCTACACAGACATAATTCTCAACTACAGTAGCAACAACCCAAGAACTCACAAAATCAACTGCATACAGACGTTGTTCAAGATAGTGATGACACATTGTAGCACAAAAATACGAAGAAAAATATCTAATGACCATCCTCTAAAGGAATGGCTATCCTCACGCAACTTCAAAAAATATCAACTGAAATCATCAACAGAAGCAACATCAGGTGCAGGAATCAACAAAAGGATCATTCTATCATACATAAAAGACATATCGGAACTTACAGCGCGACTACTGAGATTATTTGGAATTGGTGTAGCACAAAAACCAACAGAATTACTTCAATCAATCCTATGTAGACCAAAGGACAAAATGACAAAGGAAGAAAAACGGAATATCTACAAAAAAAATCGCTCAGATTTTGAAAAACACTTCATAGGACAAAGTGGACGGCCTCTTCAGCTTCGTTTACATGAACATCAATCAGCAGTCAAACGCCACGACATTTCTTCTCTTATATACATACGGACAACTAGGGACATACGTTCGATTGGAACAACGTTGAAATACTGGATAGAAGGAGCACAAAGAACACTAGGAAATTTTCAGAGGCTTAGTACTCAAATTAATCAGCAATCAAACAAACACATGGACATTGACCCAACTTATCAACCAATCAGAAAAACCATAGGCAAACACAGGAGCAAGAAACAGATCAAAAGGGGGATGCAATCAAAATAAAGGTGCAAACAATGACAGGTTTAAGGTCAACTGTAACCGATCAAGATCGAGGTTAAGAGAACAAGCTACGGGTCAAACGTGGTGAAATTCGAATACTTCACTTCCATTAGAAGTTTGTGCTGATGATGTGGTTCAGAAAAACAATGAAAGCTCCACAGCTAGAACATCCAGCTAGCAGAACGAAACTCTATCACAACCATTTACCTGAGATACAAATTTTCTTCACAATCTCAAACTCGAAAGTTTTTTTGAGTGGTAAGATTAACAAAGTGATCTGCTTGAACAAGTTCAACCTTTTTGTTGCAAATATGGATTTTTATTACTTCGGGATAAAATCCTACATGGGATTCATCTTTGTTTAAATTCCTGTTACTAGTGGTCAGGATGCCTTTTTAGTGTGCGAACTTTCCATTCCAGTTGCATGGTTTTTGCGGATATTTTTTACAAGTAGTTTGCGAAAAAATCTCCAATTTTTACCAACAAGTTTCTGCAAGAACTACTTTTTGCACTAACCGAGATTGAGAAGAGACTTCTATATTCAACAGAACCGTATCAAGTTTAGGCCATAATGTCAAAGCATATTGACCACCCAACAAGCATATTTATAACGTAAAATCCCAAACTGCCATGGTTTTCTTATTACTTGAGAGTGGAGATACAACTATTATGATTATTATTTAAATTGTTTTGTTGAGATGCATAATTTGAAGCTACTGTGCATCACGTGAAAAGATATGGCTGTAAGTAGTTGATAATCATGTTTCATTTAATACAGTTAGATGTAATGAAACAGTAGTGTTTATTTTAAAACATGTGTGTTGACATACAGTAGACACTGTATTCGCTTGGTCATTAAGATTTGCATATTTTATTTTATACGGTGTAGATGAGCGCTTTGGAATACCTTATTTGATAAACAGAAATAGTTACGCTTAACTTTGATATTACGTCTAAACATTAAATTAGTATTATTATTTTCAGGATAATACTCTGATACTTACTGATAAATTTGACTGATGACAGTAGGGATGTTTGGCCAATGGTGGAAACTCGGTCATTAAATTGTTTGCTTTTTGATGCAATTTAGGCCTAATTGTACGAGCCGCATATTCTAAGTGGTCTGATGCGTGCCACACAGGAACAACATTATGTGCATCAACCTTGAAGAAAAAAGACAATAACAAAGTTTTAGGAAGAATTTTTGTGCAACAAAAAAACAATAAAATACACAAGCAGCAAATATATCTATATGATCAGATTGTTGAAAGGATCATTCGAGCCTGTTGACGAAGTTAAGTATGTTAGGACATTCTTTTTCATCATGTTAAAGTAACAGCCCGAATTTCAACTCTTAATTACGCTGAAAAATGTATACAACCGGTAAGTGAATTTGAAATATGATATTTTCTGTGGGAAAACTGTAAATAATATATTGATCAAAACATGAATAAAGAATCAGATGAGGTAAATGAAACTTATTTCCATAAAGTTAATATATGCAATAACTAATGGAGTGTTCCTTGCAGCACAAAAACTGAACGATGTGAGATATATCTTAAAAACAAAGTGGTTATTGAAGAAATAAGTTGTTACGTGAAACTAGATAATAATGATGAAATAGAAAAATGCACTCAATGAATTAGAATTTTAAGGATTTGTACTCAAAGAAAACGCTTCATTGAGGTGCGACGTTTAAGGATGGTAATAGAACCGAAATTTCGGTTTTACTAATCAGTCGCCGACGTTTTTTTATATTCCAAAACAAGGACGATTTGTTATTGTTTGCATCTTGTCGTTGATATTAAGGACTGGAATTGATTAGTTACTTATCATATGTCCAACCTCAGTGGTTTGTTTCGACATTCCGAAGTATCTCAGTAAATTTAAACAGTAGCTAGTTACATTACCACATTAATTTTTCGATACGATAAATAAAGAGCATTTTTGACATTTATATATACTGAAATCACAAACTATTCTCAATTAGACAGTCACTGAAAACCTGGAATCATTAGAAGGTCGATTTGCCCTTATGTGGAACTTTTCAGCCCGCCACTGAGGATCGAACGGAGAACTTTTGGTATCGCGTGCGAACACTTAATCCCAAGAACCATTCAGTGGTGCAGAAGTATTAATTCAAACAATCCACGATATTGCTAGGCCATATTTTGTCGTTTCCGCCGGGGTACCATAATCACACCCAACACATTCAGACTCCAGTGGTCACCGGTTTTTCATTAGAACCTTGAATTTTCTTCTGCTCTTAAATTCTTAAGTTTAACCAACCACAATCAGTGGACAAATTTTTATAAAAAGATACTCAAAAGATTTTACTGAGCAGAGAATCTCCGATGAATATTATCTTGGGACAAGGAAGTTTTTTCGAGATCGACAAAAAGTAAAGGTTTTCCTCTCAACATGGATATATTTCCTATATCGGGGTTGTTGAGCAATGATTCACTAACACCCACATTCAATTATGTCAATCCAACGATATGTGTATGAAATAATACTTAAAATTGATGTTGAACTTAAAAGTCGAAAAAAATCCGGATTTTCAGCCCACTAACTTTACAGCCTTATTAGAATCGGACCATCTAAAATACTCTTCAATAAGAACAGAATACATGATCACTTTACTTAACATGTTGTAGGTCAGTCAGTCAGTTACAACGGAGAACTTCGTACGTAAGTACATAACTTCATGTTGCCATACCACATTAGCACAGAGATACAATTAAAAAATCAAATCCCACAGTGGTAAAGATAGTAGAAGAAATACAGCTAGTGGAGAAGATCGGGGTTCGAAGATATTATTCAAGAAGTATAATTCAGTGAGATAAGGTTAGAAAGACAAAGGTAGAAGTGTTGACGAATCCAGAAGATTAGGATTTTAGAGAACACAAAGAGTGGGTGCACGTGCGTCATTGCAAACGATTTTGAGCCATGTCATTCTAGGTCTCTAACCATAGGTGACTTCCGTCTCGCGGACCCCAACCAGGAAGCCTACATCTGCCAACATGACTCAGTCCACCTATACGTACATGTTGTAGGTATGCACGAAAAGCATTATTAAAACTGCAGCCGTATATATTCGTCATATACTCTTTTCAATAGTTGGCGTTGAAAAATTCCATAAGTTACATAGGAATAAAGAAGAACTGAATACTTACCTACTTATTAGGTACTTCGTTAAGAGCTAGGTACTTTTATTGAATAGGTTTTTGAACCTTTAAAATTAGATCCGTATGTGCGATGATCCTTCTCTGGTGTTTTCTAGGCTTTACTCGATATGATTATTTTTATGATCAACTGAATAGTATGTCAAAAGCTGTACACAGTCTTAGTTCCAATAACCAATAAATTTATAGGCTTCGCACACATGAAATTAACGTCGAAATATTTGTACGAGAATAAATCACAAACTCAAGATCGATGGTTAAAAATTATTTTTTGATAACAACTCTTTTTTTAAAAAACCCACTAAAGAATTAACAGTGGATTGTAAAGTGTTAATAAAATATTGCTATTGTGTATAAAAATGAAAATGCATTCGATTGTGTAATATTAGAATTTGTAATTAAACTAGGTCAAATACTTGAGTATTTGATATTGAAACTAATACATAATCATCAAGTATGACTACTGATCTAGTTAAAGTCAATTCAATCACTTGCACTCTTCTATAAGGAGACTACAATGCACGAAGGATTATATGCATTCTACACGATCTAGTTAGACATATAAACACAGGAAAATATACTAAGTACATATTTTTTAATGAGTGATTCAATAGTAAATATCGAGCAAATACCGAGTGAGCAATGCTGTCGTTAGCAAACGAATACTAGTTAGGGATGACAAATCAATAGATCCAGTATTGAAACTTGGTCAGTTGAAGCGGTTGGGATATGTGTTTCTTATCCCCAACCACCGACTGCCTCGACGAACGATTTTTTTAAGATGTAAGAGTAGGTTGGAAGAAAGCTAGGGGCGGCCAAACCAAAACATGGGAGAAATTCATGAAGTTACTGACAGGCGGACCGAGCCATGTTGGTAGGTGTAGACTACCAGGTTGGGGTCCGCGAGACGATAGTCACCAATGGTTAAATACCTTGAACGATATGGTTCAAAATCGTTTGTAATGGTGCAGGTGCATCCACTCTTTGTGTTCTCTCAAATTCGAATCTTCTGAATTCCTCATCATCTCTATCTTTCTCTGTCTAAAGTTATGTCGCTGAACTATACTTCTTGAATAATGTCTTCGAACCCTAATCTTCTCTATTAGCAGTAATACTTCTACTATCTCTACCACTATGGGATTTCGATTAACGATTGCATCTCTGTGCTAATGTGGTGTGGCAACATGAAGTTATGTATTTACGTACGAAGTTCTACGTTTTAACTGACTGACTGATCGAGATAATCAGTGAGATTAGTAACACACATTCTGAAGATATTTTATCGCCATTGAATAAACAAATACAAGTAAAGTCGTAGCTTACTTGGGTCTTATTCTTTAGATACAATCAAATGTTAGTACAGCTACACAATTATGATAAAATGTGACAACAGGATATAATACGACGCAGTGGATTTAAAACTACTGAATTGTAAGCTTTAAATTCACTTTAATTTTCTTACTTTAGGCAAATGTGTCTAGAAATATAAAAAATACAAATATATGATACTATGCTTGACCGCTTTCTTTACTTATGCCTGTTACCCCCAATGGAGCATAGGCCGCCGACAAGCATTATCCAACCTACTCTGGTCCTGGGCTCTTGATTGCTGGATTCAAATTATTAGTAGCTGTTCAACTTATTATGACTAAGTGAATGTACATTGAATCAATACATATGTATGCTGAACTAGTCTAAAATTTGTTATAATACATTTATTAAGTTCAAAATTGATGAGGTCATTTTATTAACATGCTAAAGATGAACATTTTATTTACATGTATACACACTAGGATAAATTAGTCTGAATTTTAAAAAATTTGCGTTTTAAATACATAGATTTGATGTTCTTATCCAACCTGAGATTTAATTCTCACATTATTTTGATCAACGGAAAAAAAACTACAATTCTATTTTTAAGAGAATGGTGATAACTTAGAAAATCAAAGAAATAAAAGTGCAAGATAATAACGCCAACAAAATGTAACATGATAATTAATAAACACTTATCATATGAGAGGTCAAAGTTATGATCAAAAGATCAATATAATATTGGATGATATATATATATATATATATATATATATATATATATCATAGAAATAAATTTATATCTCTATAGATATTAACACTCCCCACACGCTCCAAAATATTACATTGATATTATAAGTTACCTGAGTGCATCCAGTTAGCTAATTTGTGGTTACACGCGTTTTAAGGGATTTATATGATGAATGTAAACAATTCAATGTGCATCATGTATATCTAACGGCAAATCAGACTTACTTTGTAGTGAGTAAATGCATATTGCAACTTGGTAACTATTGACAGCAGTTATGCATTTGGCTTTCAACTACACTCTTACTGTTCAAATTAGAGATACTATATGGTTGTTCACACTGAAAGAAAAGGAGGATGATTCGGACTTATAGAACAATAGTTAAGAGTTGAATGTTGCAATTACTATTAAACTAAACAGTCGTTGGATTGTAATTTATGGATGAACCTCTCAGATTTAAGATGGTAGGTCCTTATAAAAAAATAGTATTTTGGTATTACAACTGATATCGGTTCGTGATGGAAACCGTAACTCTGGAAGGTAAAAAGATGATTTATCGACTTTCATGAAAAATTCGGAATTTCTGATCGAATCATTTACCTACTGAAGAACAAACAGCTATATACTTTTTAAGTACATTTCTGAAGATCATGAGTAGCAAAAACTCCGAATGCATAGAAAACTTAGGAATGTAAAGGATTCTTTTTCCCAGAAAATGAAATCCAAAAACAAATATAAAAAGGCAAAATTTCTACTTAACGAATAATAATAACAAGGAGTTAACTGGTTCGGCTATACAAACCGAAATGTGTCAGTAAAATTGAGTCTAAAGGTTTTAAATGATAAATGCTTTGCTATGAACAAATATAAATCCTAGTTTCAACCCACAGCCTAGTTATTAGAGCATACTTATAGGGAAAAAGATCACTTCTACATGATCCTCAATTACATTTCTTGTTGATGTCGACTTTTAGAAAGGAATCATTCTCAGTTATGATTTGGCATTTTCATTTACAAATATTCAGTGAATTTTTTAAAGTTGAACTAGTTAACAATTTGTTAATCGTCTCCATGAATAAAACAGTCAAATTATAAGTAAAGAATAATCATTGATTTTTAACAATTATTACCTGACAAAAGGGAATATATTCTGGTAGCAGTTCAGCCAACTTTTTTATCCAAGCTGTAGGTTCACGTAACGGAGAAAAATCTGTTATCACACAACTGATATTAATATTTTGTACCAAATTTAGAATGGACTGTGCGACTGTATCAGCGTAACAATAATTATTTGATGATTCTGGTAATTTACGCTTGATACCTGTCTTGACCGGTTGGTTGTCTGCTACGCAGCTATCAGTGGTAGCTGAGGTAATATGAAACGGTATACAAAGTTCACGACATTCCTAAAAAATAAGTAAACGAAAACTATAACATGTTAAATGACACACATCAACACAATAAAATATCACAAACGCAACTCATATACGAGATGCATTGTTACATAAGTATCATTTAAACATAAAACTCAATACAACACAAATCAATAACTGTATCACACAAAATCGAGTTGTACAAATACAAATACAAGAGTTAAACAATAATAGAGAATCTAAAACAGTAGCATATTTCAGTAAGACCATGAAATTCTTTTTCTTTATGCAGAAGGAATAAGAATAATTGTCACATGTAAAAATTATGAGTCGTACCTGGTAACAATAATTCTGGATAACTGGGATCACATACAGTATATTAAGATGCACCAAAAACAATAAACTGACACAAGTACCTCTATAAGCTAGAATGTGTTTTATAAAAAGCCCAACGTCTCCAACCATAGAAATAACGTTTATCTCTAAAAAAACTAGTCAAGCAGAAATATATATCTTTGTTATGAGCTTGAACCAACAGTTAAATATTTTATTGCACTGATACAATGTCTTGTTGAGATCTTCCATAGGTCTTCACCAACCCACTGTACTACGTGTCAATTTTGTGTAAAAATCGGAAACAGTTGAGTGAATTATCTGATAAGCGGTTGGACTAAATAGTATATATTGTATAAAGAAACCTGATATCTTCATTTTTGTGAAGATAGTGATCTTAACAATACTATATCAGAACTCATCTTGTTAATAATTTTCTTTCGGTAAATCTACAACTGACTTTGTATACAGTCCATTTTCTTCTGAATGAAGCTTCCAGTAAAAGTTCAACCAAACAGCAGTTTATAATTAACAAAATCCTTAGATAATTGAACTTACATGACCTATAATGATGCATCACATGATTAATAGCGATTTATTTATTTTATAAAGTACTAACTAATAAAAACAAGTCAGATTAACAAATAATTAGGATAGTTTAAACCACTGTGATTTTTTACTGAAGAATTAATATTATGGAATAAGGAAATAATGAAAAGTGATCTTTAAAACAGATTCTACGATATATACGCACATATAAATGTGGCCAAGTGTATTACGTCAAGAAGGCATCAAACCCTCGTTGAAATGAACAAATATCTCTGGAAGGAAAACCATGATGGCATTTATAAATTAGAGCAAATAAAATAAACCAAATGCAAAAACAAGTATGAACTGTGTTTCACGAAATAGTGAACTGTAGAGCCATCATTTGTTCCAAGTAATGATATTCCTACTATGCAAAATGAAATTTAAATCCGTTATGAGAACTAAAAAGGCAGATGCCGTAAACCAGCACTCACCAACCAAATCCGTCCTCCGCCTTTCTTCCCAGTTCCATTCAATTGCTGTTCTTTCTTTCCATATCTGTCTCCAATTCTCAGCGCATTATGTTCCTTAATCTACCTCTTTTCCTTCGGTGTTGTGGATTTCAAATAGGAGCGTGCCTCGTGACTAAGTTGAACGACTTCCGCGATATGTATCCTATCCAACTTCAGCACTTTTTCCTACTTTCTTTCACAGCTGGAGGCTGCTCTGTTCTTTCTGACAGTAGGTTGTTACTAATGGCCTGGAGAACAGATCCACAACATCTTGCGTAGACAATTGTTAACAACCATGTGTCTTTTGGATAACGGCTGCCGTAGTTCTACGGATTTCTGCCATATATAGTAGAACTGTCTTGACGTTCGTATCGAAAATTCTTACTGGTGTTGGTTGACTGTTGTTTTGAGTTCCTGAAGTTCTTCATTTGTAGAAATACTACCTTTGCTTTACTGATCCGCGTCTTCATATCTGCGTCAGATCCAGCTTGTTTATCATCTAATTTTGAGAATATGTTTTGTCATTGCTATTATCTGCATATGTTGTTGTGTGTGGGATAGAAGAGCTAGATCACCTGCAAAGTCCAGATCATTAAGCTGCTTCCGAGCTGTACACTGTACTCCGTGCTTCACCTTAGATTTTAACGCCCTCATAATCCAGTCGACCACCAGAAGAAAAAGAAAGAGTGAGGGTAACCAACCTTGTCTGAAACCGGGTTTGGAATAGGTCTGTGAACTGCCTTCCATGCACGACTCCGCAGTGCGGTCCATCGTAAGAATTCCGTATGACGTTGATTATTATCCAATTATGATTGACCTTTAGGTTTTCTTCAAAGCTCTTAAGTGGACTATTATCTTTCACATTTATAATGTGTATATTTTTTCTTTGTGTTCTTCTCTAACCCCTTGATTATTGAGCAACCTTCTTTTGGTACATTCCAAATTTCGGATCACTTTATGATAGAATCTCTTCTTCCCTTCTATTGTCTTATGTATTGATCAAGGAACTATTAATACAAATGTAGGGATTAACCAAAAGATTTTGTCAAAAAAGATTTTTTTTCTCGTTAAGTATTTAATCAAATACGAATATAATGCTCACTTTCTCCACTTCTTTGAGTCCCTCAACCATAAACGTATAATGTCTTAGTGTTTCAGCTTGAAATTTCGGAACCAAACAGAAGCAAACATGTAGAGGGACTTTAAATTTCAATGCTAACCGCTGAGCGAATAAGAAAGCCCAATTATCTGAAAGAAATAATAAAGTTTTAATAAATCGGAAATAAATGAATATAATTATAACGATAGGAATAGGTCTAATAATAAGTTGATTTTAAATTGATAAGTTGAAATAAACTAGCAAAATTACTGGAACAATATAGGATAATTAGTAATTACGCAGTTGTATCGTTCAAAAAAAGAGAATCATCAAAGTATTGATTTATTATTGGATTATAATAACAGTGTAATTTACTTCTTAATAATAAAATCGAGCTAAATAACCTGTTCACAAAAATTTAGTAAAGTACTTGGGTATTCAAAACATGTAACAACAAACAGTGAACTATTTTCATATTTAGAACTAAAATTAGTAAAAATTGAGTTGACTTAATAAATCTCTACGTTTCATGAAGTCAATGTAACAGTAAGTGAGGGGACTGAACTCTTGATGACTTTAAACGCCATTAGCAACCTTCTATAATGGTAGTCGTCGTTCAATACACTACACTATAAACAATTATGATCCAGTTTGCAACAATAAGTGTGTATGTTAATTTGTATCTCCCCCTATATATAAACATATTGAAAATTTCTTTCTGAAATCTGATTGATATTCATACCGATCAAGGTTACCATAATTTTATATACACTGAAAAATCACTTGGCCCAAAATAACTCTTTAAGACGATAAACAAAAATCAGAGACAGAATAATGTTAAACACAACGCAAAAAAATGAGTGCCAAACACTGGAGTAATTATAGGACAAAATGAAAACATTAACAACACAAGTTGAAGAAATAAGACGATGAACAAAGTATACAAACAAACCGATGAGGGGAAAAGCATTAAAAAAGTGATAAAGAATGTTTCGAAACAAATTATTAATAGTTTTTGTGTGAAATATGTTTATTCACAAATCAAACTAACTCATTTGGAACTATTAGATATGGTTATATCTAAATGTATAGAAAACAATAGAGGGAAAATACATTGAAAAGACGACCATAAATTTTGACTGGATAAATTCTGTTATTTGAGTAGATATCATATTCAACTTTTTATAAAAAAAATGTAGACTAAGACGAAATTACAAAATAAACAAGGAATAAATTAGAGAAAATAAGTGACTGAACGCATAAATGCCTACGATAAAATGAATAAATTGAGAGTTGTCATGTAAAGTTGATTCAATACTAGTTTCGATGACTGCTATTCTGACATTTTGATTTTCCACATCATTCAAGAACACGAACATTTACTACACGTACAACTAAATTTATATTTTAAATAAAAAATCAGTTCTATAACAACCAACTGATTGCTTATAAATATATATCTTGGTAGTATAGAGATTCAACAAGCAGTCACTGGTTCACAACTTCAGATTGTCTTCACATATTAAAACTAGGACATTCAGATAATCGTGATAATATGCAGGAATCACTTGAATATATGAACCTGTAAATAATTAATACTGTATACGAATATCTTGAACATATGCTTCCAAATTTAAAAACATGTCGCTAAATCAAGATCATACTACTTAAATAGAATTAAATCTTAGAAATCATAGAGTTGATGCCGGAATTCATGAGCTATCCGCTGTAACGGAATCTCGAAATACGGTGCCAACTAACCGAAAAGAAAAATTTTAACCAAATCCTTGGAAAACTAACCAAGTGGCAAATAATAGATGACCGAATAATGAAAACTAGTATAAGCAGCATATACTGTTGACTAATTGAGTTCTAATTTTTAAAATTACTTAAAGCAGCATATACTGTTGACTAATTGAGTTCTAATTTTTAAAATTACTTAAAGCTTATGAACGCCTGTTTTACATGACAAATAAACTAAACCTGTAGAAAAAACCCCTAAAGACTAATCTGAAACTAAAGTTTTGAATTGGGTTGAACGATAAGACCCCTACGCTGTTAAGCAAAGCAAACTGAATAAAACAATTTCCCGAAGTTTTAACCAACCCATTTCATGTTGATGAATTTTCATTCTTTTTTGGCAACAGAATACACATGCTCACAAATAAAAATACCCAGATTTGTATATCTTTAAGTAAAGATGAACAAAGATTGTAGGTTTTTATTCGATCTTTAAATTACATGTAGCTGATGATTAAAATTTGCTAATGTATTTTGAATTATTTATTCCTGTCTTAAGTTCACACGCTTAGAAAGGACTGATTAAGGAAATCTTCAGCAATTGAAAGATGATTTGCACATTAAGTATCTCAGTTTTGCAAGTTCGAGTAACTAAGATCCACCCTCACTATAATTCCGTTATATATATATATATATATGCCAAATATTTCATCTTAATCAGAAAGCACATGATTTACCTTGCACTCTTTGATCACGTATCATCCAATAAAGAACTCCCATTTTAGTGTCAGACTTCAGAATTGTTTCATGAGTTTTGTCTTCAAAATCTTCATCCAATGAGGGAAAATGATTAGGGCCTTTAAGCTGACGTACGCGACACTTTGCATATTTAAATTCTACAACAGTATTCGCAACAGTCAGACGTTTTTTTGCAATATCTTCGATCCATAATGAAACATCAGGTTTTCCTACTTGTGAGATCATGAATCTCTGAGTGAAAAGATCTATCAAGAAAAGTAACAATAATACCGTAGATTATTCATCAGGTGCAGATTTATATGTTGAAGTTGAAAGAGCATTCTGTATCTTGAGGTTTAGTGACTCTACTCTAGTATCCTAACCATATCAAGTAATATATCGTATAATAATCGCTACAAACATTTTTATTGTAACGAGATAGGCAGGAAGCAGGAACTGGAAAAATTCCGAACATACGAAAATGGAGAAGTGAGCATGACTGATGGAAGCTAGTTTTCGTGAACTTAGTTGGTAATAGTCTAGCCTGGTAATTACCGATGAGTGCATGATTAAAGTACGATATATTTAATTTGTTAACATTAGTGATGTTGAAACGGTCATCATTTGAGACATGGTCATGTCAAAAAAATTAAACTGATTGTAAATCTAAAGAAGATTACTTCCAAAATGATTTTATGATGCTCGTTTAATAGGAATATTATAACAGCAGAGTATTTATGTTAGGTGATCAACATGTGCAACTACAATGCCTTTCCACTTTACGAAGGATAAACTAATTCGAGAACGGTACATTACGTCTCAAACTAAACTATCATAAGCGACGTAGAACCTGGAACATACGGCCACATTGACAAACCATATTGGCACGGTGAGGTGAAACTACCAAGATGAGTAATAAAGCAATGAAATTAGTACACAGGTAATAAAGACTAGGAATAAAAACACGAAGAAAACAATGATTGCATTGGAGCCACTACGACCGATCGCAAGGCATATCGTCCGATAATCTAATTCAACAGTCAATGATTTCATGAACTGGTTGCGTTTTAGTTTGGCCGTTCTCGATTTCCACCTATTCCCATATACCAGTTAACATCGCTTATTGGTGTACGTAATAGCTAAGTATACATAATACTTAGTCCAACCAATTCCTTAAACAAAGATACACTACTTCAACCGATTTTCCATATTACACAGTCCCGTAAAACATGAACAGTATTTGGAAGACATACATGATCAACAGCTTGTGGCCTAGACGCGTTTTCCTGGTTTTGTATATTGTAATTTACGGCTGCAGAATAAAACAGAGTACAACATACATGTCTTTAGGGTTGGAAGACATAGATCTCAGTCTTCGAAGCATTGCTCGCATACCCTGGACCATCGAGTAAGCAATGCTGGTGTTCGGAAACGGGTACTAGCTAAGAATGGCAGATAGATTGATGAAGTGGTGAATCTTCATCAGTTGAGGTAGTTGAGACATCTGTTACGCAAGCCCGAAAGCGGACTGCCGCAACGAGCCATATTGTCTGACGTAGTAGGCTGGAAGTTGGGTACGGCCAGACCGAAACGTAGCAGAAGTCCATAGTCATTGACATCTGGAGTGAGCCATGTTAGTAGGTGCAGACTACCTGGTTGAAACTCGCGAGACAATCGTAACCGGTGGTTAGAGACTTTGAATGAAGTAGCTCAAAATAGCTTGCAGTGGCGCAGGTTCATCCATTCTTTGTCTCCTCTCATATTCTAATCTCCTGAATTCCTCATAATCATTTCCTGATTTTGAATTTATTACTTTGAGACATACTTCCTGAATCCTACTTCCCAACCCTAATCTTTTACATTACCGCCAGGACTGCTACTACCTCCACCACTATAGGATTTGAATTGACGGTTTTGTCTCTGTGTTTTAATATGGTATGACGACTTGAACTGATGTAGGTGCGTACCAAGTTTTATGTTGTAGCTGGATGACTTTTCTCGATTGCTCACCTACTGAAATATACATATCACCTGTTACAATGATGCATGTTGAGAAAAGCTAAACGAACTTTTTGGAGTTACTCAGGGATTTTTTTAGACACCAATAAACTGAGTGTACAAAACTTCCAAAATAAGTGGATTGGTTGACGCACTTAACTACTTTTTTTCGATCATTTTTTAGTGCTGAGTTTTCTCCAAGTGTCATTCTACATTTAGGGGGAAAGAAGCGTATCCAAAACATTCTGACGTTGTTATTTAAGGTAAATATAAGAGGCCTTATTTTCACAGCCTTTGTCCTTCAACTAATACTTCGATTACCTATACTACTATGTGATTTGAAGTGACAAGTGCGTCCCTGTGCTAACGTGGTAAGGCAACCTGGACTGATATACGTACGTACTAAGTTGTACGTTGTAACAGATTGACTGACTGATTTGGTCAATGGATCCACGTCAATTTGAGGCCGGTCTAGTTATCTCGTGTTTACCTCAGAAGTCTTATTTAACTGTTCAATGACTAGAGTGATTAATATTCATGATACTATATAGGCTAAAGTATTTTTTGTGACAACCATTAAAAATGTATCCCTCCGTAAAAAATGAGATCAGTAAACGAGATCAGTTAGGTGAACCAAGAAATCTATTTCCTAATCTCTGGCTAATGTCAGAAAACCGTCAGATTCTTTTATTTTGACAGATTGCAGAATACATATGGCCCTTTCAACTTCAGCAAAAGTTGGTCTCTGAAGACAATAGTGAAACCAACGGAGATAAAAGACGAGCCTTAGGCTAACCAGCGGAACTTTAGACCTAGACTTAGGCTGGATGCAGGGTCTGTATATAAACAGATGTGTAAAAGTTTATAAAATTCAAAAAAAATGTAGTGTTTCCCAATCTCTATTCCCAGTCAAAATAAGCAATATGCAGACAGTTTTAAAAATACTTTGAACTTAGGATAAAAGTGACACACGAAAGAAAGAAATCTACATAACTTGACGGACTTTTAATCCTAGCCGTAAACACCAGCTTTAAGAGAACCGCTACTTTTTTATGAAGCCTCTTCCGATAAGTTTCAAGAAAATTGTCTCTAGCACTAAGGGTTAGTGACAAGACATATAAAATTCCGTTGACGCTGGTAAGATCTTGTTAGCAGTCTCATTAACAGTCTATTTTCAACACACTACTTATGCCTGGTTGTCTTGTAATCCGAATCTTTGGTTTCGGATTCTTTACAGTCACAGTGTTAATTCATGAAATACGCATTGTGAAGACCTTTAATGAATGAAATTTGCTTGCCATCGTTGTTATCTAACGAAGTCGATAACGATCAGGATTATCAAAAGAGCATGGAACTAAATGGTCTCCTCCCACATTCCTTCCAGCAGTTTCGAAGCCTAAAGACTTTTGGCTAAAAGGACTTTAGAATTTTAAATGCTTCGACAAAGATTGATGCTGATGCTACTTTTGGTGCATTTCATAGCCATTTTATTTGTCTTTAGGTATGTTACTTGAGTATTCTGAGCTTGATCAACAGGCAATTGCAGCTGAGTGTTCAGCTGGGCTCAACTAAACTGGACGTAACTGCCACCACAGAAACTTAGTTGACTCAGTTTGTTCTCAATAAATAACGTGATTTTGAAAGTCCCGCATTAGGAAGCGTCGACAGAATCCAGAAGCGTAAAGAGGAAGTAGCTTTATTAATTTGAGACACTACCTTCTTTATCCCTTGGAAGTGAGGCATGCGAATTATTTAGTTGCCTCTTTGAAGTGCAAAGTATAAGAGATTAGTTGATCTGCTTATCACAATCCAAAGTTTTCAGTGAATGAGATCTTATTAGAAGAGCTCAATTCTCGGTATTGAGGAAACTGGTTTTTTTGGTTGAGGAGCTTTAATACACCTTCCGCAGACTTGGAAAATCTAAGAACTGAATTTTCTGAAAGTTCCTTCAAACAGAAATTAGTCGACGCAGTTAATACGAGTTCCCTAAGGCAACAAGTAAAAGAAGTAACTAAGTGCATTCGATAATTCGAACCATCCTTTCTAGATCTCCAATTAGCCTAATATGAAGTTTTGAACCTCAATTATTTGCGACTTCTAACGAAGACTGACAACGCAGTTCTAGGCTTTGTTATTCTAGAGTCATTAACAGGGATGTGCCGTTCAAAGATGAAAGAAAGTTTTAGAAATCAGAAGTACATGGAGTTATGTACCTAGCGACCTTAGTAGATTAGACAATAGAAACAGAATCCCCAGTTCAGATGACTTGAACGTTAATCAGGAATTTATACATGAAAGTTACAGCACCGCACATTACTTGAACTACCCCAAGGAATCCAAGAAATGTCCACCCGTAACTCAGTAAGGAAGTTCTCACCTTTCGTTATAAGAGGAGAAAATAGGAGAAATCCAGGACGTTTAGCACTCAGGAGGAAAAATCTAAATTTTGAGAAGCCCGAAATATTTGTGTTTCAGCTTTCCGCAATTCAAGAAGATTGTGAATAGAGAAGTTAATAAGGGATTTCAGGGAATACCCAGAACGCCTGTAAGCTGTAAGGCTCTAGTATTCTCAGACTACTTTGGCAGTGTGTAAAGCAAAATTCATTCAAAGTCCTCCATGCACATTCTGGACTCTACAACCACTAAGGAGCTAGCTGTCCTTGGACCACTAAGCATGAAATACGTTCTAGAATACTTAAGGAACTAGAAAATGTTTTAGCGAGTTACTTAGGAACATGTCATAGACTATCTGTAACAGATACGTGGCATGAATCTGAGACCAGTGTAAAACTCAGGACGGTTAAACAATGCTCCGGTCATATACCAAGTTGCACAGTTGCTTTTAATTTTTCCCTTTGTTTCGTCTCAGAACCTCATTATCATTTTCTAAACATTGGTCTTCTTCCACGCTAAATAAACCTAAGAAAGAAACCGTCAAGGTTAAAGCTCAAAGCAAGCACATTACAATCGACACATTCTATCACTCAAGAACGCTGCTGTGTACCTACCCTATTCGTAATCGCTTGCTGAAAATGCGGCTATATCAAACTCTTCATGGGGCAGAGTGGGCGTTCTGGTTCACCGTATTTTTCAGAGAGCTTCTTCGTCATACCGTATAATTGTTTCATATTTCCCTTCCACTCTTTTAGCTTTCTCTGCTTCCACATATTTGCGTTTACTATTTATGATGCTCCGCCTACTTGCCTCTTTGCTTCTGCGTATTTGGCCTATGCCTTGGCTTTCTCCGCATGCCTTCGACTATTATTGATTGCCGTCTTCCTGTTCTTTCTTTGTTAAATCTTATCCGGTCTATCAAAAAAAGACTCATTGCTTTTGATGGTGATTCTTGTGGCCCAAAACCTATTGACATGCTGAAGTTATTGATTTTATGATCCCTTTCCCGTTGTTCTCTGTTTTAGTTTCCTCTTCGGTGAACAAATCGTGAACAGCTTGGAACTTATTGCTGAGAGATAATTCGAATTTTTTGAGCTCTCCTAGTTTTACAGTGCTTCTTAAGTTTCAGATACATCTTGGCCACCACCAAGTGGTTATCTGAAGCTATTTCAGCTCCTCCATTTGGTTTCACTTCCTTCATGGTCCTTCTGAACTTTCTGTATATGCAAATTTGACAGGTTTTGTTCTCCGCAACTTAATCCGTTGAAATTCACATAGCTTTTAACATGAGTTAATGTGGAAATATGGTGCTGCCAATAACCATATAGACTTGCAAATCTCTTATCGCCATAGCTACCTTCTCATCCATGTCGTTCCATGATGTCTTCATATGCAATGTTGTCCATTCCAACCTTGGAGTTTAGGACTGTCATCAGAATACTGAAATGCTTTTCAGGTTATTTCTCGACGATCGACTACAGATTATCATAGTAGTGATTCTCAAATCTTCGTTGTTATCGTTGGTGAGTGCACAGAGCTGAATGAAATTCCTTATGATTCTGTAGATTAATTTGATGATCTTCAGTTCTTGAGATTATTATCCCGTGAGTTCTGTTTTGTGATTCTTTAGACAGCATTAGTAAGATATTTCCCCCTCATGGCTGGAGTAAAACAGCATCTTCTCTGAGCTAATCGCTTTTACCCAGTCTGATTCCAATAGGTTTCACTCCTTTTAAGCATCACCAAGTTGTATTTTCTAATTTCCTCAGGAACTTGAAGAGTTCTTCCGGTCTACCACATTGTGCGAATATTTGATGTAGTTTTTACTATGCATCTCAGAAGGGGTGTCGATCTTGTGACTTCCGAAGAAACTCTGCTTTCAACACGTGTCATAATAACTCTTCAAAATGAAGACTTTCCGACTCCTAGAGCAGAGTTTAAGTCATTCGTGAAACGTCTCTAGTATATCCATCTAGCATAGCACCATCACTTTATCTTGCCCCTTAACTTAAAACTCACATTTTTAACTCCTTCGTTTGCATATACCGCAAGCTCCGAGTGAAAATTCTCATCATCCGAGTTATTTTTAACTCAGATTTTATGATTTCGTTAATCTAATTCTGAGTGAGAGTTTTCTCAGCCTACAACTATGCGGTAGAATTAGTGGATGATAATCTGACAGTCTCATGTTTCCGGTTTTCCTGGGCCGAATTCTATTCTTGACGAACAACTACTTTCTGCTTATCAGGCAGTATATTTACTTTATCTAAGTCACATTTAATTGTGAAAATTGAGCTGACTAATCCTCCAAGTTGCGTAGTGCAGAAGTGCTATACCTTTGTCCATCTAAGTACTATTCACGTTTGTAATTCTTATATTGAATCCACATTTAGGTGAACGATGGTGCTTTGATTTCAATCAAAGAAGAGACCGAGATTTGAAACTGAATTACCGTTCATACTGAATAGGGACAGAGAAAGGTTACACAATACATGAGTGCCTACCTGGCTTTAGATATCGGTCAAGAAACCTGTGGTTAAGCAACCATAGTGAACACCTGAGGGCGAAGTCGCACTGCTAACAGTAGATATTGTGACAGCAGTAAGATGTTTACCTCGGACAACCAGCATCAGCAGTGAGGCTGCCTTATTACAATGATTTGAGAGGTTAGAAAAGGTCGACCCTAAAAATATCATACCTCACCCTACCTCACAAATTTCCGTCTCCGGAAACTAGTATTTTTAAAAATTCTCATAAAAATGCCGTGCATGACCGGCCTCAAGCAGTTGTCCCCTGAGCTCTGCGGTCACGCATCCAGGTCTCTAAGACCAACACTAATCTTTCTTCCTTTTCAGGTCCCTCAAGAAACAACCTTCCACTATGTGGGCAGCCGGGAAGTGATAACCGCCCTCATACCCATGAAAGCACGCGAGACCAAGTTGGTCACAATCAAATCCTTCCTAAACCCCATAAATCCTCTCTTATCTCCACGACTAACTCTTCTCACATTCCTTTATCTCACTGCACAGCTAATGCAAACGTCGTCCCCGATCTCCTGAAATCTTGTTCTAAATTACATGTTGGAGCTTTTAACGTACGGACATTGTGTCAAATAAGGCAGCAGGCTTCCTCTGCTAGGAGTCTGGAATCTAACGCCATAGATGTATGCTGCGACTCCGAAACGCGGATACAGGATCATAGTAAAATCAATAATTTGATTTCACCGTGTCGAAATAAAGAAGCAACTCGATTTACTCTTCGTGTATCCGGTATCCCTGATGCTGCTTCCCGAAGTCTGGCTGGTGTAAATACAGCATGAAGTCGTAGGGCAAAACTAGCTCTTCTAGATAGTTGCTTGTGCGCTGTCCGACTGAACGGGATAGTAAGTATTCGGCAAGATAGGGACATTCGCCGTTGCCTCTTCGTCATATCTGCCTACGCTCCCACTAACTGCAGTTCAGACGAGGTGAAAGATGAGTTCTAGAAGAAGCTTTCGGATCTCCTCCAAAAGGTTAGGCACTCTGATATAGTAATAATGGCTGGTGACTTCAACGCTCAAGTAGGCAGACTGAGCGAAAATGAAAGACACCTAGGTGGATGTTAGGATGTCGCGTCTCAGAGAACAGACAATGTCGACCGTCTGATGACCGCCTATTTCTAGCAAACACTAACTTCAGGCATGAGGAAAAACTTCTTTTGACCTGGAGACCCCAAAAGTTGTCTCAACGTTGGACCAAACTAGATCATATCGCTCTAAGCCATCCCATCGCATTGTGATAAACAGTTCTACATGCAGTTATCAAACTTATGGGGGAAGAAATATGGCTAGGGTTGTGTTTTATTTTACTTACCACACTAAGTCAGTGTAAATTCATGGTGACATATTCTGAGATGCTGTTAATATGATGTACACTAGATGTTTGCTTGAAATCTGGATACAGTGCATAAATGGCTAGTATTTGTCTGAAAATATTTAGATTATGAAGCAGTCTAGTAAAGTTGAAGGGTAAAATCTATAGTTGACAAACTTGCTATCTTTCATTTAACCAAGTGTTATTCAAGAGAATGGGATAGATGTAGTCTTCTTCCTTCATCAAATACATATGAAAGTAACTGCACCTAGAGAGCAGGAAAAATTAGTCTGTATAAAATTTGTTAAAATTTGAGTTATGGAAAAAAAACTTCTATCGACCGCTGGTAGAACTCTTATTTTTCCGAGTTTACAAAAGCAGTGTAAAAATCACCACCTTTCAAAGAGACAAAGCTGATGATAAATTTAATAAATTCTGGACATTTGGCGCAAAATTTGGTCCAACTCTGAGTGCGCGTTATTTGTTCTGAATACGAAGTCCGTTCATTTTTTAAATGAATAGATGGTAATCTATGAACTCCAGCACCATATTTTGAAGGAGATCGTCTGCTTGTAAGTTTATTCTTATCAGTGTATGCAAACCTCGTTTTGAATGTGTACGTGAACATGTAATTTAATTCCAAAGAAATGTAATTTGTACGAAAACTGGATATGTGAACAGCTTGTGACAAGTATGTATCTAGTCTATGTAACTAAGTTTATTCGTCCCAGAATTCTACTCACTAAGTCCTCACTGACTTTTGTTTGACTACTTTCCCTCTCGGCATTAATGAACAACTTGACTAAGCGATATAGAAAGGAAAACCTCACCCGTAACTTTACTCAGGTAATACAGGTGTCGTCTCCAACTGACAACAAAGTGTGATCGGCCGCCTTCCATTTTTATTTCTTCTGGTAGATCTAGACGGAATCCATGTATTGTCAGATCGGGGTTCCAGGAGACCAGAAATAACGCTTCGTGAATTATACTTCTCGGATATCCTCAAACCCTAATCTTCTCCATCACTGTTAATGCTTCTACTACCTCTACCTTTATCGGGTCTGAACTGATAGTTGGGTCTCTGTGCTGATGTGGTATGGCAAGCTGAACTTACGTACTCATGTACGAAGTTCTACGTTGTAACTGTCTGGCTGATCCATGCACTTAGAATAAGATGTAAAAGCTCTACAACAGGTAACAAGAGCTGATAAGTTGAGCACATATGATCAGATAACATTTTCAAACCTAAGCCTAACATAAATAAGACTTAGATATTTTTCAACTCTTATTCTCCTCACATTTCTTTTGGATTTGACTTGGCATATGATTTTCAGCAACATTGACTCGTTTGCTTTCTGAAATCGTTGTTTTGTTTACCATCTACATATTCTACACATACATCATATTCGAAACAATAAGTTGCTCCGCTGATTATTTTCATATTATAAAGTCATCAGGCTTTGGTAAATAATACAGTTCCATTTTTTTAAATAGCTCGATTAATTTTGTTTTTCAGCCCATTATGAGCAGTATCCGATCGATCTCTTTCACAGCTGCAAAATTGCTATGGGACCCAGAACTGAATCCATCCTGTCGAACTCCTTTATATCGAGTTGATGGTATAGTCGAGGGGGTAAGCCCAATTCTCACATTGATTGTACTTTAAAGCAAAATGAACCAGACTCAGACCCAGTGGTTGATCCTAGGCGCCCCTTGCATTTTAGAAATTTTTGCAAGAAAGCGGTCGTTGATCTACCGATCCCGAGTTTCAAGGTATTTTGAAATTTATTTTAGGAGCAATGTGACAGATTGATGTATACTACGTGGGTGAAAAACCAGAAAAAGAGGTCACTTTTTCAAACCTTAACGATAACATCACATTCAAGAACTTAGAAGACATGTGTCGGCAATTTGGGACGATTATAGAAGCGAAAATATACTATCATCCAAAATCACAATGCCACCTTGGCATTGGAACAGTATGTTAGAATTCGGATTGAGATCCAACTTTTCAGGTTGTATTTACATCTTCTAAAAGTGCAAGAGCTTGTGTAGAACACCTTAACCAGACATCAAAGATGGGGAATATAATGACTGTACAGGTGGACCCTTTCGGTAAAATATGATTTTCTCCACTTAATTTTACATTAGGTAAGATCAGGGTTCGGTTGATTGCGGAACAAATGGCTGACCTACTACCTTCGAACCCTAGTGATTCATTCCTGTTTCCAGAAAAATCTTTTGCTAATCAGACACAAAGCCACGTGCCTCCTGATTTTTCATCGCAAGGTTTCAATTGTGAAGCTAGTTTACATAATCCCATTTTACGTCAATCACAAACGTGCTCAAATCTCGGGGATAACAAAGTTATTGAAACTTTACCGCAGCCTCATTGCATGACGACGTTCAAATCTCATCTTTTTTCCAAAGCATCTGATAAACAAGAATCAGACTTGAAAATAAATTTGCATTCTGACAAGTTGGCATGTTCTCTAAATAACAATGATATTTCAGAAACATCCTTTGTTGCGACCCATCGGAATCGAAAAAGTTTATTGAATTCAGAAATCGGAAAAAATACTCCAGGTTCCATAGAAGATCAACATATACCGGGACTTGAAACTAGTGCAAGTGTTTATAAAAAGCTTTCAAGCCAACAAGAAGACTCAAAACTCCGTGACTCCCAATATTGCGAAGAGTCCCTTGAAGCTCGCATACAAAAATTGCTGAAACTGAATTGCGTAAAACCAGCTCCTGAGTTAAAGGATGCTCAAAATATCCCAGTGGTTTCAGATCATAATCCTAAAGTCACTGGCAATCTTCCGGTTTCTTTTGAAGCATGTATTTCGACCAATGCACGTTTCAAGTCGGACGATATAAAACGGTTGGAACTCCCTCCGAATCCAGTGATTCAAAAAGGAAACACTCATTCTGATGCATCGAAAAGTACACGAGTAGTAACGAGTCCTTCATCCAGCCGACGCACGCTTTTACCTACTCCTGATGGATCAAGTGAGAATGCCAAGACATCTTTGTTCAACCTTCATCGTCCACCTCTTTTAAAAACTCCTTATAAAGCTGTGGATGTCCATGAAGTTATAAAAATCATCGATGACGTATATATGGTTTTTGTGGACGAGTTACGTGGAATAATACACCGGGATATTACGCGGAAACTTGTTGAAGGTCAAGCATTCAAATTATTTTCCGATTGGTGGGATTCGAAGGAACAAGACTGCAGAGTAAGTATATTATATTTTAATCCTCACATTAAGACGTTATCAGCGAGAAGTTGCTAATTGTTGGATCTCACAAAAGTGACATAAACCGTTGCTAAAGGAGAATGATCAACTTTATTCAAGCTAGGTTTATGTCAATTAATCATTAAACTTGTTACACTCTGAGCGAAACTGCATGCACTGTATATAGGTTGTGCCCTGGGGCAGTTAAAACATCCAGTTTTCTACCATTTGTTTACAGGTCGGAATCCTGTCCTATCTACTTTGGTCTAGGAGGCGAGTGATATCATTAACCCTCTTCTTTTGTGGATTATTAATTTTCGTTTTCCATCCACAATTATTTGGAAAGTCCTCAAATGTTCTGTTGCAACCTCATGGGTGTCATTTAGGTCAGAGGCCAAACTAGTCATTTGGTTAAGATCAGGCAATACAAACATCCTTATAGTAGCAAATTACGTAACCACCAAATGCCCTAGTACGGCTGATAGTGAAGAGAGTCCACTCTCCCTCCCAAAATTCGTACGGCCACACATACATAACCAGTTCCAGGTAATTCTTATTCACTATCTGGTGTCAGGGGTGTTTCGGAAATTGAGAGGACACAAAGCGAATATCCAGCTGGCTGTTAATGGAGGCGGAGAATCCACCTAAGGAAGATGAAAAACTGTGATCCTAAACTAATAGTGCGCATGAGCTCCAGGATATTCAGGGGAAATATGGCGTATGGACCTACTGTTGATCACTGGCTGCCATGGGACCGTATCTTAGAAAGTTACTCCACTTAGAAATGTAGGGGGAGTAACTCCCCAATGAAACCACTTTTCTCGATTTAGGCACTTGGACAGTACCCCAGCCCACACAAATTCAGTGATTTGTGTAGCTCATAAATATTTAGGTGTCCCTTTGTACCAGTAGTTGTGCCGAAATAATAAAATTATTAAGCTGTGTGTATACAAAGTTTACCTAGTATTTGATTTTGTTTATTTGATTTCGTTTTGATAGCAAACTAATGTCTGTAGTCATCACAATATTAAAGAGGAGAGTGTGAGTAGTAATATTGTAGACCATCCAAATACATCTCATGACTCCACCGTTGCATCACGTCAAAATCAGAGTACTAGTGGGAACATATCCAATCCCTCATCTGCTCCTATTCCAGTCTCTTCCAATATTCCTGTATCAACTATGTCTGACAATAACTCCGTATCTTCGAACTTCAAACTTTTTGGTTTGGGTATGTTTACAACCTTACGATCTGCTTTGCCAAAAATTAAACGCAAACCTCGTCCACCCAGTCCCGAGCCACCACCTTCAAGCGAGGTGGCTTCCGCATCAAAAAGTGAGTCTCATACCGACTATCAAAATGGAAAAAATGTAAATTCTCAGGGTAAGACTGAATTGAAGCTAAAGAAGTCTCCGGTTTGGAAAAATAATGATTCCCGAATACAAAAAGGAAGTGACACATCAAGTTCCGAGGAGGATAATGGTGAAATAAATATTCATAGTAAAGTCCTCTCCGAAACTTCAGGTAATTTTTTTGTTTGCCCATACTTTTATCTGATTATTGATTACTAATTGATAATCTACTTTTTTGGAAAATGTCTACTTCTGTAATAATTAGTCTTAGCATAACCCATCTACTAAGTTCAGATTCCGACCCAACAATTGAAAGTTGAGCTTGAATTACCAAACCAGCGCTCCAACTTATTCATCTATTAAGTCTTGATCATCTGGTCACAAGTTTAGACCTTCCAATACTCAGTTCGGTTTGATCAGCCAGTTAAATTAACCAGGCCTCATAAATATATAAAATATACTGATCAAAGCCTAGTACGTAAACCTGTGTTCGATGAGCGAGTTGTATTTGTAATTCATCTATGCCTTTTTGTCCATCATAAAACAGTAAAAAATAGGACACCCAGTATATCTGGCGAAATATAAATAGCTTAATACATTTCAAGTTCGAAGAGTATTTCTAACCAGAGGTTTTCAGAAAATTAAAGCATTTGTATTTTCGTGGTTATTATAGTACGGTTATGTATCAGAATGGGTAGATCTGAGAAATATTGTTCACTTTGTGTTTTAACTCTTATTCGTTGATCCCAAGAACGATTGAGCTGTATTGACCGTGTGTACTGAGTTGTACTATGGTCTTATCACTTAATGTCTGTGAAGTTTGGATCCTGAAAGTTAGAAACCTGAATGGGCTGCAGTTTTTTTATCGTAATTATCTTCAAAAGCGTTACTTGTGTTTCGTGGGACGGTTGAGGGAATAATGTCGGGGTCAAGCTTAGGATATGAGGCAAAGGTGGTGAAGCGATTGATGGGTTCATAAATCTTCATTAACTAAGAGGGTTGAGGGACGTGTCACTTATATTCAACTACCGTCAGCTTCGATAGGGGATGCTTGTTAACGTAAAATTAGGTAAGAAAAAAGCTAGCAGCGTCTAAATCAAAACCATTATCTGTCTGTAGAGTCACTGACTAACTGGTTGGGGTCCACGTGATTTCTGTCATCAATGGTTAGAAATTAGGTTACAGCTCAGACTTGTTCATAACGGTACAGATGCATTAACTCGTTGTCTTCCTCTTGATTTTGAATTCTATTATTCCTTCATCCCTACCTTTCCACTCTGTTTCATGTAAATCAATCTTAATTTCTCGTTTCTGGCAAATATGTATTTTAGGTAGCGAAAGTTCCACGGAACAATCAGATCAAATGACTAGTGATCGTGTACGAAACCTTTGCAACCCAAAGAAACATCAGGATAGGTTTAGTGATCATCAGTTTCGAAAACGCTCTGTAACCTCCAAGTCAAATGAAAAGTGTGAATACCTTCGGTCAGAATCTAAATTCCTTTCTAAATCAAGTCATTCTCCTGAAAATATTCACACAAGCGATTATACTTCGTCAGATAATGATAGTGAACTCATTTCTCCTTCAAAATCCTTTCAGCATGTTCGGTCTCGTAGACGACATGCGCGTGTTTCAGATGTGTTTTCGAAAAGGTACATTACTGTTATATTACTGTTTCACTATAAATGCTTTAAACATTTTATTGTCTAACTGTTCATATCTTACTGTACTCAAGAATCTGTTCACGTTTGACGAAACTTAAATTTCTACGACAATTTAGACTTGGCTTATTAATATGATTGTTAACAAGTCCGAAATGTTTGTTTTATTATTATGCATCAAATGACACGTAGGGTTACAGTTTTTTCATAGTAACCAGATTGTTTATTTTGATCGTCAGTAGTCTGTTCATCTGAAAAATACTGCTACCATGATTTTTAAATTAAAATTCACAAGTGTGTTAAGGTTCCTATATTAATTCCTAAATTTCATTATATTCACTGATAAATAAAAGAATTTATTAGATTATTAATATCAGAGTCGATTGTCTAACACAGGTGACCTCGTACATTTTAGAAGTTGGGATTTTATCAAAATTTCCGCTTCTTCAGGTAGATCTTACTGATAAATTCAGTCAGAAAATTGAACCGAAAATACTGACTGAACAGTTATGAGAAAGTAACCGCAGTTCACTTGACCGAATATCCAAGTATATGAGGTGGAGAAAGATCCTCACTTATTTCCATAACATATTTCAAGTCCACTTGATTGAAATTAGTCCGTTTTTGACAGAATGTATCATTGTTTGTGACTAACTGGGTTATCGTTTGTTGAATTATAAGTATTGTTAACAATAAGATATCGTGTTTTATACCAATTAATTCTTATTGTCAAACCTAGCACTACTTAACTTTAAATGAGGGCTCAACCGACTACCGCTAAATCAACCCTGGTGATGATTATGATATCAATGGAAATAGTTATAGATCCAATAAAATATACAACTCACTAGGTTCATAGATATCCACTGCCATATAATAGAAGCTACTTCACTGAAAAAGGAACTTATATTTAGCAAAAAATCACCATACTTCATTGCTGACGGTAGTGTTGAAAACACGTACGTGCTTCATAAAATATATTTAATCAGGAAGTTCAGAGATATCATAGTATCTAAAACAGTACGAAATCCAAATAAGCACATGGATGAGTGAATCCTGCTGTGATTTGAAACAAAATCTTCTTATTCCACATGGACGTTTGTACCTGGCAATACCCCATTGCACTGAGAAGTCAGTGAAACATTTCTATACGGAGTTTCTGTAAGTTCCTGTTAGCTCCAACCATTGGAGGGTGTGGCATCTAAATCATATTAAAATATAAGCTTCTAAGTGTTGTTCAAATGCATCAAGATCTATTATATGTTTAAAAATCAAGAAAAATACTTTTACAACTCATTTTTTTCTCTATCTGCTCTACGTATTAAGTACTGAAGAGTCCAGTTAAATTTGGCATTGTTCGGAATATTCAAACTCAGACAAAAATGTTAAGAAGTGGCTAATCCGGATTAAAAATTTAAAGTACCACTGACTTTAGTTCCGTAACAAAAACTTTTAAGAAAAGAAATACCACTTTACTCAGTAAAAACAGGGTGTTAAGTTTTTGATAAGATCAACTTTGCTGCAGGATTACGTGTTAGAATGCAACAAATAGGTATCAACCGAAAAATTGCTGAACTAATTACAGCACAACAAAAGTAGAATAATTCCTACTGTTGTTAATAAAGTAATGTAATTTTCAATACTCAGCTTTTATTGCCTCAACTCAGTTTAAAATACTTATTTCTGCTGTCACTGCTACTATTCCTTTGGCGTATATCGTGATAATTTCATTTCGCTGTGTTCATGTAGTCTAGCAACTGGGGCCTACACACATTGGTACCATGTTTTATGTTGATTATAATTGATGACTAATTGTCTGGGAATCTACATGACTCGTCTTAGTGATTGTGGTTAAAATAATTTAATACATCACAAGCTAACAGGTTTACTTTTTTACATAGCACGAAGATTGGTCTCAAAAGTCGCTTCTTCTGAACGTTGTCAGCGCGTGGAAGATAATTTTGATAGAAAATGCAGAGTTCTTTAGTTTTAAAGTCACAAATATCAAGCATGTATGTAGTTTAATTGACACTCGAAAAACATTTGCTTTTCTTCGCTGTGCCGTTGATATCACATACTACCGAACTCTGGATCTTTTTTGTATTTATGTCAAAGTTCCTTTTAATTCACTATACGTTTCTGTCATGGACTAACAGAAGCTATTGAAAAGCTAGTTTGGAAGTGGTTGTGCATGCTTACCCATAACTCTATCTTCACTCACTAGTCTTTTGCAGAATTTATGTTTATTAATTTTCATTATCTCTGGGGCGTGATGTACAAAAGGCTAAACATTGCTGTTTATTTAACAAACTTTGTATCATATCACTTTCTTTTTAGTGTACTTTGGAGGATATCTTAACAAAAGTTCCATCTGAAAATATAAAATAAGAAATCGATGCCAGCTGACCAACATCCATACAAATTTCCCCAAACTACTTAGCATTAGGTATACTCACCTCAGACTTTCCTGTAGTGTGACTTTTTTATTTCATACTTCTGAGCGGAAAACGTTACGATACGTCATTGGTTAAGAGAAGAAATCGCTGTTTGATAACTTGATAGTTTGTCACTATAGCTAACCTCAGTTTACCTGTTTTCCCTAGTTATATTGTTTCTGTATCATAACCATTTTTCGACTTTAGGGATAACATTTTTTAGTCTCTTTTGCCCAGAACTATTAGGAGGCATTTACATCTAATTTACATTGCTCAGTAAACGTGGATTAATCATAACCGTTAAGTTTTGGTCTTGTACAACTTTTGTGATTACTCATCTTAGTTTCTTAAATATTGACATAGTCTTCTCAACCTCGTTCACACTTTTAATCGATATGAATCCTTAAAACCAGTCTTTCTGTAAATGGTTTGGGATGGACCCTAATAAGTGGTTACTGTTAATTACCATTAATATCTCTCCCTGAATAATTTAGTAATAGCTTGCACTATTTGCAGTAATCACCTTGTCTTTTCATCATGTTTTAACTGTATTTACCCAAAATAAATTCGCTCGGAAGAAATTGGTAATTTCCTATCTCCAGTTGTATACAGATGTCTATCTCTGTTCATTAAATTGCATTTGATATTAAGTTACCTAAGGATATGTATAGTTGCCACCTTTAGATAACCACCAAATTAGCTCTTTCATAAGTATTATATTCATACCAAAACAGCATTGAAATTCGCTCATCAACTATGTCAATTACTTTATGCAGTCTATCATCTACTAGTTGAGCTATTTTATCCAATACAGAAGCGAATCACCATTTCAATAGATTTGAATCTAGTTTTGGTGGACTTCATCCTCACATCAATGAAAGATAGTTTTACTCCCTTTTTCGTTTCAGCGATTCGAAAAGTCCTATTGGGTCAAGTTTACCGTCTGACAGTGAAAGTTCAGATCCATCAACTGAACCACAAAATAACCCCGATGGAGCTCAAAGATTCACAAAACCTTCATCGGATGAACTTTCTGAGATTTCAGATTGTAAATCAGACTCTTCTAATCGTGATCGTTTATCACCTGTAGATATTTCAAACCTTAAACCCACACAGAACAGAAATTCTAACGATTCAAATTCTTCACCAATTTCTTCTCAACCAGAGGTAATGATTATGTTAATGCTTAAATAGTAACTTATTAGCCAACTAATATATTGCATATGAATTTATTCTGTGTTAGCTGTCTAATGTTAAGTATCTATAAATCTAAAACAACTTTGATTCTATTTCCTGAAGATTACATTACAGCTAACTGATATTTTAATTAAAATGCAAAAACATTAGCTATTATCTGTCCATTTAAAACTTCCAATTGTGTCATGATTCCAGTTAGTTGTCTTACTCAATGTTATACTTTTGAATGCTTGTTCTCAACCTTCATAAATTATATATAGTTTTCGTCCTGGCATCTGAGCTTATACACGTTACGAAGTTGCAGTCCGAAAACAGTTCATATCAACGATTGATTTTTTACTTAGTTAACCATTTAAAATAAGTAGGCACTTGATGATTGTTTCGCTCTTCAAGTGTATGTATCTATACACCAGAATTGCACCTTCATAGGCTGCAAAAATCTAATATTCCAAGCGATAGTGACTAAACATAGACCAGTATGTGTCACAACTGTAGGTTGTTTTTGATAGGTGTCAGATTAATTTAAAGAATACCTGATGTTTCCATTATGTTTTAATTTTGGTACGCTAATCACTAGTCTATAAATCTATCAATGTAATTAACAACACAGTGTTCAGTTTTCTTTAATTGCAAACACAACTATGTTGAATAAATTTCGTCATTAGGATTAGACGATATTTATTGCTGAAATGATGTTTCAAGAGATAGGTGTTTAATTCGTTCAAATGACAGCTTGCATTTATTTTGCTCTACAGTATTACAGTATGTTGTAATGAGAACCTTGTCATTATTTGAGACTAATAGCCATTTCTCATTAAATTCGACTCACAGATATCTTGGTTATTACTGTTTTATTAATTTACATTTTATGTGTGATTAGTCAATTTTTCGATGTGGAGTAATGAATGGTGATATTTACAATAATTCCTTCTTGAATCAAATTAGGAAACATGATGAAACTGTATTATTTACCTTTTAAGATTTTTTATTTCAGAATGCATTAGATTCTGAAGAAAATGAGGAAACAGCGGTAACTGTCGATGATAAAACCCACAAACCTGAAAATGGTACTACCTTTCGGCTATCACCTGTCTCCAAGCCTGGTGGTTGCCCTGTTCAAGAAGTTCAACGCAGAAGAGGTCGACCTCGAAAAGACAACCAATTATCACCTAAACATTCGTCTCATTTCAGTCCACAAAAGTTGTCTGGTTTTGGAGATTCTTTAGTTTCTACAGAATCTAGTTCTGAAGACGATATGCTCAAGATGAATGATGTTAGATCCTGCGTAAGTACATCTGTATTTTTGTGGATATTGAATAAAAAAGTCTAGAAATTGGTTTAATGATTTATAAATCAGTACAGTGGTACACTCAATTCATGCATTGAAATTTGAAGTTTAATGAAGAGCTATGATATTATTCATATATTTAACGTGTATGAAGGCATGTATTAGCAGATGTATGTATCGCACTGACTCCTAAAGTTTGGTTCGATTTCTCATCCTACAAATAAATTGTCGCGCTAAATTTCATCATACTTTGATGATTTCATCTCAGTTAAACCATTTTTAAGTTGATATGTCCTACAGGTAATAGTATTTCAGTTAATATGATTGTTATTTTTAAAAAGTTAATTCAAAACTGTGTTTTCTAATAATCTTATACATTAATCTATTTTTGTAAAAGTACTCGAATCGTGAATAACCTTATATGATAAAAATTTTTTTACCTAAAGGATTTCTCTACTTGTGATCGTATTCCTTCAAAAGTTAACCAAGTGAATCATCAATCAAACACTGATTGGTCTATATTACGTGCATCTTTGGAACTCCAATCTTCAGATTATACTACTATCCCTTTAACGCACAACTCTCAATTATCTGGAGGTTCACGTAGAAAACAGAATCTTGGTAACTTATGCAGAAACAATATGAGCTTTTTGTCAACTATCGATCAAAAAAATAAATCATCATTTCCAGACACTGATATTCCTCAAAAAATTGGTTTGATTTCCGATCAAAAACTTAACAAATATCCTCTGTACTATTCTCCGGGAACCCCTGTCTCAGTAAGAGTACACATCAATTATTTTAAACTCTTATCTTAAAGTTAGGTTTCATGTCATACTTGCACTTCTTTAAACCTAACAAAACAACGTAACTTGGGTTGTATTTTGGTAAATACAATCTCCATTTATTTATCTGTCAAACTTTATTCATGATTTCATGATAATATTTATTTTCTCATTTTCTCTAGCTAACAAGCCTCAATCAATTTTTTTGTTCTTTCCTCAAGTTTAGCCTGTATTTAAACTTTTCTGAATAATCAAAGTGAAATATTGATCTACAGATCGTGAAATGATTGCACTGTTTGTGAATGTGACTATCAACTCCACTGCAACGGACAGATAGAATCTGTCTACAAGAATTTATAAATTTTCGATGTGGAATATATATAATCCCTCACATAGGATAATTATCTGGTTCTTGCTTTACTATCGTAAACCGATATCGCAAAAATACGAATTCAATTTATACTTGTGTTTTTAGCTATTGTCTTTCAGTTTTATCATGTATCCTGTGTTCTATCAATTCCATCATGCTCATCAAACTATAAAAGTGTTCGTACAATTATTGACCATACTTGCTTTAGAAATCTGTTGCATTCTAGTCTTCTCTCATGATATGTACTAACATCTGGCTTAAAAAGAAGTTCGGTTAAATAATGTAAATTACACTGAACTCTTCCTGGAGTAGAGTGGTAGAAATGTATCATCTCCTTATTGATCGTCCAGAGCATGAACCACAAATTTATGGAACCCCTTTCATGTCGTTTATGTATATTGTATGACACGGTCATTCTCTGTAATTTTACGTGTAAATATTTGTGTAACTTACGAGCAAGTCTTTGAAATATATTTTACTATTTTAGTCACTGCAGCCAAAGGATCGTGAAAACTTGAGGCTATCTGAGAATGATATCAAGTCAGATAATTTGGATGGAGAAAGTACGGATAGTGCTTCAGTAGAATCTGTAGATATTGTAGAAGTAAGTAAACTGCCATTTTGTTGCTTATAACTAAATATTTCTAGACTGTGGAGTACAAATATATGTGGCCTGAATCTCTTCTTACTGAGCATAATTATTTTCGTGTTCCTGAAATTGGATCTGTCATTCATTATCGATCTACTAGGAAATTAACTAAACACAATCTAAAGTCGAAGGATGGTTTTGTTGACACTCACTTATCTACAACGGATAATTTACGAAAACGCTCTTGGCCAAATGACCCAATGTATGTTAGTGGTGACGTCAGTGATGATAATTCCCATGATTCTCCGAAGTGGTTCAAGCTGTCGAAGCGTTCGAATGTTTCGGAGTTACAGAATGAAGAGGTTTCTGGGAGTTGTAAAGCTGATTTGAAATCTAATAATCTTTTGAGGGAGGATAATAAAAAACCGAAGTATATTGAAGCGAAATCTGAAACACCGAAAGTTCGTGGGTCACGTGAACTAGCTAACCTTTTGGCGCCAGTACCTAAATCTGAAATTCGTCGTGTTATGGAAGAATCTCACGGTTCACTGAAAGAAGACATTTACAAACGTATGTCTGGGGGAAAAAATCTCCCTCGATCACAATTACATTTTCAACCAAGGTCGGCCTCTGAAGAAGATTACGTAAGTATACTTTCTATTCGTTTATGGCTTCTTCACTTAATAAGTTAGATTTCCTGTTATGTTAAAAGTAATGACCAATTATTAAGATATATATCCAAGTATTTTTAAAGGTCGAAAGGATCCCCTTCCCCACTTGACATGCTCTCATACAACTGAGTCTACATTATTTTTCAAGACAACCGTACTCATTTCTTCCACGTAACGAGATTCCAAACATGTGTAGGAGTGAAAACGGAGTTGATAAGCAAATTTGTCGAAGGCAGTTGGAAAACTGTACCTCCAAATCAACTACAAGTAACCTCGAATACCCAAACGGATGGGTAGGTTAAAATGATATTTGGTTGACGGTTACCTCAAGATTCCATATCCTGATGTATCAGAGCTGTCAGATACTTGAAGATAGTTATGGAGGAAACGAAGAATGTGCGCTTTTTGTTTTACACCCTATAACTCTGAAATCCCATAAGTCTGTAATTCATTTATTTTAAAAATATTTATTTTGTATTACTTTAAACCTGCACGCTGCTTTCTCCATTGTTGTCCACTTTTTTTAGAAAGTAATTACTGTCTATCCTGAGGTTTTGTGGCATTGTCTGTTCTTGAATGGCGTACCAAAAAGTACACTCACCTTGTACATGCTCTCTACTAGAACACTACTAGCTGAGCCAGAGCTAATGGCGAACTGTCAGCGGAATTGATTCCTTCAAGTGGTGTTCGTCATGGTTGTCCACTTTCTCCATTCTTATTTAACTTTGTTATAGACTTGCTTTTAGGGTTATCACTTTCACCACCTGAAATTTTTGGAGTTGACCTACCAGGAGACTCATTTGTTGACTTAAAATATACAGATGATATAATTGTGTTTGGTCAAGATGCTGGCAAAATGCAGTGCTCTGAACACCTTAAGCAATAATGCAGGCATATTCGGGATGCGATTCTTCTCCTAGAAATGCAAACTGAACTGGCTTGAATCGGCACCTGAACTAATAATAGGGAGTAATTGAGCATGTTGACCGCTTCACTTATCTCGAGAGTTTTATCAAGGCTGGTGGCATGGTGACTGACGAAATCTCAGCATGGATACAGAAGGTTCGATTGGCTTTTGCCAACCTTCATTAATGGCGTAGTCAAAGGTCGAGTGTACGGTGCAGCAGTTCTCTCTGTTCCCCTATACGGATGCGAAACATGATCGGTAAGATTAGAAGATATTCGTAGGTTACTAGTATTCGATCACAGATGTCTTCGAAGCATTACTTTTGTATCCTGGGACCACCGAGTAAGCAATGCAGTTATTAGGAAACTGGTTCTAGGTAAGGATGGCAGATCATTTGATGAAATAGTGAATCTCCATCAGTCGAGAGGGCTGGGACTGCCTTAACGAGCGATGTTTTGAGGTGTAGGGGTAGGCTGGAAGGAAGCTTGGGACGGCCAAACCAAAACATGGCACAAATCCTTGAAGTCACTAACAACTGGATTGTGTCATGTTGGTATATGAAGACTACTTGTTTGGGGTCCACGAGACAATAGTAACCGGTGGTCAAAGTTCTACTTTGTTGCTGACTGACTGATCTAGTGCATAACAGTTCAGGTTTCACTTCTTTTCAAACGACCAAGTAGTTTTATTCGCTATCACATAAATTATATTTCAAGATTCGATGTATAATCTTTTACTTGGTGAATAAATTAGAAATTTGTCCACTATCTGCATCTCTGTGTATGTGTCCCTAATTGTCAAAGCCAATAATGTATACTCCTTCGAAAATGTTTTGTTTAAGATAGATAAGAAAAACACTGTGGCTAACTGAAGTAATATATCTTAAAAGATTGAATAATGTTACTTTCGGGGTTAAAAGAGAATAAAAATAGGGTATTTTGCGCTACTGATTGATTTTTACCCACAACATACAAAATCTTTCATCGTTAATTTTTTAAGAATTTCAGTCAAGAAGTCTTCACATTTTCATGTAACATTCGGTGGACTATATCTAACTGATCCTTATACAACTAATACTGGCTGTTTGTGTTATTAGTTGTCTATCATTCGATAACATATATTATCTATCTACTTTAAAAAGTAGGTTTTCAAAGCCACAATGATTTATCTGAACTTTATAAATAATACTTTATGGTAATTATATTTCCAACTATTTGCTATTATCAATAAAAATCCTTTTCCCTAAATATGTAGTGCATTTTGTTATTTTTCTGCATTATATTCTTCACAGATACTGAGGAGTATTCTTGTTCTTGGTATGGATACGGAAGATATTGGTTTTATGTGTGAAGCCCATCAATTTCTGCTAAATAAATGCCATTCACCACTAGATATCACTTCACATGAAAATTTAAAGGAAAATGATGTTTGCATGAATCCTAACGTCGATCCTCGTGTTGTAAATATTATAAACCTTTCGCATTGGGTTGAGCATCCACCTACACTTATTGCTGATCCCATCACTGTGAAAACGTACATTAACAATAATGGACACCTTGTTAATTCACGCAGTTTATGGTCAAGTCGACGGAAATCTGAGCGTCGACGATACCAAGACAAACTATTGTGCTCTAAAAATCCCACATCCAAATTGTCTTCTACTCACCGGAAATCCTCCGCGCGATCATCGGATTCAGATGACCTTTGTTCCTCTTTATCCGATCAATCACTAAATTACCTTTCTGATGAAAAACACAAAAGGGACTTAAACAACCAGTCAGTATTTAAAAAGGCATGTTCTCTCACTTACTCACCTGTAAATACTTCACTTGGTCATAATCCAAAACGTTCGTATCCTAAATTCGATAATCAAATATTAGCGGTAGCGAACTATGCTGCTTCCTTAAATGAGAATGTTGGTATAGTTGGAGATAGTGTTGATATTCACCTCGGTCCTGCAGCTTGTTTACCTCCAATTCATTCATCAGGTAATCTTTACTCCTAATCTGTTAATTATCTATTAAATTTAAAACACAATATACGGTTATTTTGAAAATTTTGTAATTAGGATAATCGAACGAATCATTTTTTTACACTTACATTCACTAAGAGAAATGTTACCAAGTTTACATTTCATAATTTTTAAGTTTAACAGAATACAAGACACTTCGAATCTTGAATTTTTTAACTTGCTATATTATAAAACTTCACTCATTCCTAAGGAGGGAGATAACCACTTTCCTTTTAACAGATAAATAGTATTCAAATAGTAGTAACTGCATACTTTCAGACGATAAGAATACCGTGTGAATATTTTATTTATCGCAAGTTACATACTTTGATGAAAATTTGTGTTTGATACTTCCATCAACTGAACACAGCACTCAAGTAATGCAGTCTTATGAGATGGAGTTTGATGTCTAGCTTATAGGCCGTTTGTACCAATAAAATTCAGTATTTAGCTTTAGTTTGAAGATTGGTAAGCGACTTATTTCGGTAACTACTTCTGTTTCAACCAGTATAGTTTTGTGGATTTTAAGTTGTCATAGAGTTACTCTCAAATAAAGCCTACTAATTAAGTCACATGTAATCAGTAAATTTTTCTGACTATTGGTTAGTCTGTTGTTGGTTCAGTTCTTTCTAACTCATCCATAGGCGATCCAACATTGTTATTACAAACTATTTTGTTTTCTTGTCGTCAAATAACTATTAACGGTTTCGATTTTGTTCTGCTTACTACAGGGTCGGCTCGAACACAAGGCTATTACCGAATGCCTACTGAAGAAAGATTTAGGCGTCCTTGGTGCGTTGGTCGAAGTTTAATTGGAGAAGACGGTCGTCGTCGCCCTATTCCTTTAATGCCTGCAACTGTACAAGCACAACTCGGAGGAGATGCAGCATTACAAGGTACACGTTTTCTTCTAATCAGTTTTTATGTGCACATTTCAAATACTGAGATATATTTTGATGGTGAAAATCTTTGTAATCGGAAATTCTCTTGGCTAAACCTACAGACTCTTGTATTTATGGAATTAACATCATCTATACACCAAGCACTTAATGCAGTTCATTACATTCTACTAACGTAGTTTTAGATATGATAGAGCCGATAGTGATCCACCATAATTATGTATTTTTCATTCCTGATTAGCGTTAAGCGAGACGAACATTAAAAACCAAGTCACTAGGCCGTCTTTTTATCTAAATTATAATTCTCTGAGGTTATTACGCCTCTTTCTTTTTTCAATAAAAACTCGGAACAATTATATGCTAACAGTCATTTCTTGTATAAGATGGTTACTCAATGTACTTAAGACACGTATATTCCTTACTTCGGCATTTTCATGCACATTGTAACAATTTATCTAAGATTCATTTATGAATTATGTGATTTCTTGCTTGAACATTCGATTTGCTATTATTTCTTTCACATGATATTTGTATTTATTCCGGTTGTTTATTTCACAATTTCACTCAATCTTCATCTGTATTTACGCTTACACCACATGCAATTCATCTTAGTGTTAACAAGTGCTTATCAACTTATTTCACTAGATACGTTTCATATACTTTAGCCTAAACAATATCATTTTTTACTTGAAATGATAGGTAACTGGATCTCGTTCCTTGGTTATCATTTTACATTATCGCTTCGACTTAGTTTTTGGTAGAAACGTCTACATGCATGTAACTATGGGTATTTGTTGCTACTTAATGGGGTAAACGAACTAAGGATTCTGCAAACTAACAACAAAACATTTCTTTAGGATCAAGTTTAGTAACTGTTTTCGTACTCGTTAAATTTTTGGAAGTGGGTCATCAACGGATATTATTATTTGTTTCAATATATTTGTTCCCCATAACACTAGTTTAAACTCAGTGACAAAGACATTTGTAAATTCAGTTTGCTTTTTTGTTCCAGATTGTTTGATAAAAGATCCATTTAAACATATAGGGGAACTTAAATCTCTTGTTTTGCTTTACTCTGAAATTTCTGTGCCATACAATCTATTAAAAATTTCTTAGTAGTGTCATCACAATTCGTTGGTGCTTTTAACATGTTTTCATTCACATGTTCAAATTGACTTTATGATGGTAGTTGGAGAGAATATTTGGTAACATTTCTCGTTAACTTGTGTTATTACGACCGCTATTTACATTATTTCAAAATTTCATTGGACTTTGAATGGGGGTATATCTCATTCGCAAACACTTTTTTTCAGTTAATCGATTATTATTCAGAGTACTAAGAGTATACATTTCGGTAAAAACAGTATTTTCATGCGAGAAATAGTAAATAATATAGCAGTATTAAAATATAAACAAATATTCAAGGGAAACAATTATCAATTGTAACTTATCATACTTTGATCAGAAAATAGTAATTATTTGCTAAAGCAGTTCTTAATTCATTTTATTTTATACAATCTGCTTACTACCTACCTTTTCTTTACAAACACATACACACAATATATAAGTATTTATGCATGTCTACATGGAATAAGCTATGCAAAATTCTTTTTGTGTATATGTATTTCTAGAACATTTTTGTCTCAGTTGTCTTCACAGTAGACCAATCAAAAAATTTGACCTTCGATAGATCAGAGCTTTTCTATTAGTTGTACGTTGTCCTTGAAATTTATAACCAGTAGTAATCTCAGTATATTGTGTTTATAGTGCGTAGGTGGGCAAGAATTATCGACTTTACTGAGATCAATTTTCAACTAGAAGTTTAGGTCATATAAAAATCTATAGAATCTTCTCACTCGTAGTGTGTTAATCTGCAGCCATCTATTATACCACGTAGTCTGTTTCACGCGTATGCGACACAAATAAGACTGTATGTAGAGCAATTTTTGTTGGGGAAATTGTAGTTTTGGTCAACGCAGCAACAATAAGAGGTGCTTGTTAAGTGATATGTCTAAAATTTCCTGTCAGCGGTTAGAAATCATTCCGACCAAATTGGTATCTGTGCCCCCATTCATGCATTTTAGGTAATATGATCATGTTTTGTAGTATCTAATATTTAGTGTCCTTTTCCGATTTTTGTTTATTTCCATGTTTATAGCACCAGCGCTTATTGATACATTCCCTTATTTCCCTTTGCATACCGTTCATTATTTCCTTAGTGGTTTTCATAATCACTGTTACTGTTCAGCATCGATTGGTGTTAATTCATTTTTGTAATGAAATGCACTTCGTTGTAACTTAAGCTCCCTGTATGAATGAAATATATAGTGGTTAGTTCGAACTATCGTGTGAATTGTTTTTATCCGTTCACTTCTTTTCTACTAATTTAAGTAGTAATTTATGTTTCATCTCATTTATTTCGTCTTTTCTACCTATATCCTTTCGGTTTCTTCATTATAAAATGTAGCAGCTGAAACCAATGCACTTTTTAAATGAAAATTCTAAGGTGATATGTCTTCCTATCAAATTTATTATGATCATTCAAAAACTTTTGTTTAGATCAGCATTTTCGAAACGGTCACGAATTAAATATGATTTGTTCTACCAGCATTTAGTCGATGATGATGATGTTGTACTGGTAAAAAGGATTTGGTGGTGTTAATGTCTAAATTGTATTCTAGTAAATCCTATCGTATGCTTTTTATTTAACGGGGTGATATATCTATCAAGAACATTGTATTACTTCCTTTCAATTATCCAGAGGTCTTTAGACTGCAAACTAGAGAAGTAGTAACGATTGTTGCATGGCAATTTTTCTGATAGCTAAAATGAGGGAAATCGTACCTTACTAAAATCAACTCGTAGAGATATGTCCACCTGTATTTACATAACTTTGAACAATATTAAGCCGTACAAAACTTTTAATAATTGGTTTTGAGTTTTTAAAAGTTTATCTTCAGTTTTCTTCCTTGTACAATCTAGCAATGGTTGTGACAGTATCATTCTTTTTTCCAAATCACCCTGAGTTTGCTGATGATTATAATATTTTATCTGTATGGTAGGTTATTAATATCCGAAACAGAACTTTTCACTTACTTTGAAAGGCATGCTTATATAAAATCGTATTTTTATCTCTGTAAATTTTTTTTCACTCAGCCCTTGGTGAAAATATCGAAGAGCGTTTGACTGAACAAGCATCTGAAGCCAAGAAAAAACAACTCACTCAATTTCGAGAAGCTCGATCTGTTCAACGTCGATTGTTAGCTGAATTTCAAGATATTGAAACAGGCGATCTACTTAAATTTAATCAACTGAAGGTAATATTATTCTCTTGTACTTTAGTTCCTTTTACTAAACATTTAATAATCGATTCGTATGCATTAAGCTAGGCTTTTTTTAGATAGCCTGCTTGTTAAACAATTTTTCTTGAATTCGAAACTAGTAAAATTGGCTCATATATAAAGAGTTTTTACTGATTTGTCCTCTGTTAGTACACTAGTTATTTTTACACCATAATTCCTAAATGATCATTACAATCTGTTGTGGGAGTTTTACTTATCATTCTCTTTCGTTTCACATTTCAGTTTCGTAAAAAGCAGCTTATATTTGCCAAATCACCTATACATGCATGGGGCCTTATTGCTTTGGAGCCGATAGCTGCCGAAGAAATGGTAATAGAATATGTTGGTCATGTGGTTCGCAAGGGTGTCGCTGAACTGCGAGAACATCAGTATGAAGCCAAAGGAATTGGTGGTTCTTATCTTTTCCGGATTGATGATGATTTTGTGATTGATGCCACAATGTGCGGCAACAATGCTCGATTTATCAACCATAGTTGTCAGGTATGTTTGAAACGAATGTTAAATTATTTTATCAACTACTTTTTAAGAAATACCACTATTGTTTTATGCAGAGATATTCAGTACTATCTATCTGTTTACGTTTAATATGACTTTAAATTTTATTATATTGATTGTTGATTGTTAATTTGATAATCGACACTTTGACTGGAGTTTTCTCATTCCTCTTCTAATGAATCGTATACTGCATGTTCATAAACGTAGCATATTTTGAATCCAAACCTCGTTTAATGATTTTACTGGCAAATATATCATGATAGCAAGTAAGCTGTACCGTTCTGCTTACTCATTTTACTACTCTATAAACTGTACAACATAGGAGTGATATTTCCTTATAACTGTTCCAATATTTTGTTTTGAAAAACTCGAACAAGCAATCCTGTTTAGTTTTAATGGAATCACTATATTTGGCTTATCCGAACGTTGAAAAGCGTTTTGTGGTTAAAATAAGACCTATTTTCTATTGTATATTTATAAGATAAATCATGTTACCTTTTTGTTTTAGTATACATTTTATTCAGTACGTAGAAATGTTCGCTTTCAGATTTGTATTTTTCTAAATGTTATGTTTTGAAATCCAGTAAGAAATTATTTGGCATTTTCTAGATTATCTATTTAAAAACTAGGCTTAATATGATGGTTATTTCTTCTAACCTACTTAAATTTTATTTAATTGGGTGCTAACACAATAATACAAAATTCACCATTTGACATAAACTCCTTTTGTTTTATCTTTATTTTGTATAGTTGTTTCACTATTTAGTATCTTCAGTTACTCTGACATTGAATAGATATGTAATATAGCATAAGATTTAATATAAATATTTTGCTTTGAAACAATGCCGTAAGAAATTATTAGTAGAGACTAGAAATTTCTCTCAACATATCTTGAAGAGCAACGTAATGGGACAGTTAATTGTTTGAAATGATGAAGCGATTAATAATGGATGAATTTGCTCAGTAAATGTTGTTTCTCAATCTATTCAAACTTGATATTCATCGGTTTATATTCTTTTATTAGATCTGTTTAAAAGGAGTGTCATGCACTATCGTCAACAAGCGATTAAATCATTATGGTTTAAGTATACACCTTATAGTTCAACTTTAATTTTAGCCAAGCAAGTACCATACACTGAAGTGTTGTGTTAAGAAAAATACATCACGTTTATTTTAAATTTCATTGTTAATACATGTTTTGTTATCTTCACTGATCTATGTCTTATGTAAAATATCTATAAATACATAAACGACTTTTTGCAGTTTTTAGCAATAAAATAATCATAGTTTTTTTTACATTCACTTTCGCTAACCCAATGTATTATATTATATCAAATAGATACATAAGTCGAGGTAATATTAAATGCTTTATGGTACAATGTTCCAAAATTTAGATTCAGTGAAGGGTTCTCTTTTCGACTAACTTATTCTCAAAGCTGTTAAATCACAAGAAAATACATATCTGCAAAGTGGTAATTAATTCTATATTTGTTAATAGCACTAATTTACGGTGTATAGTAAAAAAAATTCAACAAAAAATCTTAGACTTATTAGGAGACTGAAAATGTGCAAATACGTATTTTCTAATGATTTAACAGCTCTGAGAATGAGTTAGTCGAAGAGAGAACTCTTTACTGAATCAGTCTGTCCTGATTTTTACGTCTCAAAAATTTCACTTTCTCTGTGTGTTACAATACATTTTACTATCATGAAAGCTAATTCTAGTTAATCAGAATATTAGGTTAATGCGAAATTTCATATGTTCGAACGCTGTGGTCGTAACACTCTTAACAAGAATAAACCTTCCACAAATTGATTACGAATATTCTATTTACCTCTAGGTTTTATACATCAGGCAACCCGTTTTACAAATTTGTACCCAATAAGCTATTGATTGATAAACAATACGTTTTTTGTAAAATCTCGACTTTTAACAGCTTGAGTGTAGTGCATATTTTTACAGATTAGATATTGAAATATTGATTAACATGAACCTGATATGAGTGATTGATTTTTTATTCGTTTTGTTGATGGATTATCATCAAATAAGCCAATACCAGTAACAAAATATTTAAGCAGAAATGAATATCATACGCTATTAAAAATATTCTGATTATTTTCAGAATCAAAGTCGGTTGTATAAAATTTCTTTTTTTATTGATTTTAGTCACTGTGTTAATTATTTTGTGACGAAGTGGTCATATGAACTTCGCATATGTCTAGAATTAGATATAAGGACAAGTTATAATTGATGGTTTTTATACGTTTCGTAGATTCCGACTACTTTAATCACAATACGATCTAGTAACAGATATATACAACAAATGCCTCCGTGATGCATCTTCAATGTATAATCTGTTTTCGGTAACAACCTTGAATCATCAAATCAAGCGAATAATATCAGGGCGCATTATTGTTTTCTTGTTGCAAGAGAGCATTTAAGTCACCTATTTATGAAGATTCTTCACGATTTTCTGTTTTATTTATCATGGCTACTTGAAACACACTCACTAGATATAACTAATATAGGTATCGATTTTCGATCGTGAACAAATCATTTCACAGGTTAAATCACTGTATTAGTTTACCATCCGAAGCTTATCACCTCTCTTCAGATGTGGGCTACCGACTATGGGGTCTTTAACATTTCTTTCCTGGGCTATCCTTTCCATTTTCTGGCCATGATATTTGTCTCTATTTCCCAGCGCTGTTCTTTTATCTGCCTTTTTCCATTTTGTCATCATTAATCGAAGTCTGGTTATTTCCTCAGTGTGTTCTGTTCACTAATATCTGTCTTAAATGGCAGTTGGTTTGTCATATATGAAGTCCAAGTCATTTGGTTACATCTAAGATATTCAATTGTATTCAATGACTTCCCTGAGATGTGGAGGTTTTCGAAATCTAGTAAGCAGTTTACAAAAGGAGAACAAGCGAGAGTAGGCAGCCCTATCATACATCAGTCCTTACTTTGTATAGATCTACGGGGTTTCTTATATGCATTGCGGTACTTTTTAAATGTTTTGTATGCTAGTGATATTCCCAGATACTCCATGGTCTCGAAGATTCCACTAAGTTTTACTATCCACATTGTCAAATGCTTTCTTATTACCAAAATCGTTGATGTTTGGTAGTGAGTTTGATGAAGTTGGTTGTTCAACAATAATCCGCGTTGTATCGATTTGGTCAATACATGATGAATTCTTTCGAAAGCCAGCTTGTTGTTCGCAAAGTTTCTTGTCTATTGAATCTTTCATGTGTCTCAGCAACATTATTGAAAATTTTTCCTGGTAATGACTGCGGTGAATTCCTTCTGTCGTTTTCACACTTACTGTGGTCTATTTTCTTTTGGATTTCAATGAGGTCTCGTTTTCCAGTCCAGCAGCAGTTGTCCTCCCTCCGAAGTTTTCTGAAAATAAAGTTGCGCATTTTTAAAGTCACCTCTAGGTCTGGCTTTAGTGCTTCAGCTGGTATGCTCTCTAGTACTGCTGCTTTGCCACTCCTGATTCTTAGAATGGCTTTTCTGATTTCCCCTACTGTTAGGTTTCATGTTTAGGGAGGTCTGTGTGTTCAGTAATTTATTATGGCCTCTAAAATATCTGTCTAATCATCATTTAGTGAGATTCAACAATTAATTTTTAAATATATTATCCCACCTAAAAATATAACTTCAAGTGGATGTTGCATTTTTAAGTGACATTGTTTTATAAATTTTATAATATTTATATTGTGTTCGGTTAACTAACATAAAATGGAAATGTTTATATAAGTAATTGTTTGTATAAAACCCATAGTTAATACCATAAGACAGACACTCAAGCTAAAAGTCTTTTGCTTTTATCGCTGCAAATTCATCTAAAGACTTCATCATAAAACCCATCAACTGATCAATTTGATTCCCTCTGTATAGTCTGTCTATTGATAATTCTTCAGATGTAGAGGAGTTGTAGTTGAGATAGATGATCTGGGTGGAGTTTCCTAATTGTGTACCGATATTCTAAAAGACCAGCATGTTCAATGTAGTAGGTAATTTGAAACTTAGTTTGACTTCGTTGATGGAAATATCAAAGACTTTCATGCAATTCTTTTGGTCTTATAAATTTTATGCATTTAGTTATTTTATGATCGGTTTCATAAACTTTGTAAAGACACTTAAATAATTGATATTTAACATTTCTTTTTATGTTAAGATATTGTCCTCCAATTTTAGTTCATTTTTCGACTACACCATTGTTAATTTGTACAAATTTCTGATATAAAATTTGCATTATTTTCCTTATATTAAACTTTTTTTATTAGCCTAATTGCTATGCCAAGATAATAATGGTCGAAAGCAAAAAGAAAATTGTTATATATTCTAAAAGAGATATTAATGTAATGGAAGAAATCACGTATGACTACAAATTTCCTTATGAAGACGAGAAGATACCATGTCAATGTGGATCATCATCTTGCCGTGGAACACTTAATTAGGAGACCTACTTAGACGTTTTTTGTGTCAGAGTCAGAATAGATGTATATAGATTTGTAAGTAATTATTACTTTCTTTTCAAAATCTTCTTGTTCTTTGAGGATTAATTATCATTTCTTTTTTTCTGTACATACATTCTTTTGTTATTTTCTTATGGTGTATGAATCTTGATTGCACTAATTTTTAGAAACAATTTTCATTTTTAATTCCAATTAAATATTCGTACCAGATTTGTTTATTGAAGATCAATTTCATCCTTAACATATTAGGCAGCTCTATGAGCCTTTGTTCTTTTTTTACTTATTCCCCATAAGGCTGTGTTTGTCTCTGATACTATGTACAATGCATCCTTTTCGTTCATAATGGATGGGACTGATAGTTTTAATGAAGTCCCTTTATGATTTCAATAAGTAACTATCTGGATCTTTTGCTAGGTGTGGAGCATCAAATCTGTTTGAAAATCATTCTTAGATTAAATCCGATACTTTATTCTATTAACATTTGCTTTCGACCGTTTTGTAATTAGTAGGATGCTTTTGTATTTAGGGAGAAGTTACACCTTAATACTTGTCTGAATAGTATAATTATCCAAGGCAGCAAATCCAATTATTTAAGATCTCCAACTATTTGCACCGATTGGCGTTTTGGGTTAGATATTGGAAAGCCGAGGCAAATAAGTCAATAATAAGGTGAATAAAGAAGTTTGTATTATCTCTAATCATTGGTTATTGCAATTTTTGAAATTCTTTATGAACTATATCTACCTATTTCTTACTTATTCCAAACCACTGGTATTGTATACTAGTAACGTCCTTCTTACGATTGCTCCAAAAACTTCTGCGTCATTGTGTCTATGAATGATGGCGTACCATTTGTAGCCCATCTGATTCCCGACTGTAGCTACTGCCTTGACATGGTGGTCGGGCTTGCCTATCGTGATGACCCAACCGAGCTATACTGACTGGAACTTATGTTCCTGAAGGTTCTACCATGCCAGGCAGGTCGATTGCAGAACGATGAGACTAAAAGCAGCTACTCAAGGTCTGAGGGAGGAGTCGTACTGCTGACTGTAGAGAGGTGTGACAGTATTAAGATGTTTTCCTCGGACAACCAGCATCTGCAGCGATGCTGACTTCTCAAAAGAAAGGAAGGGTTAGCAATGATCAACCCTAAGAATGTCACACCTCATCCTACCTCACGGATTTCTGTCTCCGGCGGTAAGGGTGCCCAATAAGGGTTTAAAGAGCAGAGCTAATACTCTAAAAACCTTTAATAAAGAGGCCGTGCGTGACCGACCTCAAGCAGTTGTCCCTCGGGCTCTGCGGTCACGCTCCCAGATCTCTAAGACCAACACTAATCTACCTTCTTTTTCAATTTACTCAAGAAACACCCTTCCACGTTGTTGGTAGCTGGGAAGTAACATCCGCCCTCATACCCTTAAAAGCACACTAGACCGAATTTCTCACAATCAAATCCTTTCTACACCTCTTAATAACTCTCTCCTCGACCAACCCTTCTTTCGATCGTTTATCTCCTCACGCCACTGAAGCAAACGGTATGAGCTCACAAAACATTATTCCTGGTCTCTTGAAACTCCGAAACGCGCGTACAAGACTAGAGTAAAATCATCAATTTGATCTCACCTAGTGCAGGTTTACGCTTCGTGTTTCTGGGAGCCCTGATGCCGCTTCTGGTATCCTCGCCGCTGTAGGTATAGTATTAAGTCGTAGGGCAAAACTATCTCTCCTAGACTGGATCCCAATAGATAGTCGCTTATGCACTGTCCGACTAAACGAGACGGTACTGTCTCGGAAGGGTGGGGACACTCGCCATTACCTCTTCTTCGTATCTGCCCACGCTCCCTCTGACTGCAGTTCAGACGACCTGAAAGACAAGTTTTATAGAAATCTCTCTAAACTTCTCGAAAATGTTAAGCGCTCTAATATGGTAATAATAGCTGGTGACTTTAACGCTCAGGGAGGTAGACTCAGAGAAAAAGGAAAGACAACTGAGTAGATCTTATGGTGTCGCGCCTCAAAGAACAGATAATGGTGACCGTCTGTTGTAAATATGCTCAAATAACCACCCGTTTTTAGCAAACACTAACATTAAGCGTAAGATACGACATTCTTTGACCTGGTGGCCCCCAAAGTCGTCCTAACGATGGACCCAACTAGATCACATCGGTGAAGAGGTTCAATTGAGGACTGCCGTTCACTCTGGAAAACTTGTTTCGACTCAGATCATGCTCTAGTGCGAGCGCGTATTTGTTTGCTCCTTACTGGACGCAAGCAAACCAGTTAGGGCTCTACTTAATCACATTAAAGATAAAAATATATTTCAGGCTCTGAACATGACGAAGGTTGACATCAGCCTAATCGAAAGCCGATAAAAACCCTTCGAGATTATCGAGAACAGTAGTGGGTAGCAAAAGCAAGGGAGATGTAAAAGGCAACTATTCAGACTCATCAATGAAACCAGTATTAGGAACCTGAATGTGAGTGAAACTATCTCGGAGAAGGATGGTCTTATCATTCATCCTCAATCCAGGAGATCGGATCGATGGGCATAACTCTACAAGGATCAGTTCAACTGACCTTCAGCCATACTTCGGTTACCGAAGATCTCCAGTCACCCTGAATGGCAAGTCGATGTAACGTCCCGGAACACAGACACACATTTGGGCGTCCAACAATAGTTATCTTCCTGGACCTTAAGGCGGAATTCGACTCTGTGGATCGTGAGGTTCTGTGGCAGTGTGTGTCATTGATAGGTGTACCAGAGATGTACCTAACGTTATTCTTGCTCTGTACTCAAACACACAGGTCGAGTTAGAAATTATGGCGAACTGTCATCGGAATTATTGACTTCAAGTGGTGTGCGTCAGGGATGTCCACACTCCCCATTCTTGTTCAGTTTTGTCATAGACATGCTGCTAGTTATAACTTCATCTTCTGAGCAACAACGCCAGCAAGTTCGCGATTCGGTTTTCCTCCTCGAAATGCAAATGTTACTTCATGATTGGGTTGCATCGGTACCTGAACTAGTGATATGGACTGAAGTAGTCGAGCGAGTTGACCGCTTCACTTATCTAGGGAGTCTCATCAGCGCTGATAGTCTGGTGGCTGGCGAAATCTCAGCGCGGATACAGAAAGCTCTATTAACTTTTGTTTACGTGCGTCGACTTTGCCAAGTCGAGATATTCCCTTGCTAACTAAAGGACGAGTGTACTGCGCAGCGGTTCGCTCCGTCCTACTTTTTGGCTGTGAAACATGGCCAGCGAGAGTGGAAGATATTCGTAGGATACTGGTTTTCGATCATAGGTGTCTTCGAAGCATTGCTCGTATATCGTGGGACAACTGTGTAAGTAATGCTGTCGTTAGAAAACGGGTACTAGGTAAGGATGGCCGATCAATCGATGAAGTGGTGAAACTTCATCAGTTGAGGTGGCTGGGACATAGGTCATTGACAAGTGGACTGAGTCATGTCGGTAGGTGTCGACTACCTGTTTGGGGTCCGCGAGATGATAGTAATCGATGGTTAGAGACCCTGAGTAACATCGCTCCAAACCGTTTGCAATGGCGCCGGTGCATTTACTCTGTGTGTTCTATCGAATTCTAACCTGAATTCCTCATCACCTCTATCTTTCATTAATTTACATTACTGAATTATATTTCTTGAATAACATCTTCGAACCGTAATCTCTCTGATTACTTCTAATACTTGTACTATCTCTTCTACTATGGGATTTGAATTGATAATTGCATCTCTGGTATGGCAACTAGAACTGCTGTACTTACGTGCAAAGTTCTACGTTGTTGTTGATGATGATGACCCAGATCATTCAGGTCATAAAATTCACCGATCAACTTTTTATATCTAGTATGTACAGTCTGTCATACATCGGACGATTCCAGCCCATTGGTAGTGTCGGTCTTCGACTTACATGCGCCTGTTACTCCATATGGAGCATAGGCCACCGAACAGTGTTCTCCAATCTGCTCGGTCCTGGGTTTCCCTTTCTATTTCTGCTAATTTTTATTCATTTTTCACATGTCTGTCTCCATTTCTCAGAGTACTGTGTTCTTTGGCCTTCCTGTTTTCCTTTTTCGTCGTGGGTTCCAAGTGAGGGCTTGTCTTGTGACGCAGTTGGGTGCTCTACGCAGCATGTGTCCTATCCACTTCAACTGCTTCTTCCTGATTTACTCTTCCACTGGAATCTGGTTTGTTTTCTCCCACAGTACGTTGTTGCTGATCGTGTCTGGCCAACGAATCCGAAGTTTTTTGCTTAGACAACTGTTAATAAACATTTGTATCTTCTGGATGATGGCTCTGGTAGTTCTCCAAGTTCGCGCCTCATACAGCAGAACTATCTTCAAATTTGTATTGAAGATTCTGACTTCGTTGTTTGTTGACAATTGTTTTGAGTTGCAAATGTTGTTCAATTGTAGAAATACAGCCCTTTCTTTGCCGATCCGCGCCTTCACATCTGCATCGGATTCACCTTGATTGACAATGATGCTGCCTAGACATGTAAAGGTTATTAAGTCCTCCAAGGCATCTCCATCAAGGGTGATTTGGTTGTCACATGTTGTTGTATCGGAGAATTTTTCTTTTCCCTTTATGTATGTCTTCCCCGTATGTATGTGGTCATCTTGTTGCGTTTACGGTATGGGAGCCAGATCGTCCAGGTGTATCCTGGTTGTCCACTTAATATCGTGGTTATCTCCAGATGTTGACTTTTTCATAATGCAATCGATCACCAGGAGAAAGGGTGAGAGTAAGTAATCTTGTCTGACGGCGGTTTTCACCTCGGACGAGTCCTCCGTGCACGATTTTGCGGTTTTATCCATCATAAGAGTTCCGTATGATGTTGACTGTCTTCTCAGGCACGCCGTAGTTTCGAAGAAGTCCCCGTAGTGACGTCCGGTCCACACTATCAAATGTTTTCTCGTGGTCAATGAAGTTGATGTAGAATGATGAGTTCCATTCAATTGACCCAAAATCATCCGTTATGTTGCGATTTGTTCGGTACACGGTCGATCCTTACCGAATGCTGCCTGGGTTATCTGGGAGTTGGGTGTACGATGTCCTTCATCCTGCCTAACAATATTCTGTTGAATACTTTACATGGTATTGGTGCCTCTATAATGATGATAATAGTAATGATAGTAATAATTTGTTCTCAAATAACATTACGTTACAAAGGCAGGCTAGATCAAATTGTCATAAATGCTTACACATTTGCTGCAAAAGTTATCTCATTTAAATTAAGTGTAAGATTCAGTTTCTGATAACACATTTGTACCATGTCACTGACAAGAGCAGTTTCATAAAACCACATTTTCAGTAAGAGATTACAAACAGGGAAGGTGTTCAGTAGGTTTCTTGGTGGTTTGCTTAGATCAGTAGTGAATTTGTTGGGAAAGGTCAATTGGAAGTCGCTTGATACAAGTTGTGATCTAGACGTGCGTGTACATAGAGGTGTATATTCCCTAGAGGCGCCATGGAT